AGCACACCGAATATGGATGTGTTGCCAGATATGGACACATAAACATCTACTAATACCTGTTCTCGGAGAGTAGAGCATTTAAGTGCTTTTGTGAGAGAAATTCTGGTCCGAAATTACCCAATTTACCTAAGTTATCATTTGTTGTTTGGACGTCACCGTGGGAATAGAGCTGCTGCGGTAGCTCACAAAATGTATTCTCCATGAAGCCGGCGTTTGAAAGAAACAACACACAAAGAGGCGCTACTCTCACTTGATGTAACGATACGGAATCTTAAGGAGCTGCCGATGGGCACCGGAAGGCGTCCATTGACATTCAGCCTCGAATGTGTGCATATCATCGTAGTGGCGGCCCATAAGGTAGGGCAAGTACTCACTAGTAACACCGCAGGGAAGTTCAGCAACGACAGTGGACCAGAAGTATAGTGTGGTTTGTGATGGACTCGACTGGGATAAAATATTTCGGATAATCATGGTTCCCATGGAGCGTCAAGATGCCCTGCCCGATAGAATGGCGATCGCTGTGTTCCGCACTAACGACATTGGCAACAGGTTCAGCTCCAGTATTAGGAAACTACTGATTCTCTTGAGCATGAGAAGAATTAGGACAATTTTGTAGGCCGCAGTAGCATAGGCCTAATCAACCAGAGACGGATAAGGAGCGAGACAAACAACAACAAGTCACCAAGTTATTAACGGTCATCAGCCTCAAGACGCTTCATACGCATCTGATGCTCCTTCTCTGTCTTCCACCATGTCTTCTCTTTTGTAGAGCGGGTCGGGGACAATGATTAAGCCGAGAACGACGAGGGGAAAGGCAATGAGGAAATCTAGTAGCAGGCGTTAGCAATAAAATGCTAGTCATTTCAGAGTAAGGTTGTCGTACTTTACCAATAACGAACAACCATCTCCAACCGCGGATCTCTCAATGACCATCCCATAAGCTCGTAGATGCTGGCCTAGATGTACCCAGAGAACATTGCGGTAGCGATATCGACAGCAGTGAGAATTCCGCTCGGCTTGTTGATCTCGTGGTTCCGATACCATGTACCAATCATGAAGTGAAGACCGGGCCAGCTCGCCGACGAGGAAAGCCAACAAAGAATCTCAAGGCATTCAATGATGTACGCAGGAGATCCAGCCCGAGTATAGGGTATCTGGATAGATTGATGCCCCGTGACTTGGCAGCTTCTTCGCGTGCGAGTCGCGTTAGCACCCACGCCCTTTAATTGATTTTAGCGCGTCGCTGCCTGGTCGCGTCTCCCCACCAAGTACCAAAGTCACCCACGCTTCACCTGCTTCTTGGATTCCGTCCCAATTGCTCCTCCGATTGATTTCGCTCACTTTTTTCTTGTATAGTCGTCATATTTGAATACCCTTTTGGTCCTTTTGGGAACCCTGCGATCCTCCCATCCGTGCTTCAAGGGAGCCCTCTCTTTCACCCTACCCCCAATTGGTATTAGCGACTACATCATCGATATCCCTGGATCGGGGGCGACCTCAACCATCGGCCGCTTTGTCCGCGACACGACCGCTCGCAATCGACGAAGCCTACCCTTCCGGAGGGTTAATGTTTCGATAATATCCTCCTCCGCCACGCAATGGATTCGGCCTCGTCGTCAGACGCAGAGTCCATCATGTCGCCGTCCCGAATTTCCTCGAGTGTCCCAAGCTCGCCGCCTCCTGTCAAGTCCGGTTCTCCCGACATGAAAATCAGGCGCCCCGATATAATAGATGAAGATGCCCTCGAAAAAGAAGAGGAGGCTGCACGCATACAGAACGATAAAGAGGATGGAATACAAAAAAAACGAGCATACAAGAAGAAGAAAAAGGCCGAGACCAAGGCTGAGAGGGAGGCCAAGGCAAGAGAGCTGGACGAGCTCCTCCAGAAAAGCGCTGCCTTCAGCGACATTCTCACCAAGAAGACGCAGGTCCTCGGCCGTGTTGGCAGCAGCCTGGATGGGAAGTCTCTGGGTGAGCATAATCTGGAGATGGCGAAGCAGCCCAAATGCATGGTTGGAGGCACCATGCGTGACTACCAACTGGAGGGCCTCACGTGGATGTTTGAAATTTGCTCTCAGGGAATGAGCGGTATCCTAGCCGATGAGATGGGCCTTGGTAAGGACATGCCCTCTACCCCCATTGCTTCGGTGCTATGATTGCTAACTTGGCACACAGGCAAAACCGTACAGACCATTTCCCTGATCGCACTACTCCGAGAACAAGAAGACTACTTAGGTCCCCATCTGATTGTGGCACCACTCAGTACCCTATCGAACTGGATGGACGAATTCCATAAATGGGTACCATCAATTCCCGTCGTCATGTTTCACGGGACAAAGGAAGAGCGCGAGAAGATCTTCAGGGTCAATTTGCAGAAGAATCTGAAAAACGGTCGACCGACGCCACAATTCCCCGTTGTTTGCACCTCGTACGAAATGGTTCTGCGAGAACAGGCCAGCTTGTCCAAGGTGAACTGGGAATTCATCATCATTGTACGTATTCTGGTGCCAATGGCTCTTGTCACCTCGCGACTTCTAACGCCATTATCTAGGACGAAGGTCATCGCATGAAGAACGCCGACGCCAAGCTCTTCCAACAATTGAGACAGTTCCCGTCTGCCACCCGCTTGTTAATCACTGGAACTCCCCTGCAAAACAATCTAAAAGAACTCTGGTCTTTGCTTCATTTCCTCCTTCCTACGATCTTCACAGATTGGGAAGCCTTCGAGTCGTGGTTTGACTTTTCGGATCTAGAGGACGAAAAAGGTACAGAAGAATTCATCGGGGACCAGATGAAGCATGACTTGGTCAAAAAGATCCATATGATTCTCCAGCCGTTGCTGCTACGTCGAATCAAGCAAGATGTGGCTGCGTACCTCCCTAGGAAGCGCGAGTACGTCCTTTTCGCCCCGATGACCAAGGAGCAGACAGATCTGTACAACGTAATCAGCAACAAGAACATGGATACGAGAGCCTACTTGGAGAGCAAGGCAGTGGAGAGCATCACCAGCCGGGCAGCCTCACGAGTATCAAGCCGTGCTTCCTCGAGGTCAGGTCCAAGGGGTACACCCGCCAAAGGCAAGACCGGCTCCAAGAAGCAAACATCCTTACCAATTCGCGAAAGCCCAAGGAAAATCAAAGCCGAGCCTGAACCTACCCCTGAGTCAAAGCCCAATGTGAAAAATGCGTTCAGCCTCATGATGGGAAAGCGCGGACCAGGCCGACCGCCCAAGGCTCAAGCTGCAGCTCCGGCAGCTCCAGAAAAGACACCTGCTGCCAAGAAAGGGGCCAAGCGCAAGCAGCCGCCAACCCCCGTGACTTCCCAGCCCAAGAGCGCGAGGTCTAGCAGACATTCCACTCCTACTAGCACCCGAGCGCGAGGTCGCCCCAGCCGTACATACAAGGAGGCCGATTCAGATGAAGAAAAACTGTCTGATGACGAGTTCGAAGCCAAGTTGGCTGACGAGCTAGGAGCAAGCGAGGATGATGAAGAGGACTCGACAGCTTCTCTCTCCCCCGAAGAAATTGAGCGGGCGGAAACTCTCGAACTTGCCAGTAAGTCATTTACATAAAACCTCCGCCCTTTGAAGCATTGATTGCTGACCATCAACAACCAGAAAAACAAGTAGCGCAGAAGAAGCTTGGCAATCCCCTCGCCCAGCTCCGTCTCGTATGCAACAGCCCACACAACTTCTACTACCCGTGGGCGACCTCGACCGACCTACCAATGGACGAGTCCATCGTCACGGCATCCGGGAAGATGCTCCTCCTGGACCGCCTCCTTCCCACCCTGTTCGAGGACGACCACAAGGTCCTGATCTTCTCGCAGTTCACCACCCAGCTCGACATCCTCGAGGACTACTGCCGGGAGCTCCGCGGCTGGAACGTCTGCCGCATCGACGGCTCCGTCTCCCAGCAGAGCCGCCGCGACCAGATCCACGACTTCAACAACGACCCTTCGCACCGCATCTTCCTCCTCTCCACCCGCGCGGGCGGGCAGGGCATCAACCTCGCCTCCGCCGACACGGTCATCCTGTTCGACTCCGACTTCAACCCGCAGCAGGACCTCCAGGCCCAGGACCGGTGCCACCGCATCGGGCAGACGCGGCCCGTCATCGTCTACCGCCTCGCCACACGGTCCACCGTCGAGGAGACCCTGCTCATGTCCGCCGACGCCAAGCGGCGCCTCGAGAAGCTCGTCATCCAAAAGGGCGGCTTCAGGACCATGGGGCAGAAGATGGACGGGGGTGGGGACCTCCTCGACGCCGAGACCCTGCGCGCCCTGCTGCTCAAGGATGGCGAGGTCTACCAGACGAGCGGCGGCGACGACGTGCTCAGCGACGAGGACCTCAGGGTCCTGTGCGACCGGAGCGAGGAGGCGTATGAGCAAGCCGCGAGCGGCGAGGGCGATGCGGATGGTTATCGCGTCGTCGAAACTGGTGCGGACTCTATCAAGATGGCACGGAAGAGTTGAGGCTGTGTGCTTGATATTTGGCTTAGACGGCGTTCTGGTCTTTTTATTTTGCTTTTGGCTATTTAGAAAGAATCTGTGCAAAACAGGATATATGTGGCTGTATTATAAGGATAAAATCCTCACTTGGCTTGGCTTTCTTGGTACGAGGACTTATTTACAGCGAAGATGAGATGGTGTTTGGTGTAACCTTGCTATTTTCGGGTGTGAAGAGGCAGCCTCGTGGCAGAGAGACGGAAACAGCGCGTTGCTAGTTATGATTAGGTAGATTCATCATTGCTCTGATGATTGAATGAACGTGAGAGCTTTTTACGCAGCACATCCAGTGAGGTCAACCGTTATCATGGTCTACGATATGCGATGAGCACAACCCTTGATGGTTTGATCGTATTTTATGTATGTCATTGAATCGTGATCTGAATTTTAATAACGCCTACGTATGAACCGTCCCATGCTCGCTCCCGTAAACCAGAACATGAATGCCGTTTGATATTCCAAACCTCCCTTCAATCCAACCAAAGGCGGCCGGGCTAATTCAGCTCCTCGGATATAAAACCAATCTGCCTTCTCTGATCCACGCCCCCGGGTCCCGCCGCCAGTCTCTTAGCCAGCTTGTCCTGACTCTCGACGAGTTTCTTCTGAGCGTCCAGCCTCTTATTCAGGCGATCGTCAGCACTGCGGTCCAGCCGGTCCAGCTCCTCGCGCTCGCTGATGCGAACCGCGCTGAGCGCACGCTCGTTACTGATGCGCTCCCGGTTCGCTTTGTTCTCCCACTCGAGCATTTTTCTCCTCCGCATGTCCTCCGCCAGCACCTCGGCATCCGCCGCCGCGCGCATATGCGCGTTCGACGCGTCGGCGAGCGCACGTTGCTGAGACATGCGTCTCTGGTGAGCGGCGGCGTCCATGGAGAGTTCCATTTCGGCCTTGGATCGCATGGAAACCAGCTCGTCATTATGCATTTTCTTGCGACGCGCGTCCTCCATCTCGCGCTTCTGTGTCATGATTTGATTCTCAACGGTAGCAAGCTCGCGCTTCCTGGCGAGGGACAGCTTAAAGTCCTCTGATTCTTCTGCCAATCGTTCCAAGCGAGCCTTCCTCACCCGCTCCTGGACTAGCAAATCCTCCGGAAGGCCTGTCGCGCCTTCTGGCTGCGGTCCTTCGTTTTTGTAGTACACATCGACGCCACGGTTGGCATAGAGCAAACTGAGAAGCTCCTCCTTGGCGTCGAAAGGCGGTAGCACTTTAGACACATACATGGTTGGTGAGTAGGTGTATCCGTCCGAAGTGTATTGGTTCAAAGGCTTGTTGATGTGTTTCCACATCGCCACCTTGAGAAAGACCCGGGTCGTTGCCACAGGGTTCGCTGACTCGAAGCATAAGTGTAGTAACGACTTATCCCCAGATCTTATTGTAACGTCGGATCCTGCATCCACGAGGGCAGTCATGACCTTACCCATCGCCTTTTCCCTCTCAGGAGTAAGATCCTCTCCGGTTGAGCCACGTAGACAGACTTCTCCAAGGGCGCTCCTCCCACCATGCTGCGTGCTTGGGAAGTCGGGATCGTGGCCAGATTCAAGTAGAACCTTGACTGCGGCATGGTTGAGAGAACGAGCTACATTATGCAGAGATCCATCGTTAGGGTTGGGATCCGCTGCGAGAACGTATCCCATCATTTCGGTTGCGAGATTTCCTCCGATGTCTGTCGCCATGGAGAGGGGAGATCGATCTAAGTAGTCTGTAGCGTCGGCATCTGCACCCTCCATAAGAAGTAGCTTGACAATGTCAATCCGCTTGGCTTGGATGGCAAGCATCAAGGGGGTAACCCCTGACTTGGGTGATTGGCTGTTGACATTGGCTGTACAGAAATATTAGCATGACGTACAGTGAATCAAGTTTCGGTAGCTAATATTGGGCAAGTACTTACACCCACGCTCAACAAGCAGCTGAATTATAGCGGAGCTAATTTTCTTCTGTGGCTGAGCAATGGCCCACGTCAGCAGTGTTACGTTTTCTGCCTCTACATCAGGGTGAAGCTGGCACATTGTTGTCTGATCATGATAACACCCAGCATCGAGCAACGTGGTCAGGATTCTGGTAGAGCGAGGGTATTGAGCCATGGCCTGCAAGAGGAGAGGCGGTGCGCCCGGCGTCTGCGCCAGGATATCCACCCGGTTCTCTCCATCGTGATAGTCACTAAAGACTTCAAAAAGCGCTAGAGCATCAGATTCATCCAATGACCTGTCAAAGATACGTTGGAAGGCGCTAGATAGCGTTACACTTGACGGGCGACACTGTAGCAACAAGTTGACCCAGCGAGCATTTGCTACCGAGGCAGCCAAGCGGAGGGGTTCGCCTTGATTGTGATTGACGTCAGGGTCGTACAAGACAAGAAGCTCGATGAACTCGTCGGCAATGTCAGCTGTCTCAGGAGTGGATTTTCCAATCACCTGAGACAGCATTTCGCCCAATGCTGGCCCCTTCGCACCATGGTCGAGAAGTATCTGGACCGTCTTCTTTCCTGATGGCGAAAACCATGAGCCGAAGTTTTCGAGCGTAAAGCTTTGAGAAAATGCCCGGTTCAAATGCTCAATAGGCACTGGTTTCTTCAGTAAGATGGCGAGGGACGATGCTGCCGCACGCTTCGTAGCATCTACGAGTGTCTTGCAATCGTTCGTCAAAGGTGAGGCGCCGTTGTTCAGTAGAAGCTCAACCAGTCTGTCATCCGGAGTCTCTTCGTTGACAGCATCATTCAGTGCCATGTGGATATCTTCCATAACGGGTAGTCCGGCTTGGAAAAGATCCTGTATTATGGAGAACCTGATATCGGGTTCGAGGGTCCAAGATGCCTTAAATGCTCGCGTCAAGGTAGGCGGAGATGGGCGTTTCTTCAGCCACGAGTGTCAGTACGTACATGTAGTCGAATGTTTGGTCAAGTGTGATGAATCACGGGATAATTATTTCTCTTACCTGCTTACCGGCATCATCCCACATGCCCAACATCAGCTGGAGACTCCTTGTGAGAGCGCTCTGAGTCGCGCTCACAAGAGCCTCTCCATTGTTATAATTTGGATCTGCCCCAGCCGCTAGCAAGACCTTGAGGACCTCATAGCCTGCCTCGCCGTACCTTGCCGCGGGGAGCAGTTGGGCGTGTACGGGATCTCCAGAAACGCCCCTCCGGAGAAGCTTTTCGAAAATAAGTGCTCGCTTATTCAAATCGCCAACCTCTGTGGCAGCCTGGAAACTACGTTCCAGAATGATACGTTCCACCATGCCCTCGTTACGTAGTAACATCTCAACAGCTTCAACGGATCCTCCACGGCATGCCTCGATGATAGCCTGACCATTCTTACTGGAAACGGTAGCACCGTGCGCCATGAGGATATTTCCCAGATCTAGATCGCCATCGCGGGCAGCAACGAGCAAGGCATTAGAAGCAATGTCTGTTGATATGCCCGACTTTAGAAGGCGACTGCAGAGATTTCTGCGGATGGCGCCGTCTCTCACACCCATGGCCTTCTCAAATGCAGTATTTCTGGCCCCATCTGGATGTTTGGTCTTGGATAGCAGTAGATCGAGCAACTCCTGTGACTCCTTCTGGACAGCTCTCTTAAGCGCCTCTCCGTCGGAGGTATTTGCTGATTCGGCCAGTACGCTAATCAAAGAAACATCCTCCGCATACGCTTCAATTGCATGCACCAAAGCTCGGTTCACTTCAGAGGGCGGTGCGCCCAATGAAACGAGTTTCTTTGTGAACGTCAGTCTATTCATCGGGTCGGTTAGGTGTAATGCGTGCGGCATTGCAAGGGCAAGTGACGCCTCTGTTGGCGGACGTGACGACTCTGCGAGCATGTCAAAAATCATTTCGTTCGAGCCTGCAACAGCACGGCATATGGCAGTAGCGTCGTATGCGTTCGGATCCGCTCCTAGATCAAGCAGCTCCTTCAGTGCAGAGAATGAGGGCTGATGCGTGCTATTTTGGACCAGAGACTGGGCTTCACCTGCAAGGAGCATTCCAAGGTCCTCGCCTCTGCGAGATTTTGCCATCATCGACCTCAACTTCCAAGCCTTCCCTTCGGTTGATGGCAGCAGTGCTATCTCATTGAGGCCCTCTGTCACGGTCTCTGCCGAGGGCTTGCCCAGACTAAGAACCAAATCGAGGACTTTAGGGTCTGGATTAAGAATTGCTTGTTTCACAGCCGGGTAGTTGGGGTCATTCAAATTGGCATTTCCCTGCTGCAAAACGAGGTGGAGCAGAGACATATCGACGGGACTTTCTCGTAGCGTTTCATACAGGGCGTATGCGACATGCTCGACACCAATGGCACCACCTGCGCGCAGGGCGAGATCCATCATCCCGTGACGTGAACGGTGATCGGCTACGGTCATGATGGTGGGGATCTGTGATGCAGCGGTCTGTGGAACAGCCTTTGATAGGAGGTTTCCCAGAAGCTGCAGGTCACTCTGGATAATAACCGACTGAAGAGCAGTCCCCTGGTTGTGATTGATGTCAGCACCGTAGGCGAGTAGTAGTCTGATGAGCTCATCGTCTCGAGTCGCCATATCCTCGCCAAGGGCACCTTCTAACGCAGCATGCAGACTGGGCCCCGCTAAAGCGCTTTTCAAAAACAACTCGACCACTTCGTATCGATCCGGGACTGGTATATTTTTAGCCAGAGGAAAGGCAGCTGAGAGAGTTTCAGGAGAGGGCTGAGCAGATAGCATCCGATACACCATGGCCTTGTCAACCCGTAAAATGGCATTCTGAAGTGCTTTTCCGCCTTGGTAGTCGACAGAAGCCACTTCATGCGGTATTTGAGGCTTGGCTGAGCCGTTGGTCCGAGGAGAGTTTAAATTGTTGTGTGGGCTGGGGAAGAATGGGCGCAACAGTAGGTCGACACAGTACCCATCGCCGGCCTCAGCAGCCATCACCAAGGCTTCATCAAGCGGTGTGCCTTTGGCACCTTTCCTTAATAGTAGATCAAGGACCATGTATCTGTCCTGATTTGATACGTGCGGGGGAATCACGCTGATACAGCTTGACGCGAGAGCAGGACTCAACTTAGAGGGGCCATTGAGGAGCGCTCGAACGAGGTCAATCTGGCCTTGGCTGATGGCGGATTTGAGGACATATGCTTCATTATACTCGATTGATACACCGTAGGAGGCTAGTAGATTGGCCATGTCGTAAAACTGAGAATCGCAGGCCAGCTGCAATGCATGTGACACCATGTCTCCCTTGGCCCCAGCACATAGCAAAAGCTCCATCAACTCCAGTTTTGTAGGGGGATGGAGTGTGTGGTTTTCGACGAGTGTCCTGAAAGCGGCACTTACACCTTCGGACTGAGGTGGCTTGTTTCCCATGATGATGGCAATTGCCAAATCTCGACGTCCCAGACCGATGGCGACCTGTAAGGCCTCGGCCTGGTTGTGGTCGCCATCGGCAAATGAACGACTCAGGCTCAAAATAGTGTCTCGACATCCAGCCCGAGTAGCGTCCACCATGGACTGCGAGGCCAAAATCTGGCTTGGGGGGGTAATAGCTTGGAGCATGAAACTAACCATGTCGGAAAGGTAGGGGGCGGAGCACGCCTGGCGGAAGGCATCCTGGCCCTCTGGTGTCTGCGAGGGGCTGGCACCATATCGTATTAAGGCCTCGACCATTTGGATGTTGCCGGCTCGGATGGCTGGAGGAAGGCAGACGTCCAGGGAGAGAGTATCTGCATGGGGGAGGAGAACCTTGACGGTCTCCAATTGGTTGTTCTGAACGGCAAGCTTCAGGAGCCTAGCACGATCCATGGAGCTATCGACACTCCGACGCCTGCTCAGAATACTTGATTTTTGCTGTTGCATTGCTCCCAGGTCGAAGCCTGCGGCAGAGAGCTTCACAATAAGGGCCTCTACCACGCCGGGAGATCCGGATTGGGAGATCCATGATGCCAGAACCTCGAGGATGTGCGATGGCTCCCAGTTCTTGCCCTTCTTCAGGTTGTTTGTCGAGAAGGCACGGGAAAGGCCGCTCTTAGGCTGGACCTGGGAGATCTCCTGGGCACGCTTGTGCAGGAGGCTCTCGGCTGTGTGGTCATCGGCTGGTGTCCGGAATGATGGCGGATGTGTTGGCCGCTCGAGCCGGGCGGGTGCTGGCGGGAGAACGACGCCCCATTCCTGAGATAGCTGGATGATCCGCCGCTGGCTGTCATTCAGGGTAATGCGAGCCATGGCTGTGGATGTCGCGAGAGCTTCTCAATCACCTGCGTCTGTACTCTCCTCGCCTTTGCTTCCTCGCCAACTGAGCTGGGCTGCCGTGCGGGTCAGGAAGGAGCCTTGCTGGGATGAAGCGACTTCTACATCTGAGTGGCGGCTGCAGACGTGTTTGCTAAGCACCTGTGATGAGCAGGGGCCAATGCAGTAGCTGGTGATGGTGGTGGGTGGCCAAGCTGTCCAAAAAGTCGAGGTTTTAAAAGCCACTCATTATGCGTGGGGATGGAAGAGAACAGCTCCTATTCACGATCACCCCAGATTGGATTTTTTATCATTGTCGAGGCGGTCGGGAAGGCGGACAATGGCCGAAATTGGGAGTAACAATGTGAAGTAAGAAGGGGACAGAGATCGGCCTGATGCTGCGCCCAAACGGGCAGTATTCGTACGGTGCTAGCAGCCTGTGTTTTACTGCCACAGCACCGCTACGCCGCTAGGCCCAGGGTCCAGGCACCGCTGTGCTCGGCAAGTGGGATTGGCCCCGCCGCTGAAGCCACTACACTACGTCAGACCACTGTCCGCGGAGCCCTACAGGAGTTGAGGTTTCACATTTTCCTTCGTCAGAGGTCCTAAGGATAGAAGATGTGTCCTACGCTCACTAATGTGTCTCAGCCTGAACGGAGCACGGCGTTGTTGTGCTGTGTGAGATTGAGCATGGTGTCGGCGCACTGTGCGACAAGTCCTACCGACAAGCATCGCAACTGCGCCTCGAGTTCCCGCTTCCACTTCACAGAATCTACTACGCGGTGTGCATATGCCAAGCAAACTCAGGTGCATCCTTTTGTCAACCCGATCAATAAAAGGCGCCGTAGAGATTTGACGGTGCCGTTTCATTTGGAGCCCTCTTTGCTGAACGGCTGTCATTTCGTGTGGGTGCCGCTGCACAGCCCTCTTTTTTCCCGCCATCCCTGGATGGATTGCGCGGCACATCCCAGGTTGGTTGCGCGGCTGGCCCAGAAAAAGAGGCTCTAGGAACACTACAAGTTTCTTGGCGAAAACTACGAGTCAAGTACTGTCGTGCGGAAAGGGTACGGTACCTCTTGATCTTTTGTCAATCCTGCCAGAACCCAGCACAATGGATAAGCAAGCAAAGTGCTGATGAGGCTGCGTTGCATCGACCCAACCACCCCACTCAGCCGTGATGCTATTTTGAGACTCGCTAGTTGGCAAAGTTCCAGCCACATCCCGAGTAGCTTTTTCAAACGCAGTGCTGGATGTGCCTATGGAGTACTGCTAACGACAACCGCGCGCAAGCTAAACGTAGCCGGTATCCGGCAGTCGGCATCTGTCAGTGTTTTAAGTTTCTGAACTCGTTAGCACCAACCATCACAAGGTAGCCAGAGTTTACCTTTGGGTGTCTGACAACGACCCGAGCTCGCGATGTGATACGAGTCGCCGCCGAATACGACCAACATCTTATTAATTTCCCAAGAGTTCGTACAAACGGCGGCAGCCTATTAGAGGTCTTTCGGCTATTACTTATCACATTCTAATTTATAGACATTTCCGCTTTTCCTTTCTACCCACGAGAATGGGATGCCCATGTCCTTGCTTGCGGAATCGGATACGGCCCACATCCAGGATACCCTAGAGCCTGCAAGAACCAGAGGCCAGTGCTCCCTCGATGCGGGCTTTGCTATTCATGCAAATGACCAAGCCGAGAATATTATCCTTAAATCCTTACTCGAGAGCCATTTAGGCTCAAATTTCCATGCTAGTCTAGAGTGTTGGGGATCTGTGTTCGTGGAGTTATACCACTTGCCGAATAATTGTGGTTTCCCTAGTAAGCGATGGGAACTCTTCGGGTTTACCCATTTAGAGCTCCCAATTACCTGAAAGGGTAGAAACGGGTATGAGGCAAGGCTTGCGTATACGTAAAGGGCAATGAGGGTGAAGGATTGTGTATCGCTCTAGCTGGATGTGCTGTATGTTGTCATACAAACGGATGGTCTTCTGCCTTAACAGGCTCCTGTCATAATCCCGATCCGACCAAACACCATGCCCAGAAACAGTTCACTTATCATGCAATATATCATTGAAGGAAATATACGGAAGGCCATTGCCAATTTGATTGTGGGCTCCTCCGTTACCGGATATACGGGCAGGGGCGGGATGGGACTTGGCAATTACTCTTCTATCATAGCTACGCCTTTTCTAAGACATCCTCGATGGATTCATCCGCTGCTTACCTATCAACATAATCACAGTCCAATGGTTACCGGCAAAATGGCACCATCGCGATACTCAATTACCACTATCCAATCCCCCCTCCCCATCGGAGCCAGAAAGCCCAAAGTCGGTACGTAACATCAAATCATCTACCCGCGCTCTAGTAATGGCTCAACGCCTCTGCACCACCACGCGGGCCGCATCCCAATTAATCAGCATCTGCCGCCCCTCAACCATCGCCAGATCCGCCGGGCCATTGACTTTAAAGCGGCTGCTCTCGACTACAGCTCCCATCTCCTCCCCCTCCAGCCCAAGATCCCAAGCTGCCCTACTTCCCTCCCGCCTCACCTCAACAACTGCCCCGCGCCGCCACACCTCCACCATGGCTCCCATCCCAAGCACCTCCAAGACCGTCCAGATCTCCAGCAACGGCGGCGTCGAGGTCCTCGACCTCAACGACGTCCCCATCCCCAAGCTCGCCGACGGCCAGGTCCTCGTCCGCAACGAGTACAGCGGCGTCAACTTCATCGACACTTACTTCCGCACGGGCCTCTACTCCTCCGTCTTCCCCTTCACCCTCGGCCGCGAGGCCGCCGGTGAGGTCGTCGCCGCCCACGACTCCGTCAAGGACTTTAGCCCCGGCACCCGCGTCGTGTACATGGCCAACGGCGCCTACGCCCAGTACACGGTCGTGGACGCCGCCAAGGTCATCGCCCTCCCCGACGCCCTGCCCAGCGACAAGGCCGCCGCCGCCTACCTCCAGGGCCTCACGGCCTGGACGTTTGTCCGCGAGGCCGGCCAGGTCAAGGCTGGGCAGTGGGTCCTCGTCCACGCCGCCGCGGGAGGGGTCGGCCTGCTCCTCGTGCAGATGCTGCGCGCCGTGGGCGCAAAGGTCATCGGCACGGCCAGCACGGAGGAGAAGCAGGCGCTGGCTCGCAAGCACGGGGCCGAGTGGACGATCAGCTCGCATGACGACCTCGTTAGCAAGGTGAAGGAGATCACGGGCGGCCACGGCATCGACGTCATCTTTGATGGTGTCGGCAAGGATACGTTTGAGGCTGATCTGGAAATGATTGCCGTCAAGGGTAGTCTGATTTCCTTTGGAAATGCTGTAAGTCTTCAATTGACAACCCCCATCCTTACATGAGCATTGTATTTCACGTCAATTGCTTGTTCTAACATCTTTTAGTCCGGTGCCGTGCCCCCACTGAACATTCTCAGACTGGGACCCAAGAACATTCGCCTGATGAGGCCCGTGGTCAACCACTACGTTGCTAGCAGGGAGGATCTCGAGAAGTACAGCTTTGAGCTCTTTGATCTCATCACTTCGGGCAAGTTGGAGGTCAACATCCACGGAGTCTACCCTCTTGCCGAGGTAGCGAGGGCGCACACCGATCTCGAGGGCAGGAAGACGAGTGGCAAGCTCCTCATCAAGACCAACTAAATTAGGTAAAGAAAAGATAGTGAAATGAAAAAATGACGACATATTCAGCACGTCAGGTCCTGTTGCAACATCGATGGCGAAATCCATCTGTTCTATTATTATTCTTTCTGCTCAAGAAAGTTGAAAAGTCGCATAAGATTCAAACGCTCTTCAATGTTTAACCATATCTAGTGTGTATTTTATATTTTCAAATCATCATCATTTTTTCATTTTCCCGCTTCCAGGGAGACTCTAAGCCTTGGAGGCCTTGACGGCTGCGATGAGCTCAGCTGGGGGCTCCTGGCGGTAGCCCTGAGGGTTGTTGCTGACCCAGCGCCAGAGATCCTCGCAGGCCTTCTCCATGGGCAGCTCGGTCTTCCAGTTGAGCTCCGCGTTGGCCAGGGTAGGGTTAGCAGTGAGATCCAGGACGTCACCGTCACGGCGAGGGTGGACGACATAGGGGAGATCACGGCCGACAGCTGAGCTGAAGGCCTTGATCATCTCGAAGACGGTGGAGCCACGGCCCGAGCCCAAGTTCCAGGCCTTAACACCGGGTTTCTTCTCACGAAGGTAGTTGAGGGCGACAAGGTGGCCCTTGGCGAGATCCAGGACGTGGATGTAGTCTCGGATAGCGGTGCCGTCGCGGGATGCGTAGTCTATGGGTTGCCGTTAGTCAATGTTGAAATAGTCATTGAGGGGACCGGGATCTCTTACCGTCGCCGAAAACGAGAAGCTTCTCACGCTGGCCAGTAGCGACCTGGCCAAGAAGAGGCAGCAGGTTGTAAGGAACGCCCTGGGGGTCCTCTCCCATGATACCGCTAGGGTGAGCACCGCAGGGGTTGAAGTAGCGAAGGAGAGCACCGTTCCACTGCTCGAAAGGCTTGCCTGCCTTCTTCAGGTTGTTGCGCTGAGCGTTGATCTGGTCGGTGATGACATCCTCAATGATGTTCTTGGTGCGACCGTAGACGTTGGTAGGACCGCGGGGGCAGTGCTCGGGGATGGGAATCATGTTCTCGAAGCGGGTGGCATCGCCGTAGACGGTGGCGGAGGAGGAGAAGACGATGTTGGTGACATTGTTGCGGGCCATGGAGCGGAGGAGGGAGATGCTGCCGCCGACGTTGACACGGTAGTACTCGAGGGGAATTTCGCCAGATTCGCCAACAGCCTGGTGGCCATCGTGTTAGCTTTGCCAAGTATACGGGGGAGGCAACCATGGATTACCTTGAGGGCGGCAAAGTGGATAACACTGTCGATTTCGGGGTGCTTGGAGAAGACATCATCAAGGCCCTTCTCGTCAGTGATGTCGACCTTGTAGAAGTGGGGACGGCGACCAGAGATGAGCTCGATGCGATCCAGAGCGACCTCTGAGGAGTTGTATAGGTTGTCGACAATCACGACATCGTAGCCGTGCTCGAGGAGAGCGAGCGTCGTGAAGGAGCCAATGTATCCGGTGCCACTGTTCGAAAGACGGAAGATGTTAGAACAGCTTCAATTAAGGAGCATAATTCTCGGATAGGAGAAGGGACGAGCAACGCCTCGCCTCTCATGTGTCGGTCGATAGAAAGGGAGGCCTCGGGGAGGAGGGGAAGATTGCGCCTGGCTTACCCGGTGATCAGGACAGTTCCAATAGCCATTGTGTGTTGTGATGGGGCTTTCGCTCAGGATTTCTGTGTGGAAGAAGCTTGGAAGACGAAGGTTCAAACCGTACGGGAAGGAAAGCTAGAAAGAAGATCGTAAAGGGAGTACGAGGTTGGATGGGGACCAGGTGGTTGATAGCGCGAGATTCTTCAGCGTTTAGGGATGGCGGGGCAAAATTGAGGTGGGTTGCCCCTCACCACCAACCCACCATTGACCCTTGGTACCGCCCATACCAAAGCGGTACCTGTGGGAGATGGTGCGTATCACCTCAGGCCAGCTACGAGGCGGCCTAGCAGGTTTGGCCGCTGCGTGCCGTGCAGCCCCTGTTGGCCGGGCCAATTTAATGATGTGGCTTCTATTGCTCGATAGCTCGACGCCAGGAGGTGAGGCATATTAGTTGGACGGGCAATGGCAGACCATATTGACGAGTAAACAATCCGTCTAATTAGACGGAAATTTGGCAATCTAATACGCTCTTCCCGTTTGGTTGCGCCGATAAACGTGCTCTGGCACCATATTCCCGCCTCCAGGGATCAAGGTGGGATTGGGGTAGGTACTGCCAAGTACCTTTCTCCTGGTGTTCTCCAGGTCAACGTTGCTGCACAACCGCGTAATTGGGTCTGATCAAATGCAGCAAATTTTCTGGTGCTACTCTGGTGGTGTCTCCAGACTTGCTCTAAAAGCCAGGTCTTGATTGCTTGATTTTTGTGATTCCGGAGGGGTTGCATGGCAGGGTTGCATATGATGCAGATCCTCGCGACGAAGAATGCGGTGTGAAACCCAATTGCCAAACGGCGCCCAGCAAAACGGAGGAAATTTTTAACCATTGGAAAAACCGTTGGGATCACAACCAATGAAAAGCCTCTGCTGAATACTTTCGAGCATTTTTTCAGTTTGGCTGACTGCCTCCTAATACTTATCATCCACGGTCACCGACCCTGCTTCATGGACGACTGACCACCACATCACAGCACAAAGGAAACAACACAGCCCACGTGACACATCACGTGCAAGAGCGGTTGGTCGAAGCGCCTCACCCCTGCAGGCCGCTTCGTCGCGTAGGAACTAGGCCAAAGCGCAATTGACGATCAACACCAGCCACCCAAAAATATCCCCAGCAGCCAAACCAGCCACGGCGAAAATTCATTACCGCCTATTGCGCTTTGTTTCGAAAAGCATCTCATTCTTTCGCAACCAGTGCATCCCACCCCACCTCGCATGGATCAACAGCGACTGTGTTTATAGCATCAGGCTGCCATGCTAGCCTTACGCCACCAGGGCACTGGTTAGCATCTTTTGTTGTGATCGGGACCTCAGCTGCCTTATGACCTTAAGCGCAAGGGCGGAGTTTGCTTTCATACCATTTTAGTCGATAATTGTGTCACGGAACAACAATACCGAGCTTTGGCTTCATTTGAGCCCGTGCGGTCGGCGTCCAGTTTAAGCTCACAAACCTCGCTCCCTTTGTCTGGGTTGAAAAGAGGACCTACAGCCCCCCATCAATTCTGTTCCAAAACGCAACTCTCCAGTTCGCCTTCAAGTTACTTGCTACTCACCGACAAGATGCCTCGAAGACGGGCCGCAAAGGCCTTCACTGGAGCAGATTTCAGTACTGATGACGAGGACACTGCAATTCCGGCTTTGGAGAAGCCCAACCTACCCAAATTGAGGGGAACGCCTAGTTCCAGGCGGCAGTACACGTATGGTTCAGACGCAGAGCCACAGGCTAGTCCTCGCTATCGCCATGATGGGCCTGTTGATCTTAGCAACGCCGTAAAGGGTGTTTTGAACCGCCAGCATGAGGATGATCAGCGTTCTGCCAGGGCTCGCATGCCTCCTCCCCCTCCACCAAAACCTGCCGTGGATGACGGGGACCAGACCGACGAGCTGGCAGCCGATCATGTTCGGCCGGCAGCGGAACCAAAGGAACAAGGTATGAACCGTATCTCCAAGCACTTACGGACTCATGGATTAACATGACTGTAGACAAACAACGCCGTGCGGCATCTAAAGGTTCCCGCTCTTATTTACACTCAGAAGACACAGCTCCTCCGCAGCGCAAAGGCATCACGAGTGCTCTAGAGCAGAAGACGCAAGTAACAGATCCGACCGACGACTTGCGCAGCTTTGGGACGGAAAGCGACTATTTCGTTGATGCGACGATAGTCTCGTCGCCTGGGAATTTGCCTCCCATTGGCAACTTCTCAAAATCAGTCAACAGGCAGTCGCAGTCACTCCTGCCTGGGCGTCTACAGGGCGCACCACAACTAAGCTCATCAGAAGAATCAGAGGTACAGCCCGCCAGGGAGCCGCTTACCCGTAACCGTATATCGAAAGCACTCAGCACAAGCGAAAAGCTGAAGCCTCAAGCGTCGGCCACCGGGTCATTGAGGAGAAGTCCGCGGAAATCGAGATTGGGTGCCGAAGTCACCTCACAGCCCCAGGAGGCGGAGACTCAGCAAGAAGACATTATAACGAAGGGCAAAGCATTGCTTGGTCTTCGGAAATCTCGAGTCACGTTTGCGAACGGCCACGCACGAGAGCAACAGTTTGCATCCCATCACAGTGAGCAGGATGACGCAATCCAGCAGGAGATTGAAGCAAGTGAGGCAAGGTCTCAAAGTGCTGCTGCACCGAGCCCTTGGAGAGATCGATGGATGAAGGTGCAACAGTTTTCGCCTTTCAGCGCAAGGGCTCGTCGCGCCCCAGCGGAGGATAGCCAAACCGACGAGGATGAGCAAGAAGAAGAGCCCGAAGCTCCGCGCGATTTCCTATTACCCGGCGAAGCAGGGATCGATTGGGCGCGTATTCTGAACCCTGAGCCATATCTTCGGCCCATTTTCAAGCTTCTTGACTCTATCCTTGATGCATTGGCTGTGATTCTTTCCACCATCAAGCGGTATATCACCCGCATAGCGGGCCATAGAAACTCTAGCGGAGCGTCGCTTGTCTTCTTCGTCTTGGTGATGGTCTTCTCCGCTATATTTGTTCCTTGGGAAGCATTATTGGCACGTGGAGGCGGCTTAAAAATGTCGCCCACGTCGTGGAATGTGGGAGAGAGCCTTGACTCCATTGGCGGGTACATCCGTTCGATACCGTTGCCATCCTGGCGAAAAGATAAATCAGGCCTTTGGGACCTGGGTGAGGGCCTCCACGAAGTTGAGGATTACCTCAGGCATTACCAGAAGGAATTTGACTCTGTGAAGAAGACTGGGCTTCTTCATGGCGACGCCATCAAGAAGCTGCAAAACATCGTGCCCTCCGTTGTACATATGGAGTTGAGAGACGGAAAGCCCGTAGTCTCTGAAGCATTTTGGCATGCGATACGGGATCTTGTTCGAGGTGACGAGAATGTGTTGACAATTGGTAAGGACACTGATGGTGTTCCGCATATCAAATCCGATCGAAGGTGGCGGGCCATTGCGGCCAAATTGACAACAGACCCTGTCTTCCAATCTAAACTCAACCTCAGCCTAAAGGGCGTTGAAGATGCCATCGACAAGAAAATGACCAGCCATTGGGATGGCTGGATCAAAGAAAATGACAAAAGAGTACTGAGGGTGGTAGATCCGCTTCTCAAGAATCTCCCAACCCCTCCCTCTGACATAGAGTTGGATGCCCGTATCCAGCAAGTGGTCCAAAAGCACCTCGGGAGCAGACAGCCGACCCAGGAAGGAGTTGTGGTGTCGAAGGAAGAATTTCTTCGTCATTTGAAGAGCGAGTTTGCAAACCATCGATCTGAGATTCGATCCGAGCTGGACGACCTGAGACCACGACTCGAGCAGCTTGTCAAGGATACTGTGGCTGCTGCAAATGATGTTCAGCCTGCCCCCGATACCATGACTCGTGAAGAGATAACCACCCTTGTTCACGGCCTTCTTCGCAACGCCCTCTCGGAAGCGAGCCTCGAGGCTCTGGCCAATGGAAAGATCCACGCCCATTTTGAAGTAGAGTTGAAAAACGAGGTTAATCACTTCGCTCAGGGTGCCGGAGCCACTATCAACACGGGCCTATCATCAAAGACATATGACCCCATGGGCCGTGGCGTCACAAGAGATTATTCCAGAGGCGTTAGAGGCCCTCTAGCTTATCCACACGTTGCTGCCCTAGACACTTGGTTTGAGGAAGGCGACTGCTGGTGTGCTGCGCGTGATGTCAATCACCGAGGCAATCCCCACGGTGTGACGTTGGCAATTCAGCTCGGACGTCGAGTCATTCCCCAGCACTTCGTCATCGACCACATTCTACCAGGAGCCACAACCGAACCAGGCGCCCGTCCTCGAGAAATTGAAATCTATGCCGACATAGAGGAATCCACCATCCGAGAGCGCGTACGCGATTTCTCGGCTACACATTTCCCTGACCCGACAGACTGGAACAGCCACCAGGCCAACCTGCCGGCAAGCTTCGTAAAGATCGGCCGATTCGTATATGAAGGAGCTGAGCTACATGATGGGACGCAACTTTACCGCCTCAGTGAGGAGTTGGTCCACTTGGGAGCTGCCACTGACCAAGTCGCCGTCAGGGCCATCAGCAACTACGGCGCTCCCAACCACACCTGTTTCTATCGACTGAGGCTGTTCGGCCAACAGGTGGATGACTAGAGCTGTGAAATGACTTGTAGGAGTTTCCTTCCCTGCTATTTAACTGTTAGTTCTTTGTCTTTTTGAGATTTCTGGAGAGCAAGTGTATGTGGTTTGATTTGGCGTTCCCACAGTTTTGTGATATGACGAACAGAAGCAAGCACTGGCGTGTTTTTTCATTGCCCCAGTCCTATGAAAAGTAAAGGGATGGGGTATTCATTGGTTAATAAGGTAGAACAAGTACATACACTCGTAAATAGTTGTTTGAAGATTAATCGAACATTGTACTTTTTTTCTCCTCTGAACAATCAACGAGAACGTGCCATGATAAGAATCTATATACAAAAGGGTATCTATCATAGAAAACGCCATCATCCATCCAGCAATCCCGTAGCGAGTGCTTCCAAATCCTCCAGCGTCTCGGGCTCCTCCTGCACCTCGAACACCTTGCCCTTGCTCTTGCTCTTCTTCTTGGCCTTGGCGCTCTTCTTGCCCGCATCCGACTCCACGTCCGAGTCCTGCTGGAACCACTTCTTGGCCTTCTTCCTCGGCGGCTCGTCGCCCGACTCGTCCCCGCTGCCATCTTCGCCCGCGATGGGCAGCGACCGCAGTAAAGCGAGCGGATCTTCTTCCTCGCCGTCGCCGCCACCAACGAGCTGCGGGGCCTCGTCGCCCGAGTCCATGAACTCGGCCCGCTCCGCCGCCTTCCTCTTCTCCTTCTTCTCGCGCTTCTTCTGCCTCGCGAGCGCCTTGTCGTCGACGTCGGCCTCCTTGACCCGGGCGGTCTCGCCCTCGAGGAACTTCTGCCTGAGCTCCTCGGCCGCGCCCTCCTGCTTGAAGTCGTCCTCGTCCTGGAGCTCGTAGATCTCGTGCGCGTTGCCGTCGTCGTCGTAGACGAGCTTGGACGCGTTGCCCCGGAACTTGAGCATCTTCTTCTTGGACTTGAGGGCCTTCTCGCGGCGCTTCGAGTCGACCACGTAGGCCTCGCCGCCGCCGAGGTCGAGGGCCTTGATGACCGTCCCGGGCGCCTTCCTCGACTCCGCGTCCAGGTCGTCGTCGTTGAGGCGGCGCTTGACGGCGAGGAAGTCGTCGTCGGAGTCGTCGTTGTTGTCCTGGTCGTCCACGATCTTGCTGTAGTGGCTGGAGAAGACGTCTTGGTTGGTTCGCTCGAACATCTTGTCGTACTTGGTCCGCACCTCGTCCTTCTTCTTCTTCTTTGGCTTCTCCTTCGGCCCGTCCAGGTCCATGTCGGACTCTGAGTCGCTCGACATGTTGGCGCGCGGGGCGTTCTTTATCCGCTTGATGTCCTCGCCCTTCTGGAACTTGATCTGCGGCGTACCGGGGAGACCCATCCCCGCGGCGTAGGCGTCCAGGTCCAGCTTGTCGAGGTTGAAGATCTCCTTGTCCCTTTGCAAGTGGATGGCGCGGGCGTAGCTGATGAAAGCCTTTTGTCCCAGGTACTTCAAGTCGGGATTTTGGAAGCACATGTTCTGCAGGCTGTTTTGTATGCTCTTCTTTTTCTTCTCCTTGACGTTCACTTTCTGGATCGGGATCTTCTTCTGCTCCAACCTTTGCAGCATGCCAGCCTCCTCACTGGGGTCGAGGAACAAGACGGCTCGTCCGTTGCTTTGGTAGCGTGCTGTTCGTCCTACACGGTGGATATAGGTGTCTGAGTCTTCGGGGCAGTCGACCTGGATGACCCAATCGACGGCAGGGAAATCGATACCTCGCGCGACGACATCGGTGGCGAACAGGCACGAGTGCTTGGCTGATGTGAATCTTGACGTGATCTCAAGTCGTGCTAACTGCTTCTGTCGTCCATGGAGGTGGAGTAGAGGGATACCGGGCTGGAGATGTCTGAAGCTCTCGTAGACGAAGCGGACCTGCTTTCCTGAGCTTAGGAACACGACGATTTTGCTCTTGAGATTCGCTTTGATGAAGCCATATAGCGTATCGATTTTCTCGTGGAGAGGGGTGACGATGTAGTGTTGCTGGAGATTGGAAGGTGTGGAGGAAGCGGCGGACTCGTGGACGGATACATATTCGGGATCCTTGAGGCTGAGACGTGCAAGGTCGGAAACCTTCTTGCTTTGAGTGGCGCTGAACATCAGTGTTTGCCGAGACTTGGGCAGATGCTCAACCAGGGCATCGACATCCCTTTGGAAACCCATGTCCATGATACGATCGGCCTCGTCCAGGACGAGGATCTGCAGGTTATCGGCGTCGAAGCCAGCGGTCTGGTCGAGATGCTGTAGCATTCGACCGGGCGTGCAGACCAGGATGTTCATTCTCGTAAGTCGCTCGGCCTCCTCCTTCAAGCTCTTGCCTCCAATGACCAGCCCCGCAGAGAATGCATGATACCGGCCGACCTTGCGCAAAACCTCAAAGATCTGGACAGCCAACTCGCGGGTTGGGGAGATGATGAGGGCGCCAAGCCCGTCGAATTCGGTCCACTGCGCCCGATAGAGCTTCTCCAAGACAGGTAGAATAAACGCCAAAGTCTTTCCGCTACCTGTCTTCGCTGCGCCGAGGATATCATTGTTCTTGAGGGCCAGAGGAATGGCGCCTGCTTGGATGTCGGTAAGGGTGGTGAAATGCGATGCCTTCAGGCCAGAGGTGGTCGGCTGCGACAAGGGTAGGTCGGAGAAGAGCTTGATTTCGGTGCTCTTGAGGTCCTGTATGGTTCATTGCAGACGTCAGCATGTTGCACTGTGAGGGAGACAAGGCTGGGATGGGTGTGAAGAGGAAATTCCTTACCAGGTCCGAGACGCGGGCCTCGAGGCTCTGCAGGTCTTCCTGCTCTCTCTTGCGCTTCTGTTGGCGGATCTCTTGCTTTCCATGCTTCTGGCCCTTGGGCTTGGGCGGTCGCCCCGAATTGGAAACACGGGTGGCCATTCGGACGAGCTGGTGGGAGTGGTTGATTGCGGTTGCAACGAAATAAATCTTTGGCTGCAAGTCGACTCTCCAGTCTCAAAACTTTTTGAGTGGGGCGCTGGTTGGTCGTCGGCTTTCATCAAATCCGACCACCGATCCAGAACACTGGCCTACCCTGTACCATGCCAACTCCGCTCGCGTGACCTGATGATCTGGAATTTCCGCACAATCCAACAACCCACTCCCAACCCCCAGCTGCTCGACATGATCTTCCGTGGCGCGGAATTTCGGCCGTCGTGCTGCATTTTGCGCTGGGCGCCAAGGCCATGCTCAGCCCCGGCTGAAGCACACGTCCCAGAGTGCGTGCTCTGGCCCAGTAAATCCATTGGTCCCCAGGACGATTATTGTCGGGCAATTCGTCTATGAATCTGCCTCAGATCAAGCACTCACGGCTAAAATGGGGCAACTGGATTGCCCGGGAGCAGATGCATCATCGGTCAAGCTAAGCCAGGGCAAGGAGCAGAGCTGATAAAATTCCCGAGCAAGCCACTCCCGCATGGCTCGTCTTGATGCTTCTGGCATGACATCAAAGCCGTTGAGGAAGATCGACTGAGATGTCCGCTTCCGACGGTCCTCCCCCGCCAAAAACAGCGGCTGCAAAGTCGGCCGGCGCGTACTTTTTCCTGTACTGGGTTGGTTTGTGTATGCACATAGCTATGATGATCATCGGCTGCCTCGCGTATACTGGTGGTGGAAACCGGGAGGACTCCCCGTACGGATTACATTCACCACTCTCAGTCACCATGTACAACGGGCATTTATCGCAATGGTACGAGCATCCCGTCGCTTGAGGTCGCGGCGATCGCAATCCCTCCTTCACTTGTTTGCTAATGCCGTTTGGTCCCAGGCCGCCCTCGCTATACTTCTCGAGTCGTATCTGTCGTATGCGGCCCTCATTTATGTCTACCGGTTGAGAGGAAGAAACTACGACGAAGACGACCTGTTCCGGGCAATTCGCGTCATTAACTTTGGATGTATTCCATGGCATGTTTTCTGCGTTATTGCCTTCGGTGTCCTCTTGGGTCTTGCGTCAACCTACGTGCCGCTTCTATCATCGGAGTTATCCGAATGCAATTCATACGGTGATAGGCTAACGCAGTGTCCCATGGTCAATGGCACATGGATTTTGGCGATATTCTACTGGTAGGTCCAATTCGAGCTGGTTCAGCTTTGGCCTTTGCCCAATCAAGACAACTAATCCTTTCTTCTCAGCTTGTGGCACGTCGGGCAGCTCCTCGTCATTATCCGATTTCGCAATCGCTTGGTGCACTTTGTCCCAGAAGATGAAGACTGCGGCTACGAGATTCTCCCGCCGCCTGTCAGACACATCCCCGCGGTTCCACGGTCCAAGGGTTCCCGCCCACCGTCCTACCGGTCGAACCTGGATAACCCACCGAGTTATACGCCAGTGTCGTCGCAAAATGGGGTGAAGTATCAATTAGCTCTCCCTCCGCCTAGCGCTGGCACTTCAAGGATGTTTACCGTGACCGAACGAGACTGAGCTGCTACAAAAAGTGGTACAGTTCGAAATCGGGTAGCCGAAAGGCATCTCGCTATCTCTATGATGCATAAGATTTCTCACCGAGATGGCTTGGTTTGAGCCTGGGAATGCGCAGGTCACACCTGATTTTCTTATGGGCTCCTCGTAAAAATACGTTAACTATAAACATCTGTAAATAATATTTCTTCTTGTTTATCTTAATGAACGCGACTGCTCATACAAATTTTGACTTGCGAGTGATTGATGCACGAAAAGATTGGTTTATTTTAAGCTTAGCGATAATGCCGACTGCCCTAAAACTTGTGCGTCTCGCCATCATTCTTCTCTCATATTGCAGAGCTGCTCGTCTAGCCAATGTCAAGTTTTTTGAATGAAGTTCTGTAATTCATGATTAAGCGTGATGTCTGCCCTGATGTCTCAACCACTCCTTGTCTTCCTTTTGTGCTTCTGCTCCAAGTGAGATAAATCATCATCGCCCACTCCCACATTCTTAGACTCACGCTCATCAAGCAATGTTCGCCGAAGAAGCTCTGGCCTTGTTGCCCTTCAATTACCCGCAACACACTCTCCGATCACGCTACCTCTGCCTTTGTATGTTAATAGTGCATTAATTTGTTCATTGCCATCGTTTCCGGTCCTCTCCTTCTGGGGTAGCCAACTCCCGGCCCTGTTATATCACATTACCACTGCCTGCCGCGTAGTTGAATCGCGACTTCGAGGACTCTTCGCAATTACGGGCTCCTCCTCCTCATCTATAAGCTTAGTCTCCTCGTGTCGACCCTCCACGGCCCGAAACGTGGGATTACTTTGAGATGACGCCTCTGCGCGTACTGAAAAAAAGCTCCACCACTGTAACACAATGGCTAACACCTTGAGAACACTCAGAACAGCGGGAATGGTGAGAAGCTCAGCAGCGGTATCTCTAGTTAGGGCAGGCCTGGCCTTGATCTCTGTATTGACGAGGGTTGAGGCCATGCTCTCCGATAATTCCTGCTGGGCTTCTGTTGTGTCGGAACGGTTGTCTTCTTCTGTGATAGCATCCTCAGATTTGTTCTCAATCCGGCCAGCTGGCTTGCCGAGTTGGAGCTTCAATAATTCATCGTCGCCTAGATCTAAGATAGCCCCCATTGTGTTCATATTTGATGCGATTAGACCTGGAGCGGATTCAGCGGAAACGGGCTGGGGCAGGGGCTCAGAAAAAAAGTTGGCCGTCTTGGGAGAGGGAAGCTCGACGGGACAATCTATGTAGTTTTCCCTCTGCATGTCCATGTTCAGCCCATGGGCGATCTGGTCAAGCCGTTTTGTGCTGGGCAGACCAGTGAGGTCTATCCGAGTCAAGGTGGACAAGTCCTGCTTGGTAAGATTGGATGAGAACTTGATCATGCTGTACTTGAGCTTGCTGCCTCTGTCGCGCAGTTTCCCGTCAATCTCGACCCGCATGAAAACAGGTCTCTGACTGTGTTCAAAAGCAAAGGCAGTGTGATACTCTTGCCGATGATCCTGAGTAGCGTCGAGGCTGTTCCCGCTCAGCTCCCACTCCAATGTGCGATAGCCTGGGCCTGTCTTGGGCTTCCGGACGAGACCTTTGAACACCCATCGATCGGTCAACTCGCGAGATACCGTCGTTTCATGCCCGACACCCCCCAGCTCGAAGCCCATCATGCCGAGAGTGGGGATTATCTTGTTGGACTTTGCCTCGGTGCGAGTTGATTTCGCCCCGGTGAGGTATCGAGGGCCGTAGTGGTCAGTAAATTGCACAGCACAGGCAGCGTCTAGAGACTGCTCGCGTCTTCTGGCACGGCTATGTCCGCTGTCCTTCCTCAGCGCATAAGACTCGGGGTCCTCACTCAGTGTGACATAGACGTTGGCTCGCTCCAGGCTGTAACCCGCGGGCTGGTGGAAGGTGATGTCCATGTACATAATGCCCGCCGGGTCTGATCTCCCCAGCACACCCCATTGCGACTTTTTCCACCGGTACTTGCAGTCGATGTCAATCTTGCCAATTGAATGCGACCCGATGGAGAGATTGGATCCTCGGGCTGTCTTCTGGCAGAATTTCTCGAAATCATTTCGACCATATCGGACCTGGATGGGTGGTCCTACATGCATGGTGGCTGCTTGGTTCAAGGCGAGACACAACTGGTGGCGAGGCGAGATGGGCAAACGGAGCGGTTGGCTGATTATGACTGCCTAAATGACTGATCGAATTTGAAACTGCACATTTGGTGAGCAGGACACTCGAATGTGACCGAGATGTCGACATACTCGCCTTTAGTTGGCGGTTGGTGTGGTTCCTCAATCGCTGGCCTCAAGCTGGCGATCGCTCGTTTGAGTGGAATGAAGCGAAAGATTGGTTCGGCGGGATGAGGCAGCCTGCATATTTGAGGCGATCCAGATGATATGAGGCAATATTTTCGGACCCCTGGACCTCTGCCTGTTGGAGGCAGTGCTCGGTGGCGTTGCATGCATATAAGACGTAGGACCAACGACATGTTACATCCTTCATGCAAGAGGAGGTGGTCAGCTCGAAATGCATGCCTGGGAACTATTTTTGTGTTCTCTTACCGCCAGCCTTAAATCCACCCTTGTGTCGGCCTGCACCAACATTTGGTGTTTACTGCGGGTTTTTTCTCTGCCATCTTGACAAGTCAACTCACACTTCTCTGCTTTAGTAACCATTTCCTCACATCGCATCACGTTCGCCCTTTATGACGTGGAGACCTGATGAAGACACCAATGAAGATGCAAGCCATTCTCAGCACTGGTTGCAGTTTCTCGACTCCTTGAAGGAGGCCCCGGATGAATTTTCAAAGGCAGTCGTAAAACGCCATCGAGGATTCAAAAGAGACATGGCGAGCCCCAAGCCTAACAATGACTTCCTTGATGACGGCGACTCATATGTTACCTTGAGAACGCGCAGAGAGAGCTCTCCAACAGGACGCCATAGTCCACCACTCCGAGCTCGTTATGCGTACTTTCCAGAGGAAGACAGGCGCCGACGCCGAGAACGCAGTTCCTCCGGCTCCTCATCAGGCTCATTTTCACGCCCACGCGAACGATTTAGTGACAAGCATCGGGAAGGCCGTGACACGAGTGCCGCATCTGTGTCTATCGACCCTTCCAAAGCGGAAGATGCCACTTTGCATCTTTCTCTTCCCACGGCTTATGACATTGAAGATGCCTTAGAAGAAGCGGCCAGGTTAAGGAGAATTGGCCACTTCAAGGCTGCCATCGAAATATACGAGCAAGATCTAAGACACTTCTTGGAAATTAAGTATGTCATGGTTCAATATGCGGAATGTCTTCTAGAGGCTGGGCAAATCTCCAAGTTCTCAGGATTACAAATGAAGCTCCCAGAAAGCCAGCCGGTGGATAGTCTCGATTTGAATTGGGCGTTCATGAAGTTGCGGCCAGAAGTCTCGACGTTTTTCCCTGCCCACCTGCAACATGTATTGGATGATTCAATGAGAATAATTTACCGAAACTGGCCTCGGCTGGACTCAACAGAGGTATGTGCCGTCCACTTACAATTAGTTCCAGTTGAGTATTCCCTAATGAGTAACCTCGCAGGTTCAATTGTTGAAATATAGCTTGGACAGAATCAACGATGATATCAATTGGGATAGTCTCTATCGGCACTTTCGCGACGAGCATATGATTTGGGAGTTTCATGACCTCTTCGTTAGCATGGCCTCTAAATCCAGCCTCGAAGTCAGCTGGCGTCGGTTCTTCCCGAGGGCAAGGGATATTCCCACAAGCTGTCTAGAGCAGCTGGACCAAGACTGGCTCAAAGAAGGCGCGGACATCTCAACCAACTTCGCCCTTCTGGACATCTTAACAGACTCTGGTCTGCTTTATTTGAGAGTGCGGCCCACGAAGACAAAAGCCCTGGAATGCCTGGAAAAGGCGGGCGATTACGCAGCCCTGCTTCGATCCCAAGATGCGAGCAATGTCAAATCCCGCCCCTACTTGCGGTGGATGGTGGCCAAAGCAATGATAGAGGAGTGTCCGGATCGACCATGGACTTTGATTGAGAATGAACGAGGTTCTCTCAGCCCTCTATTCCGGGGGTTTATGACCCCAACAGGGGTCTTTCCAGATCAATCCTGGCCATTATATGCCCCCTTTGACGGCGAGCGGATTCAAGTTGTAAAAGCAAAATGTGTTGTTATTAACAAGAGACTTGCTACCATCATCAAGGCTGCAGAAGAGATTGGCGATCTTCTCTTGAGGACCGCATGTCTGAAGGAGCTAGTATTGAACGGCGCAGAGGGAACAGAAGGCATCATGGAGAAGCTTGAGGACCTCTGGACGGAGAGTGGACATGCGGATTCGGTATCTCAAATGCACCTTTACCAATATCTCCTGATGCAAGAACCATTAGATGACGGCAAGGTTCGTCGCCGTATCCTTCTGGATGGTGAAACGAGCACCGGATTAATTTACTACACCCGGTGTAGGGTTATGGCCGCCTTAGCAACTAACGACAGAGAGCGTGAATATTATGATCTAAAGGCAGAAGACTACCAAGCAGCTCGCTACATGGCGAGGGAGCGTTCGGTATCGCAAGAGCGTTCCCATCCTCACACGACAGTTTCCGATTCTCAAGCGCCGCACAGATCGAGCGGTGGCAGAGAGCGAGAAGAGTCTCCAAACTTCCCCAGACCTAGCGATGGCCAGAAAAGAAACGCAAAGTCGCAGGAATCAAGTCTGCAGACACTGCGAACCCCTCCCACAACCGCGCCTACTGAGCCCCTCACGCCTAAGCGCCTTGCTGTGAGGGAACAGCAGCAAAATATGATCATAAGAAGTCGAGAAAATGAGGTCATTAGAAAGGGGGAAGGCGAGGCCACCGAGACGGCGAATACTTCTAGCGGGAAGAAGACAGACCTTACTGTGACAGAATATAGTAGCAAGAACCCGGTAAATACTGAACATGAGGATGAGGATCCCACGTCTGGTAAGTCTAAGCCAGAGAACCGTAGTGTCATGGAATTCTAATATGAAGCAGATGAGACTGAAACACCGCGACCTCCGGTAGAATATAGCGACCCAGACGACGAGGACCTGCCTCGTCGAGATAGCATAGATATTTTACCTCACGAAAAAGCTGCGCTGGAGAGCACTGATGGCAATGGAGACGAGGGACAGCCACACACTGAGAACAACGGCACATGGTCGTGACATCAATAAGAAACAGAACCATGACCCTGACGCGAAGCCGGTTCGTTTGCATAGCCTATCAGCCCCTCCGAATAAGATAGAAATATGCTGCGTATTCTTCTTAAATTTAAAGGCTACTTTTCTTTCTTCACGTACCTTGTTTACTTGAGAACATACTAGCAAAAATGAAGCTTGCTCCACCCACTCTCTTTTTGGACCAACTCGTACTACGAATTTGGAACATTACTCGCTCAGAGGCTATAGAACTAGAAACTTAATAAATAGACATTTGTTTCATAGTATTTAAATTCAAGCCCATAAGTCTCTGACTTGGAGAAATTGTGCTGGGGACATTCCACCTGTTCCAATTCAATATTTGTCAGCCCCCTTTGGATGTTACGGGCGTTTATTATTAATAATGGTACCTTTTGGTTGAAGGTACCTAGAGAAAGATTTGTGAGCCCCACAATACCTAGATAGGAAGTAAGAGCTTTCCAAACCCAGTAGAACGTCAATGGATGGATCCCAGCTGGTGTAAGCTGATAGGAAATGGCGTGCTTTCTTGGGATCTATATCTTTCCCAAATGCTTTTTTTCTTTCGTTCTTTTTCGATTCAAAATTTAACATTATTATCAAAAATCGGATTCTTTACAAATTTCCCGATCAATATGGCTACCCCTGCGTTCGGAAGGGAAAAAATACTTGCGTGGCTGCATGAGGTTAGTTGTACCACCTGTTGACAATGTCAAACAATGCATTAATAAAGCTCAAGTTTCATTCTGCCAGCAAGACTCTGGATGCAGATTACTGGCTGGACAACTTTTTCACAGAAAATGCCAGCTTGCAATATGCCAACAGCCCCGTCATATCTGGGCCAAGCGTCCGGCAGGTTAGAACATCTCCACCATCTATAACCTTTTCCACGTTCTAAAATATTCAACAGATGTTTCAAGAAGTGTTCAAAAAGCTTGATTTGATGACACACGAGGTACTATATTTCGGTACGTACCGCAATGATCTGCAGCTTTCCAAACAAGACAATCGGCCGACTAAAACCGCGTAGATTTCATTGGAGATCGGATATACCAAGCAGCTAAGATTAGATACCTCGTGAAGGGAGACAGCCCCGACGAAGATTTGATTGAAATTCCTGGGTTCGCGGTATTCAATGTGGAACATGGGGAAGATGAGAAACTCCGATGCTACAAGGCCGAAATCTTCTTGGATCCTTCTCCAGTCTTCCACCGAATTGCGGAAAAGGGCCTATAAATAAAGTCTAATGAGACTTCCATACACTTATCGTATGCTATAGTATCATATGCCAATGAAATATACTTGCTGTGATTCAATCAGCCAGTGTTCCAGTGTTAATCACCGTCCGCGGCTTAGTCTGGGGTTCACGATCTGCTATACTGTAGCTCTTTAGCATAACAACTTGGAGGCTGCTCCGAAGGCCTTGGCAGAAAGCAAATGCGGAATGTAAACCCCGCATTGCGGAGTGTGTAACGTAATTTCATGCCTGTTGTGTCAAGTAGATGGGTGGGATCGTTTCGCTTCACCGACAACATTCCCTCTGAACTCGGTCAAATACCATTCAGTAAGTAGGGAGGAAAGAGTGACTATACATTGATCCCATCATATGGATGCTTTAATAAGTCTCTAATGTCACGACATATTATAACATTCTTGGCTACTTCTTCTGACAGTGTAGCGCATTACATACCGTGACAGACATTCTATTTTTTTTTTTTACTTCTCTTTACAACAGGACGCTGTACACCATGACTTCGGGTTCGCCTGTATCAAGGTGAAAACGGAGATTGAAAGCGGCATGACTTATCGTCGGCCGAGTGAGATGAAGTTTGTTGATACCGGCGTCTATGGACTGATCGTGGAGCAACGACCTGCTTGAAGGGGATTGCGATGTCCGCTCTTATTTACTTAGGATGAAAGCTCTCTGTAATCGAGGGCTATAGGAATCATGAACGGGTTCAAGTTATTGTGACTAGTGGCTCGCCCGATGTGAAACAGGGTGGTGCCTGGGAATTTGTAGCGTAGGTGACGTCTATTTTAGTACTTCTTTGAGTCAAGTCATGTGCATGCCGAAACTACTAAAACTGTCACCATTCTTGCTATCACTGAAGGCTAAGACAGGTCCGCGTAATTTTACGAAGACATGCCCGATGAACTCGATCCTAGCTGCGAATAGGATCTACAAGTCGTCACGCTCGATATCATACGTAGTTTAGTGAAAGACGGGACGGCAACAAGTAATGAGACAGGTCTCAAACAAATGCCGCGAGATTACGTTTATCGTATTAGAAGACTTGACTTGAGTCATTATTTATCACGTTTTGCCGTTATTTGAGGCTATATTGACAAGAAAACCACATCATTGAAAAACTTCTACATGGTGTAAATGTTGGATCTTTGTCATATCGTATATATGTACTTTGGTTTGCCTACGATCGCCGAATTCTCAGACAACCTCGTAGATGAATTATTGGGCCTGTCTCTTGAGCTCTACGGGCAGAAATGCTGCGCCGCTGCTCCACCTAATATCTAGGAATGAAGTTGTTGAATTTTCAAGGTCGAAACCGAAACCGCTCCTGATCATAGAGTAGATGGTGTTTTTGATGAGCTAATAACACTATTACTCTAAAACATATACCGCTAACCTTCTTATAGTAATGGAAAGCACCGAAAATCATCGGCCTTCGGCAGGGTGAGACAACATGCCAACCAACGATTCTTCTAGAGGAAGGTTAAAAGCGCCTACCGAAAGAAGGATGGAACTGAGAAAATCAATGTACTGAAATGGGTAAACGGACAAAAGATAAGAGGATTGGGTGTGGATTTCCTAACGATTCAGAATTTTTGCACACGTTAGCTACAAGATGAGGATGGCGGAGCCACTTCTTGCATCACGCCTCAGGATCAGGGTAACCGCAGGGAAGAAGCGGCTTAACTACACTCTGAGACAAATATCTTCAGCAATCCCTCATCTCATTCCTCATGTTGTCATGTGTTACTCGTTCTTCAGCGCCACGTCAACGGTCAAGATGAGACATTCATTATCTCCAAATACCTTGATGGCTTGGCTTTTCCCGAAGAAATGGCATGACGTAGTCAGCGGGGATCAAGGAAGTCGAGTTTGCCAAGACCGTTGAGATGGAAACAGTTACCGGGAAACCGATTGCAAGTGCGATTCGACCTCTTTTAAATCAGTTCTAATAAAGACAAGATGACTTCGAAACGCCGCACGGAAGAGGTTTACTTTTTCACCACTCCCGATCCCCCTAGTCGGTGTCTTCTAGTGGTGGCGGTTGCTCCCCTCGTTCGGCTGAAGCTTCAATATGGTGATCCCGGTTAGGCTACTGCGCCTTGTAGCCTTCTCATCCTTCTTGGCCCCTCTAAGTCGCGTTGCTGCTCTGGTGCTCCATCAGGACGGAAAAGCGGAGGATGCCCCTGATAAGCTTGAGCCCATCGCCGTTTTGGTGCTTCATCAGGAGGGAAAAGTAGATGATGACCGGGACTCTTTTGAGTCCGTCACTAGTACAAGCCACGATTATGTCGAGCCCGCCACCAATGAAGGCCCGGTCTACATCGAGTTGATGGCTGATATAGGCCCGGACTACGTCGAGTCCACCATAGATGAAGGCTCGGACTATCTAGAGCCTATCATCGGTCCAAGCCTAGATTCTACCGCACCCGCTCCTGGTATAGCCTTGGAAGGGTAAGTCACTTGCAAGATTCGGTCTCATTCTCAAACTAACAATATCACTATTAGATGGAGGAAGTCGTCCAATAAGGAGTCCTCTACACATATTGTAGAGCATTACAACGTCATCATTTTGGACTCAACAAGACGTGGGAGTGGACGCTCCCGAGCACGAGCACGAGGGCGAGTACGTGAACGTGGCCGAGGTCGAGCGCGTGGACAAGTACAGGAGCATGTATTAACGACACCGGTATTGGACACACCCGTAGATATCACGAAGAGTTCTCCGAAAAAGGCAACTCCCTACGGTAGCAAGACCATCCAACTTGCTTATGCAGACGGGCCTACTGGACCTCCTGGACCTCCTGGACCGCAAGGTCCGAGAGGCAATCCGGGGCCGTCCGGACCAACCGGACCTCAGGGGCCCCGTGGGCCGGCTGGTCCCCAAGGCCTAAAGGGAAACGTCGGTTCGCAGGGCGTCAAAGGTGACATCGGCACCCAAGGCCCCAAGGGAGACATCGGTGCGCAAGGCCAAACTGGAATCACAGGTCAGCAAGGCCCCAAGGGTGAAGCAGGATCTCAGGGCCCGAAAGGCGATGCTGGAGCGCAGGGCCCCAAGGGAAATGTCGGAGTTCAAGGCATCAAGGGCGATACTGGTGCTCAGGGCCCGAAAGGCGACACTGGTGGCACAGGTGGCCAGGGACCAGTTGGCCTCACAGGTAGTGCTGGACCTCAGGGTGCTCCAGGCGCTCAGGGATTGACGGGCCCGAAAGGCGAGGCTGGTTCTCAAGGCCCTCAAGGTCTTCAAGGAACGACTGGCGTGAAAGGCGACACCGGTGCTCAAGGCCCAAAGGGTGACGCTGGCGCACAAGGTCTTCAGGGTCTTCAAGGTGCGAATGGTGTTAAAGGCGATACTGGTGCTGCTGGCCCTACTGGCCTAACCGGTCCTCAAGGCCCCAAAGGTAACACTGGTTCAATCGGGCCTCAGGGTCCTCAAGGGGCGAATGGTGACAAGGGAGAAGTCGGCCCAGCGGGTCCAATTGGTCTTGCTGGTTCACAAGGTCCCAAAGGAGACATCGGTCTCCAAGGACCAAAGGGTGATAATGGCTTGACCGGACTGCAGGGTCCTCAAGGCCCCAATGGTGTCAAAGGCGACACTGGCCTGCAAGGGCCCCAGGGACCAAAGGGAAGCACTGGTGAGAAAGGAGACGTTGGCCCTCCAGGATCTCAAGGGCCTCAAGGACTCCAGGGGCTCAATGGTGTGAAGGGTGATATTGGCCTCCAAGGACCACAAGGAACCAAGGGCGACGCGGGACTTCAGGGCCCCAAAGGCGACACCGGCAATCAGGGTCCCAAAGGCGAGACAGGCTCTCAAGGACCTAAAGGCGCCGTTGGAGCTCAAGGCCTAAAAGGTGATGCTGGTGCCCAGGGACCAAAAGGAGATACAGGCGGTATTGGTGGTGTAGGGCCTCAGGGACCCCAAGGACCACAAGGAGAAAAAGGTGACCCAGGGGTTGCAGGAACTCAAGGCCTTCAAGGGCCACAGGGCCTCACTGGGCCAAAGGGTGACTCTGGCCTCCAAGGTGTCCAGGGAGCGACAGGAGGTGTAGGACCACAAGGCCCCAAGGGAGAAACTGGCTCCCAAGGCCTCAAGGGTGACGCTGGCTCTCAAGGTGTCCAAGGTCTACAGGGGCTGCCAGGATCTCAAGGTCCGACTGGACCCAAGGGAGATACTGGAGCTCAAGGTATCTCAGGACCCCAAGGCCCTCAAGGCTTAACAGGAGCAACCGGCGAAAAGGGTGATACTGGTTCACAAGGCCTTCAGGGAGTCAAAGGAGATCCCGGCCCCCAAGGCCCGAAAGGTGACATTGGGTTTGAGGGACCTCAAGGACCTCAGGGACCAATAGGACTAAAGGGTGACACTGGCGGACAGGGCCCGAAAGGCGATATTGGTTTTCAAGGTCCCCAAGGCCCTGAAGGGCCACGAGGGCCTCAAGGCTTTCAAGGCATTCAGGGACTTCAAGGTCTTGAAGGAGAGAAGGGCGACACTGGTGCTATCGGCCTTCAAGGGCCTCAAGGTCTTGCTGGATCACAGGGAATACAAGGAGATACTGGCGAGAAAGGTGACACCGGATCGCAGGGACCTAAAGGCGACACTGGTGCTCAAGGCCCTCAAGGGCTCCAGGGACTTACTGGCCAGAAGGGAGATATTGGCTTACAAGGCCCCAAAGGAGACCCTGGCTCTCAAGGCTCTCAGGGAATTGAAGGGCCTCAAGGAGACAAAGGCGATACTGGCTCACAAGGCCTGAAAGGCGACACTGGAGCCCAGGGAACTCAGGGAATCAAGGGGGACACCGGCGCCCAAGGTCCCCAAGGTGTGAAGGGTGACGTTGGAATACAGGGAGTAAAGGGTGACACTGGCTCACAGGGCGTCAAAGGTGATACTGGAGCTCAGGGTCTCAAGGGAGATCCTGGTGTACAAGGCCCTAAGGGAGATGCCGGCGCACAGGGCTTGAAGGGGGATATTGGTGCTCAAGGCCCAACTGGCAGTACTGGCGCCCAAGGCCCAAAAGGCGACACCGGCTCTCAAGGTATACAGGGATTAGCTGGTGACAAGGGAGAAATTGGCCCGCAAGGCACACAGGGTCTAACTGGTCCAAAAGGCGACGTAGGCCCTCAAGGACTCCAAGGTTTAACTGGTCTGAAAGGAGATGTTGGTTCTCAAGGCCCTCAAGGCCTGACCGGCTCTCAAGGTCCAGCCGGAATAGCTGGTGCCAAAGGCGATACTGGACTAACGGGTCCAAAGGGCGACACTGGGTTGCAAGGTATACAAGGGCCTGCAGGTCCGAAAGGTGACGCCGGAGCAGCTGGTATCAAGGGCGATATTGGTGCACAGGGCCCCCAAGGCTTGACTGGCCTGAAAGGCGATACCGGTGCTCAAGGTCCAGCAGGCTTGAAAGGTGATACTGGCGCCCAGGGCCTTACTGGACTGAAAGGAGATACCGGTTCGCAAGGCGTGAAGGGTGACACGGGTGAGCAGGGTCTGATCGGCCCAACTGGCTCAGCAGGACCAAAGGGCGATACCGGCGCGCAAGGCGCTCAGGGACCTATTGGTTTACAAGGTCCTCAAGGTTTAGCTGGCCCTAAGGGCGATACGGGCCCTCAGGGAGTCCAGGGCTTAGCAGGTGTGAAGGGTGATGCCGGCATCCAGGGCCCCAAGGGCGAAACAGGCTCTCAGGGCCCCAAGGGCGACACTGGCGCACAAGGTCTCCAAGGCGCGGCTGGTGTGAAAGGTGACACTGGGGCTGCCGGCCCTAAAGGTGATGCTGGCGCCCAAGGTATCACTGGTAGCACTGGGCTGAAAGGAGAGATTGGCCCTCAAGGGTCGAAGGGTGAGACAGGCGAGAGGGGTATCCAGGGTGTTGCCGGTGTGAAGGGCGATACAGGAGCGACTGGCCCCAGGGGCGACGCTGGTGCGGCCGGACCCCAAGGCCTTGTAGGCCCAACCGGCAATACTGGGCCTCAGGGTCCTACTGGACCAACAGGTGCCGTTGGAGCGACCGGCGCGACTGGTGCTCAAGGCTTGAGGGGAGAGACCGGAGCTGCGGGTCCGGCGGGTCCGACTGGGCCGACGGGGCCGACCGGAGCAACGGGGGCGATCGGCCCCGCCGGAGCTACTGGAGCAACCGGCCCTCAAGGCCTCAGGGGTGAGTCCACCTCCTCGTACTCGGCCACTTACGACTACCTTGGATGCTTCCCCTCCACATTACTGAGCGGAAAATGGGGATTTAGTGGCACTGTTTGGACCCAGACATTGACAGGAACAATCGATGACTGCGCTGCTTACTGCACCACTGTTCAAGGCACCGGTGCTCCCACCCAGTTCTTTTCCCTGGGAACAGTGGGGGGGCTCGGGGTACTTGGATATCAGTGTACGTGTGGAAACGCTTTCCCAGACACTAGCACGGCCGATGAGAAGAGGAACACTTGCAATAGTCCATGCAAGGTGGGCACTGGCGGCCGCACTATTTATTGTGGTGCCGTGCTGGGCACAATGGTGTCCGTCTTTGCGGCGGTTTAGACACATTACGATCTCTATACTTTTTCTTTTCTCTTTTTTATCTCATTGTTGTTCTTTCTTGAACTAACACACCTACTGACTCTCAATTTCCTATTCGATCCTCTCTTTACACACACGATGTTTCCGTTATGTATTTAATCTAAAATACTATCAAACCCTAAAAAGATTAATGTAATACTAGATAAAATTATACTGAAATTTCTCCAAATTCTCTAATTAAGTCAGACTATGATGATAGTGGAAAGAGGAGAGTTGAAGCCTAATATCATAGCAACGTAGATATTTGACGGTGACATCCCTGAAGGCATGAAATACTTGATCCAAGTTCGATGTGTATAATATTCAACTTTATGACTCCCTGATTAGCATCAAATATGCGCTGTAAGAGCTACTTATAGTTTTATTTCGGCGCAAATTAGAGTTTCCTGGCTATCATCAACTATCCCGCCGTAGAACTACCTCCAAGATTCAAGTTTGAGCCTATCACGTTGAAATACTTTCTGTCTCAGGCATTGTTCATCAATTGATGAGCGGTTGAACGAACGAATCTTGTTCTCCTAGGAAGGGCTCATTATTCGAGCCTCTTTCCCCATTTGGGCTAGGCAACTTGCTCTAGTCCTGGTAGGATCTTATCGGGTAAAGTTGAGGTTCACCACATGTGTCACTATTCAAATGCCTTTATCGTTCAAGAAATATGTTAGCATCCGGACACTGCTTTTCAAACTGCCATATTTTCATATTGTCCTATGCTCAGGCTAACTAGCAGGTAGAAGAACGAAACCATTTAGAGTAAGGGGATGTGGCTTGACGCATCCATAAATGCCAAGCTTGGGTCAGATACATATCGTTGATATGGTTGATGTAGATGATTTGCTCTATAATCCCGATAATTTGTCGAGCACATGCTGCTCGAGATTCCAAGCCGATGGCCCGAAACTGAGGGTCTCCATTCTTCGTCCCTGATGACCCAAACAACCATGTTCCTTCTGTCGATGATACATCGCTTGCACTAGAGCTGCTTGAAGCACCCCGGGCTTACCCAGACCGAGGGACCGAAGTTCCTCGACTTCCTCGCGTGTGAAATAAGCTTTCTCCATCTTTTTGGCAAAGCGTTCTTCATCGACAACTCTGGGATCTAATCTGAATTTGCCAGGGATCACCTCCATCAGTTCCATATACCATCTCCCTTTAACTTGCACGACCGTAAGTTTATGGATCGTTGTCTTGATATAGGAGACAGCTCGATCGATGAGCTCCGTCTTCTGAGCGGAAAACACCGCAGCGTCGCGTGTCGACACGAGCGAAAGTACATTCGCATGCTTCAGGGCGAGGAATGCCTTGAGAGCCTCTTCAGTTCCTGTGCAGATTTGGCTTCGAAGCTCGTAGGCTTGCCTTTGGATAGTGTTTGACTCATAAGCCACCATTTTAGCCCGCCAGTAACCGTTATAATCTCCAAGCTTCTGACAGCGGTCAAAGATAGCACGATGCTGGAGATAGACATCCCACTCATACATCTTTTCGTGCCAGCCAAATTGAGCGCCGGTGATGTCGATGGCGAAGCTCTCACCGCTGTTGACCTGAACATAGAGCACCCAGTGGGTGTTACAGGCTGCGGCGATGCCGCCAGGGGGGATAATGAACATTGCGAGATCTTGTGGGTGGAGTCTCGCCTCGTGAATGGTGGAACAAACAGCTGGTATCAAAACGAGGTTAATAAGAGGTAAAGTGAATGGCGGAAAAGCAGACTGAATAACGAGATTCGTCAAGCAAAAGTTGAAACTCACGCTTCAAAAAGAGTTCGACAAGCCCTAAGCCGGCTGAGATGACTTCGCCGCAACTACAATCATGAAGAATTGCCAGCTTCACCGCGTCTTCAGCATCATTAGGCACCACGTCTCGATGGAAGTCGCGGAATATGGTCTCTCCAGTCCATCCGAGGTCCTTGGTGAGATCCGGCTCGCCATGGGCAGAGATGAAGCCGCCCTTCTCGACTTTGTATGTCAAGTATCTGTCATAGGCGAGAGTAGAAAAGGCTTCCCAGACCTCGGTAAGAAGTCGGACGGCCCTAGCAAGGCGGCGGCGATCCCGACAAATGGGCTTATGGAGGGACCAGTGCTGCTTCTGACAGGCGTCATTGCAGTAACGAGTACAGATGGAGCCGATGTCCGAAATCTTACAACCGGAGCACGCCTTGGTCGCGCCGGGCTGGTGGCAGTTTTGACATTTCCGGTCCTTGTCGATGAGCGATGGGGGAAGCCGGCGGTGGCCTGTCAGCTTGGGACGGTCCATCAGTGCGAAGCAGGGCACAATGTAAGGCAGAGTAGCCTGGGTTGTGTTTTTTCTTTTCTTTTCTTTTTCCAACTTGACGGGTCGACTTCGAGAAGGAACGTGAGATGGAATAGAGTGAGACGAATACCTGAGCCAAAATGGCTGCGAGTCTTTGATCCGCTTGGAGACTGAATGAAGAGAGAAGAAGTGAATCTGGGAACAACTATTAGAGAGGGAGGTTTTGTTCAAGGAGAAGCGAGCTGGGGCAAACAAATTGTCGTGAACGTGAAGCAAAGACGCGCGTCTCGGTGGTACAAACACGGCACGCCCTTTATGTAATGACCTCAATCTTTGTCTGGACAGTCATAAATAGGTTGTTCACCGAAAGATAGGTTTGAAACGGCATTCCATAGTTGTGTCACATGCCGAAGTTGTCATAACAAGCTTGGAATCTGCGGAGCAACAGGGCTGACTTCTGTTAGTGCCTGGTTTGTATCGAGGTTCTACAGAAAGGGGCACTATATGATGAGGCAAAGATGATTGGATCCGACAAGGCAGAGGCGCAGAGCACTACGCAAGCCATGAAGCGATGCGTGTCGAGGAGGGCGGCAGCGTGGGCATCGCGCGCAAGCTCCAGACATTGCTTGCACATGCCCAACCTTGATGATTGGATGGCAGACGCCCAGGAATGCTCTCTGCTCGTTTTCAATGCCACACAGGTAGATGCCGCGCAGCTGCAGTAACATTTCTCTACTGTTGGACATGTCTTGCTGTCGAGCGGCTTCTCGCCTACTTGGCAAACCTGGTACTAGGATGCGAGAGCTGCGTGAGAGCACGAGCAAAGTTTGCTCGTCTCCGTATGCAATTTGAAGCGCCAGTGCCTGCAACATACCAGCGTCGACGACCTGCTTGAGCTTCAGTTCTAGCAGATAGATTGGCGAACCAATCTCGCAGCTCTTGGTCGATCCGATTTACGCTCGCAGGTGTGAAAACACAAGCTCGGAAAGAAAAGGCGACGGGATTTGATAGAGCGTAGCTTTTGAATTTGCCATGGGCGAATGCCGTTCCAGGTCCCCGTCACTCCGTCGGGCATGAGAGTGACCGCCATTATTGATTATTGTAATACGGTCAAGGGTTTTCAAACACGGCACCCTCTCATAAAATCGACATGATGTGCACTGGCAGTGTCGAGGATCAGTGCTTAGGTAACTGTGCAACCTAACAGGCCAAGGTCTAAAGGAACTCGATTATTCACATGATAACCGTGGCATACGAAACAATGAGAGCTTGGGGGGGGATTAAGTGTTAAGTGGTTAGAAGTCCCTGTTCGAGGTATGATAAACAGAAGGCATTCGATAGATGCTGCTAGAAAATGTTCTTTTTTTTTTTTCCTGTACTTTAATATTGGAGCTAGACATACGTATACGTGTTCTAAGACTAGCAGATCTAGTTATAGGTTTTTTGTCAAGTTGAGAATCCAAGGTATCACCTACGCGAGGACAGTGTTTCTGACACTAACTGTGAAATGGCCAATGCCAGCACTATAGGTGAGCCCAGCCTTCCAACAACGAGCTTTCTTTACTTTGATCCGAGGGCTGCAGCAGAGGCGCAAATTTAGTTCCAACTGTCGACAGATGAATACACCTGTGGTCGGTCATACCCTATTGGGATTTTGTTGGCAAACTCTCGGAGGTGATGGACGAGCCCATGAATGCTTTCATGCATGGAAATGGCTGTCATCTCTAGTGAAGTCTTCAAAGACTTTGGCCCGATATCCCAGTAATATAATACTTTTCCAGGTTGGCTTGGGCGGATAATCCTTTACGAGTTTTACCGCCGTAAACATCGGCCATTCTTCAAATTATACTTCTGGATTGCAAGACATCTTTGAGCGTCATCAGTTTCACCGGCTTGGTCAGGAACAAGTCCATGCCACTCTCGAACGCTTCTCGATGGGCCTCATCCGAAGATAAACCGGAGAGCGCGATGATGGGCACGGGCTGGAGATGTTCCTTGGCCTCAAACGCTCTGATGCACCGGGTCGCTTCACACCCGTCCATGACCGGCATGGAGATATCCATTAGGATACATATGTAGGCGCCCGGCTTCTGGCTAAAAACATCAAGGGCCTCCTTGCCGTTTCTCGCCGTTTGGTAGTCGATGCTGAGCTTCCGCATGAGCGCCGACAACACCTTGATGTTGATGTCATTGTCGTCGACGAGGAGGCATCTCTTAACCCGCTCATCATTATCCGACTGACCCTCATTGCTGACCGATGAGCCCGGCGTGGAGGTGAACATGGGCGCCGGGCCACCCGTTTCAGTCTTCTGTGGTGTGGTGTTCAGTGAATCAATGTCGGAGATGACAGAGGAGCTTATGGTACTCCTTGAAATCTTAGGTCTGGAAACGGTCAAAGGTGCTTCGATGCTCTGGGGAATGAATGGGTGTGAAGGTTCAACCCATCGGCGGTACGCCAAGGACAAGACCTTTGCGAGCTTCCGGGGACCGATTCTGCGCGCCAGATGTTAATATGTGGGCAACCGTGGGGGAGGGGAGGGGGGAGGGACAGCAGACGTACGGTTGGGAGACAAACTCGAGCAGCTTAACACCATCGGGCGATGTCGGTTGGGTATTTCGGCGGTAGGCTACAAGGGCATTGGGACAGATTACCACATTTGGGAACTTTGAGAGCTCTTTGATGTCACCTTGCATTTGTACTGAAGCATCGTAGGACCAGAGAACAATATCGGGGACTACCGCCTGTGAGGACATCTCAGTCGACACAATTTCCATGTGTAGCCAATCACGATAAATATCATGCAGCGCGACATTGACGGCCGATGAAGCAGTACCGCTCGCCTCGTTAGCGGTTATGATACGAACCCTCAGCCCTTTCAAATCGTTGACAAGACCATCGAATTGTTTATCGTCGTCGGATCGGGATGAATGGATGTCGGCTAGCAGCTCGGCGCGCTTGAGCGGGAGCACGACCGAGACGGTCGTTCCCACGCCGACTTGGCTGTCGATGGATATGCGACCGTGGAGCTGTGTCGTGATATTTTTGACTAGGCTAAGGCCAAGACCCGTGCCGGGCGACATGGTATCCTCCTGGCTGAACGGTTTAAAGAGTCCCGTCTGGAGGAAGTTGGCGCTCATACCCTTGCCCGTGTCTCGCACCGCGATCCTGACAACATGTCTCCTGCGCCTCCTAAGCCACACGAAATCCCGGCTCAGATTAACCACAACTGTGCCGGATTCGGTGTACTTTAGGGCGTTGCCAAACAAGTTCATGATGATTCTCCTGATGGCGCCCACATGCACGTGGTACTCCCACTGACAGCCCGAGTCAATCGAGAGCAGGACCGACACGTTGCCGAATTCCAGATGTTCGACAACGTCCCCATCGCGGCCTTGGAGTTGCTCAGACGCCTGCGCCGAGTCAAGGCGCTGGTGCGCGGCGACGTCGCTGGCCACGGTCGACTGGGACGCCTGCTTGAGGGACTGGTACTGGAAGTTGAAGCCGGCAAACACGCTCTCAACCACCTCCTCAACGACGCCGTCCAGCCTGATGTACGAAAATAGCGACTTCTTGCCAAACTGTCCCTGGCCTCCCCTGCCGGATGCGTTTGAGAGGGGGCTGCCGCTTTTCCTCCCCGGTTTGGAGAAGTCGCTGATCTGGGAGTAGTCGAGCAGGTGATCGATCGTGTCCAGCAGCGTGCGCGAACACGTCTCAATGGTGTGCGCCAGGTTGCCCTGGTGGATGTCCATATCGGTGTCCCTCATGAGCTCCGCGCTGAGAAGGACGCCATGCAGCGGTGAGCGGAGTTCGTGCGAGAGAGAGCCCAGGGCGTCGGACTTGGCCTGGTCGGCGGAGAGGGTGTTGAGCTTCTGGATCTCGGACGCGACGACGGCGCCAAAGGCCCGCACGTAGCTGAGTTCGCCCGTCACGGAGAAGGACCGGCCCTCCCTGTGGGTGTACGCAAAGGCGGCGGCGTGCCAGCCGTCCTTGCGCGAGTCCCACACGGGGGAGAAGAGGATGCTGCGGGCGTTGGGGAACGCTTCGCGTAGAGCTTTGCCCTCCTGACTGTGTGGCCGTTTGGCTCTGGATGTGACTTGCTGCTGCTCGGCTGATGCTGACGGCGGTAGCGACGTTGTCTTAAGGTCTTCTGTCGATTTAGTTCGGCTAGAGAGGGTGCTAGAGGCGAGGAGGGGTATACTTTCGTCGCCCGATGAATCCGACGAGAGAAGCCCGCCCTCAGCATTGAACTTGAACGTGGTGCCCTGGGGGTACCTACGGAGGAGACTGGCGAGAAAGTCTTCGGTAATGGACGGGCCGGAATTCGCATGGAAAACACTGTCGATGCTGGACAGCTCTGAGTTGGAGAAGCCGAGTACGTGACAGGGACGGGCCTCGGGGCTGTGGCTCGTCTCGCCGCCGCTGGCGGACGAACTTGTGCAGCCCCACGTATTCGCCTGGTCGCCGGACTGGGGGTCTGGGTGAGCACGAAATGATAGTCTCGGGCGGTAAAAGACGCACCCCTCCACCTCGATTGATTCTCTGATGATGTTGGCGGCTCTCGAGTAGACGTTAACCTTGCCATCACGTGCGGGTGCTGGGGCCGGTTCGGTTGCAAAGTACGAGTCGTCTTTTGGGTCCACGCCTGACATGGGCGTTCGGGCCGTGGCGTCTATCGCGGACAGGTCGGTTTGGGGGGCGGGCAAGAGGCCGAGGGATTGCTGTTTGGCGTTGAGGGCGCCTTCGAGGTTGTCTTGGTTGGCGTAGGCGGCGGAGTTGGGGCTGAACCGCCACCCTGATAGGGTTGTTTCGCCCTCCACAAAGGAACCCAGACCTCGGTTCATCCTCTCGTTCCGTCTATGTACAGACTTGAGAAGCTGCGACTCTAGGTGTTTCATGATGTTGCGAGAAGCATTTTGAAGATGAGCCGTGTACGTGTCGTTCCAGGGCCGGCCCGGAGTCTCGTCAACCACACAGTAGACGCCAATATTAATGCCCCTCCGTGTGCGAACAGGCACGGCCGCGTAAAACTTGGCCTCCCCTCCAAAGTTATGATAAGGCTTGTCGCTGAACCGGGGATCGGTGGCTAAGTTGTCGCATAGGGTGAGGGGGAGGTTCGTACGGTCCGAGTTCTCGGCGATGACGGTGCGCTCGCATACTCCGAAAGAGCGAGGTATGGCGGTTCCGCAGAGCCACAGAGGCGCCGGACAGTCGTCGCTGGGGAGCGATGGCTGCAGCGGCAGAGACAGCATGGCCTCGGCGACAATGTGCTGGCACTGGGCACCAAACAGTGACAGGAAGGCCCTGCTCGTGCCCGTTTGCCACGCTCCCAGCTGGCAGAGGGCAGTGAGGATGGCATCGTTGGAAGTGGACAACTCGACGCTCGGGATGCGCTCGGCCGGGTTGTTGTTGAACCTGGAGGCGCTCAACAGCGTCGAGCCGTATCTGTTTCACGGCACAAGTAAGCACCACTGCCGGAACCTCAGGGAGGATAAGGGAATATACCTTGTCACTTCGTCCTGCCGCGAAGCCTCGGATGCGTTCCAGGGCGGCCTTGTCCCTCGCTGAGCCATGGGATCGCGGGCCAGTGAGTCGTGGTCGTGGGTGTGGACGCCCGCCAGGTCGAGAAATCAGTCCTGCAGATATGGATGCGAGTGCGGGACTGGAATACTGCCGGCCCTCCAACTATGTCCCCCCGCACCTGCATCGCCTTGATGTAGCCAGTCAGGTAGCTTCTGCGCCAAGTTTAGCCCCTCGGGAAGTTGCACAAGGTACAGGAAACAAGGGGACGAGGCAATCGGGTGCGTGGCAAATGTCCGTGGCGCGGGACGGCAGATGGCCTCTGTCATTGTTGATCCATCATCTACGCATCTCACCGTGTGGCTACCGCCTAACTCTGGGCAATTCGATGCGGAGATATTGGCCAGATCCAGGTCGCATCTCAACGGTGGCGAAGATGGAGTGCAAATCGCGAATGCTCTAGATTGATTTCGACGGCCACTAATAAGTGGGGCATGCGCCTGGAGATAATGCTCCGGCAAGAAGTAGCCCAGATTCATCCAATCAGACGATAGAGCGGGCGGTATCTCAACAGTCGAGATTGGATACCAAGGTTGTGGAAGAAAAAGGAAAAAAAAAAAAAGAACTCTGTTCGGTGACGTGGCAATGACTATTTGTCCCAACTGCTATCCTACTGCAGAGCAAACTCTCGCTCAAAGACATCAATGTGATTTTTTTTTAACTGCGCTACCTGGGCCTCACGATTTCGTCAACTGCAGCTGTCGCCTGGCATCCTTGTGTAACCGAGCCCCGAGAAGCCCCAGGGTCTGAACCGCGTCTCCACCACTCACATCGCTGCAAGGACTCACACCATCGCCCCCTTGCCAAAACAACGGTGGCTGGCCCATGTCCAGCCCCGTCAGCGCCCAATCAGAGCCGCCAGACGGCACGCTCATACTCGAATCCACCAGTCCGCCTTCCGGAGCTTCTTCTGCCCGCCGCTTCAGCCCTCTCCTCCCTGCACCACTCGGGGGAGGAGGCATGGCCACGGCATCGCTCTCGGGATGCCGTAACGTGATGCCCATGTCGCTGTTGAGCTCATACATGATTTCCAGGTCCTCGTCTCCGCGCGAAAACTCGTAGCATGCCTGCCTCGCTTGTGTCTCTGCCGCAGCTTCTGAGGATGGCCGAGGTGACAGCTGCTCCCCACTGCAAGGGGGGGCCATGATCGGCGAGGCTGGTGCCGCCTCGGATCCAGCCGTGAGTGGGAGAGATGTACTAGTCCGTGCTTCTTCACTTGCTCGAGGTGTGAACCACGGTCCTTGATCTGGTGCTTCCCAGTGCATTGCCTGTAGATGGGGGTATTCTCCTGCGACAGGCAGGTAGGTCGCTGGTGCGCTGCGTTCCGCGAATTGGCCTTCGGTGAAGGGATAGAAGTGGCTGACGGCTGCGGCCATCGCGCGGCTTGGCATTGACGCGAATAAGACGTGAATAAATAGACAGCACAAGGTAAGGTAGGATAGAATCTGATGAATAGAGCAGTGTCTTGTTGTGAAGAGAGTAAAGGTTGAACCGCAATGATGGTGGACAATCTGTCATTTTCTGGCACAAGCTACCAAGGTTTATATAGGTCATACATATAGATGAACAAGATACGCAATTCTTACTCGAGAAAAGAGGAATTCTGAAGAATCCCATCTTTGTGACGCAAAAAGCTGTGACGATTGACGGGCACTGATGTCACATGGTGTCATCAGGGTCCTTGTGGGACCCGGAAATAATGGTAAAAAGGCTCCGCGGCATGCCCCTTTCTCGCAACTAGGCCTGATCAATACCAAGTATGGGAAATGGCAGGGTAAGGGCTGCAGGAGGGCCGTTGCTTTGCAATTGGAGTGCGGAGGAGAGCGTAGTCTGGTTGGTTGTTGGCGTTCCTCAAGCCTGTTCTGTGGCAAACCAAGAACAAAAGAGGGGTGCAGGTCGGTCAGCATGTTGCCAGTTCGGGCAAAGATATGCCTAAATATTGGACGACCTGGAGACAATGCTCCCGTCCCTTCAGTGACAGCTTTCGTCTGGTTTTTGTCTGCCTATCCCACTTCTCTCTCATGTTGTTGAATTCCCGACTCTCGCAGCACCGGCAGCAGTTACGGCGGCCCTGGTCCGGCGCAATCCCGCGTTTGGATGCGGGCGCTGATGGACATGACGCGCCCGTTTGCAACCTGCCTGGAGAGGAAGGACCCAAGCAGCCAATGCCGTCATTCAATTCGAGCAACACTATCCAGCTCCAATTACCTGGGGTTGACGCCCTTATCTTCGGTGACTTACTTCTTCCCCCCTTGTTTGAATTTGGTATACTCCTTTGATACACACTTTTGAGTGAGATTTCTTAAAAGTCTGAAACACGAGTAGTAGCATCCAAGTAGTAGACAACTAGAATATCGCATTAACTAGAATAGAAATTAAGGAAAGGTAACCAGAGCGGCAAATTAATCAATGGAGGAATCAGTTGGTCCCAATGTTCTCTAGGCTACCTGGGTAGCATACAAGTGTCCTCTCAAGGAGCACTCGGCTCAGAATCAAAATTTAGCGTGAATTTTCTGAACCCCATCGACGAATAATCCACCTCCTGAGCCGGCGGCCTTACAGTCTGATGTTTTTTAACCTCCTCCGCTAACGCCTCGGCATCCTCAGTTTCCGAGGTACGGGGGACATCTACCACAATACCACAATGAGAATAATGATAGGCCGCCTCGGCCTCATTACCGTACTAAATATATACCAAACTGACTTAGTCGACTTTCCTTGAGAGATGTAGAGAGGGAGACTATGCGAACGATGACAACTTACCGCAGTGAACAGGATTTGCAATTCCTTATTGGACGGCCGTTCATTCAACCAGACCTGTGAGTCGTTGTGATACTTACCGCCCCAGCCGCCCTTGCCAATATAAAGCTCTTGGTAGTGGGTTGTCTCATCCAAATACCCCCCAGGATGCTTGTAAACCCCAAAGGAGCCTTCTAACAATGAGCCTGGCCGCTCTGCTGCCCAACGACGAAGAGCGTCCCCTCCGCCGCTTGGAATCTCTAGCTCATCGTACCACTCCCGAAGGTCCGCGTATTCGTCTTCAAGAGATACAAAGGGTGCGATGCGAGGCTGCAGACCAAGAGATTGGAAGATTTCCCAGATGACGGCGTCGACGCCCTTGAGGGTGTCGGGGAGGGGGGATTCGGAGGGATGGTTGTAGGCGTAGATGTGAGAGCACCAGAAGATGATGGAGCCACCTAGAAGAAGTTTTAGCGTTTGACGAATCAAAAAATTACATCTAATTATACACACCTTTGCCATCGAATCCCGCACGCGGACTATTCATTGCCGTCTTGACTGCTTCATAGAGAGGCAGATGAGGGGGATCTAACGTCTTGCTCATGCCCGCGAGGCGTCCCGCTCCACGCACAGCGTACAGATTGTAAGTCAGTGTGATACGGTGACCTTTAGTGACTTCGAGGATCTCATGCTCGCAGTCACTATAAAAGGCGGCCCACTGAATTTGGGCATGGCTTGGGTCGCTCTGGCGAGTGCTCCAGTCATATGTCATCTCCTTACCCTTGTGGCGCACCTTGAGCTGGCCGCCCTCATGTTCAAGAGGAAGACAGACGACAAGAGAGCCGAATTGGGATGTAGAGCGGGGCGTATCGACGTGGGATTTGAACATTCCAGAGGGGGCAGAGTATACCTTCCACGAGTCCTTGGTTAGTGATACGCAAGCCAGAGTTGGGGAGATACTGAGGACCTTACATTCAGTTTGTATAGCTCAGCTCTCACAGACCTATGGGTCGTTGAGTCAATAGCACTTGGAAGCAAGACTTGCGCAATCGTATCAATAATGCCAAGCGTGTAGGGGTCGAAGGTTGAACAAAACGAGTCTGTGTCAATCTTGAGTGCTTTGCGGTAGCTCTCGTCAAGAACGTCCTCACCCCCACGACCGAAGGTCGCAGGTTGGGCATGCTGACACAAGCGGTCCACACCGCCGTTTGTTCCAGGTGCGATTGGCAGTGTCAGCTTCACACAAGCATCCTGCTCCGACGTAGGCGAGTTGGCCGTGGCAGTATCCCATCGGATGGTGACAGGACGTGAAGTTCTCTGCTCATCTGGGCCTGGCCTTTGATCTGGTGCTGCCTCAGGCTCATTCTTGATGGGTATGGAACCGCTACAAGCAAAGAGGTGGTCTTGATTCTTGAGGATGTCTCCGAGTTCCTCGAAGGCATCGGGGGGACCGGCTGGCTGCTCCTCAACTGCTGCCATTTTGATGGATGAAATCTGCTTTGTTTTTTTGGTCTTTTGGTTTCTTTCTTGAAAATGTGTGCGACTTTATAGGCCATTGGTGGATCCAACGTCAGCATCTTTCACGATAATTACTGGTTCATATGTTGGCTGGGGTTTGTCGGTTGTGAAGTCACTGCATCTATGCCCCAAGAGACCCGTTTGCGTGAATCTATACTTGGTAAGCATACACAGTGCGTTTCCATGTTTTAGGCATCCAAGGCACCTCCACTAAGGCCAGGGGTAATTGGATGAAAATCCGATTTCGCTGTCTCAGTCATGGGAGCAGCGAATCCAAAGGCTTCATTGACCACTTTCCAGTTTAGATCAAAGACAAGTACTACAAGGCCAGGTAGGTAGGTCATGAAGATTGTGGCTTTTCGCGGAATATGCTTTCGTGATTGGCTATTAAGCTCACAAGCCATAGTAGCAGATTTTATAGAGTAAATATGTCCAGTCTCCGAATCTGTTTACTACCTCCCGGTCATTAATATTGAAGAATCTTCAGATCCATTCACGGTTGCTAGACATACCAACGCACCCCGGATCTCGCTCTCGTCTGATTACTGTCTCCTGGTCTTCATATATATTCCTACCTTCTTCTATTTCATCCCAGAGCATCCAAAAACTCGTCATGGAGTTGTGGAAGTACCATCTTGGCTATTCAGTCCCCTAAGGACTAGCGAATGCCAAGGGTAAGGTCGCGTGGCCCAGTGGAACAGCGTATGGTTAATACCCAACAGTTGCCAAACCCTGTCGCGACCAGGCATTTTTCCGGCGTGCATATTTCTGACAGTACCGCAACTGTCGCAATGCCCAGCACATCGGCGCTTACTCTCTACCATTTCCGGCCTCAGTTTCACCAGGCAAGGCTTCGAAAACCGACGTAGACCAAGAAAAGCCTTGGCTGCCAAGCCGTTGCCCAAATCAACCTTCCTCGCCCTGAATTGCTTTTCTGGAGTCATCATGGACATCAGCATATACCAAGAAAACTGCGCCTTTCTCATCGTACACTTGGGCGTGTGTTTTTTGCTGCTATGTTCCGGGCACAGTGTCCTGTTTGGCATGCGATGGCTACTTGGAAGAGTGTTTCGCCGTTATTGATCGACCCTGCCTTGATTTAGGACTTGTCTAGATAAGCACGAATTCATTTACTCGGCAGAAAGATATTAATTATATTCCTGGCGAGGAATAATTCACGGTTCGTTTGAACATTCGGACTTTCTTAATGGGCTCAATATATATTAGAAAAGAATATCTTGCTCAAAAGCAAATCAGTTTTTCAATGTACAAAGTAACGTAAGGTAGCTATCCTTGTCAAGTACAGCAATCTGTTTGCTACTTGGTGTTTGCGAACTTGATACCCTCTGAGAAGCTAGTGTTGACCATGTTCATCTCCTTGAGCGTCGTGGCGGGTGTCTTGCTGTCACCCATGAAGACGTTTGAGAAAGTAACTCCGCTAACCTTGAACTTGTCACTCCATCCCTGGATCAGTCCTTCCCGAGTGCCCTTCACGCGGGCCCGGATGTTCTTGACAGTAACGTCCTTGATTGGGCCGACGCCACGGTTGTTGCCATTGTCCTTGATATGAAGGGCCAGCCATGTGGCGATGCCTCCACTGTTACCGTGCAGGTTCTCCACGTCGATGGTATCAAAGGTGATGTTGCTGGCTGTCTTTGAGCCATACAAATGGTGGACTCCCATGCCGACCCCGGCATTATAGACAACACCGTTCTTGAAAAGGACATTGGACTGATCTTCAACAACACCCTGGCCAATCTTGAAACTGTAGCATTCAGTCCATGACATGCAGTCGTCAAACACGATATCTTTGACGACTTGCGGTTTGAAGGGATAAGGCTTGGTGGTGTCCAGATTAGGCTCCCACGTCTTACACGAGTAGCTGTCATCGTTGGCAATAGCAATCGAACGCTTGACAGTAACCCTCTGTGACTCGACGACGTCAATTCCATCGTCCTGGGTCACGTCGTGTCTGTTCAGGATCTTGAGGTTGGTGAACTCAACGTCCTTGGCTTGGATTGGTGTCACTGCCCAGAATGACCCGTCTCGCACCAACACTCCGTCGTACTTGAAGTTCTTAGTCCCGACGGGGACAACAAGACTGGCCATATATTTCTGTGAACGGGTGTACTTTCCGTTTCCATCGATCGTACCACGGCCGTAGATCTTAACACCATCCGACGCAGGCTCTGTCTGGATCCACCACGTTCCGTCAAAAAGGCCGGCCTTGGTGAAGAGAGTCTTGTAGTCATTGCGGTTTCCAGTGAACCGAAGAGCAGCACCTGGAGCGAGATACAAAGACGTGAAGCTCTTCAACATCAGGTTGCCCATCAGATACGAGCCAGCGGGGACATAGACAATGCTGCCGGGTTTCTTGGCAGCAGCATCCGCCGCATCCTGGATCCCCTTGGTGATGGCCTTGCCTGAATTATCAGCCTTGTAGTCCAGCACATTGAAGATGCCATCGCCTTTGTCCTTGGGCACGTCCTTCTCGATCGGATCGACCAGGATGACCATCTCCTTGACTTTGTTGATCAGGATGATGAAGTACTGCGGCTTCGATGCGGAAAAGACGAGCTCATTCCCGCTAATCTTGGCACCAAAGTTCTGTCCTCTGGGAGAGAGAATGTAGCTCGTGATTGACTTCTGCGTCTTGGCCTTGAGACGGAACTCGACGGGCGAGCCGGCGTCCATGGCGAGGTGGGCATAGTCGTAGTTGTTGGCAAAGTTGACCGTGTCGATCTTCTTGCCGCCCACTGTCAGGCTGAATTCCTCGGATTCCGGGTAGAAGGAGGCGCGTGGGTAGTTGACGATCGCCGCTGCCGCGGTGGACAGGAGCGCAAAAAAGGAGAGGAAGCGCATGATGGGAGGGGAATGGGCGGATAGCTACTTGGTGATGGGGCAAACAAACAAGAGCTGAAAGGCGAGGAGGGATGATCCGGATGTCCCCATATTCATATATCCATCCCAACTTCGGCTGCACCCGTTGGGTAATTTGAGGGAGCCTGGTTGGGAACCTTTTGTTACTATTTTGGTGAGCCGAATGCCAAGCAGGTTTCAACTTTGGGAAAGTTGCCCCTCGGAATCCTGCCGGCCATTGCCCAATCTGGTGATGGTGTTCGACAATCCCAGACGCCAAAGCCGTGATCCGAGAGCAGGACATGGATGATGTTTTTTGGACTGGCTCAGGGGGGCTGGAAACACATAATGTAACGCTGAAAATTACAGAGGTTGACAAGGTTGAAAAGCAATAGTCAGACAGCTCTTCACACTATTCCACTGGGTTTACTAACATCTCTACTAAGTGACCTCGAAATCAGGCATCTCGTGTTCGAGGTGGATCGGATCGGGCAATCACGAAGTGAGCTATTTCCGGACGGCATAATATTGCCTACTTAATTAGCTGAAGTGGGATGAATTCCGGCACTAAACAGAAGACGAAAGTCCAATCCTTTTCACCCTGGTGGTTGCACTCAGTTCTCAATACTAGTAGCGAGTTTGCACTAGGTCAATTTGAGCTATTTGTTGATTGGTATTGATTAAATCCTTGAACTAGTTGAGGAAGGTCACTGTTCAATCCCTCCATGTGTTGATAATTAATGGGGACGAGTCCCAGGCCATCGAGGTCAGAACAAGTCGTTACAGTATGAAAAAGGCGGAATGCATATCGTCTCCGGCAACTGGCACCGCAGCCTGTCTGTTTGGGTACTTACAAACACCCTATAGCACAGAAAGTGCAGAGATTCTTGAGCTTGGACAAAGAGTAAGGCTGCAGGTGCTCTCCCTTTGTTTTTTTCATTTCCTCATTTATTCTTATTACTCTGAGCAAGGACGAATCCTAGGTAGCATGAAATAGTGTAGGATCTCTTGACAACTACATCTCTCATACCCCCATCTATGCGAGTTTATTCTCTCATCTGCTTAAGGAGGAATGTCTCAGATAAGGTACAAATGGAACCTAAGACGGGCATTTGGCGACATGAATGGTAGACGAGCGGGGCTGTGGTTGCAGTCCGTATAAGTTCTAAGCAGGGATATTGGACAAAGGCGGAAGGTAAGTGTATTTGTATGAAAACATTGGGAATTCAGCTGCTCAAATCAAGTTACCCGCGCATTATTTATTTTTATTCTTTTAATATAACCTGTCACTTCAAGGATGGGACTTCATTGACCTTCCCTCTGGTAGCCCCTCATGCTGCTAGATGAAGATACAAGTGCGTTGGATACCGAATCGGAGCGCATTGTGCAGGCAGCTTTAGAAGCGGCTTCAAACGGTGATCGCATCAATATTGCTGGGGCTCTTCGCTTGTCTACTGTCCGAGACGCTCACCGCATCTATGTCTTTTAAGGAGGAAGGATTATAGAGGCAGGAACGTATACCGAATTGATTGAAAAAGGTGGCATGTATATGAAGATGTGCGAAGCGCAGAAGTTGGACGGCAGTATGTTATAAGCTGTGAAGTTTATAAGTTTAAAGACATTGAAGTGACAGTGACAATACAAACCTGAGGTAACATTTGTAGAATCATCTGATTCCTGTAACTCACAGACTCGAACTATATACTTGAAGATACATGTATTGCGTTCCCAGAACTCCCATCCTTCTACTTGCATTGGGTCTCAGTCAGAGAGCCTTTGCCCAACTGGAACCACTTCTTTCCAGCCTCTGCAAAAACAGCCATATTGTTCTCGTTGGGCTTATACAAAGGCCAGGTAACGTTTCCAGCTTGAGGGTTCTTCTTGGGGTTGTTTGCGAAAGAGAGCCAAAGGCCTTTATAGTTGTTAGTCACATTCAAGCAAAGTACAGTTGGTTAGACCTACTTTGCATGCCCTCGGCAGCCTCCCACTCGTACTCGGTGGAGTTACCGCGATACTCGTAATGCGTTCCGAAGAGAAGGGGAAGCTCAGCTGGGTTATGTTAGAAGACAATCTGCAAAAAGAATGATGAACTTGCCGCTGTGAGTGGCTCCAATCCAAGGCAGAGGGGTAATATTGGAGAAATTTCCAGTGTAATAGTATCTATAAGTCGGGTATCCATACTTGACACGGTTTCTGAGAGCATGGGTTAGCGGCACGAATCTTGTGACATGTGGAGGTACTTACTTGACCTCAGCAGCAATTGGGCAGATGATAGCCTGTAGCCCAATAGCAGTCTGGGCTGGTGTTACGCCGTTAGGATTGTATGTACCGAAGCCAGCACCTTCGTTGGCATTGTTACCAAAGATCCACGGCTATCGCATGTTAGTAAGACCTTCACAACGAGTAGTGGGGCATCATTATTACTTACAACTCTGGTGACCAAGCCTCTCGCAAGTCGATCAGTCGTATTAGAGAAAGCAGTGATATTATCACCCACGGGAGTGAACGAAATAGTCGGTGTCTCAGAGTAAACCTTCTGCAACTTTGAAGCATCAACCTTTTGCATGCAGGTCAATTGTTTCTTGCCCTCCAATCCCTTACAGCCAACGTTATCGGCAAGGGTATCGAAGCTAGAGTGGTTGCCATAAGCCCTGGCCAGCATAGCCGGAGCGCCAGAATCAGAGATCAAGCCTTTGACGATGAGGTCCTTGGGATAAGCGTATCCGTACATGCCAACTGAGCCAGCACCAGCAGACTGGCCCCAGAGGGTCATCTTTTGAGGATCACCGCCGAAGGCTGCGATGTTGTCGCGCGTCCATTCAACAACCATGCGCTGGTCAAGAAGACCGACGTTTTGCCGTGCAGCTTCAGCGTTGGGGAAGCCAAAGAGATTGACGCGATAGTTCATAGTGACAACGATGTGAGACTGAGTCTTCTGGATCCACTTGTCGGGAATCTTGTAGAGTGAGTCTGCGCCACCACCTGTAAAGCCACCGCCGGGGATATAGATAAAGACAGGCAGCTTCGTTGCAGTTGGCTTCAATGGGGCGTAGACATTGAGATACAAACAGTCCTCAGAGTCGCCACCATTGATAAGAAACTGAGTCATGTGCTCAGTGTATACTGTTGGGCTCTTGCTGATAATCTGCTTGCATGATGGCGCATAATTCTTGGCTGAGACGTGCTCTGAGCTGTGCTTTCGCTTGGGAGGTTGGAAGCGAAGCGACTCGAGAGGAGGTTCGGCGTAGGCAACACCGAGGAACTGGCGAACATTGGGAGCAGTCTGGTTGATGAAGCCTGACAGGTGGCCACTGGTTGTCTTGATATCCAATGGAGCTTCGGATTGATAGTGCAGTCCACGGGCATCAGTGACGGCGCACGCAGCTAGAGCGACGGCCATAAATGAGGTGAGAGACTTCATGTTGCCAAGAGTTGATACCACACTATTTCTATCGTCTCTTTCGCCGAATGATTATTATATATATAGATGAGCATATCTGCATCTACAGTTCAATTGCACTATGTGCCGAGATGCCGTTTCACCATGGGGCGGATAAATCTTTATCAATCGCTCATGAACCATCTGGGGTAGTGGAGCTACGAGTGGGGTCATTCGCGGAGAAATGTGGGGAGAGGCGAGATACAGGATAAGACCTCAACCGCGTTCTGGTCAGGAACCGTTTATCCACAAGGTTACACTAATAAGACAGATATCCATTCTTGAAAATTAAGATCATTGATTCTGTGCAGGTGGATATGTTTCCCCTCATTCTATACATGGGCTACCCCGGCTTCGGTCCGACTGGCAACGATCAGATTACTTGATAAAGACTCCGGCGCCTTTCTACAGTCAAGGCAGGATAAATTATTAGCAACGCCAGCAACTCGTTCCCAGCTCAATATACTGCGAGCTGCCAACGGCAATTTTGCCCCCTTACCGCTAACAGGAGACTACAAAAGCTGCAGACATTTGGGAGGAGGATGAGGGGGAAGCATCATACTAGTGAAGCAGCCATGTCAAGCCCAATCTTGTTTGTACAAAGATCCGAAAGTAAACTTCGTTTCAAAATCATTTGGTATGTGCGGTACGCAAATCATAATTGCATACAAGAGCTATTCTGGGTGACTCTTAAGTCGCCACTCAACCTGACTGTTGATGGGGACAGGCGAATACCCTATACACTACTCTCGGCAGATATGCTCCTTAAGTGGCTACTGGTACTACAGCTTGGTGGTAATTACTGCTGCAAAATGTTTATTGCTATTAGACATAGAGTCAAAAGGCCAGGAGACAAATATTTAAATGGTAAGTCATTTAGCAAATATCATCGAATATGATATTCTGTTACCATAAGATAAATGTAGGTAAACGGCCTCTCACGAGACCGAAAGTGAGAAAAAGAAAGGAGAGGAAAGGGCGGATTCGAGATACAACAAGCCGCAGCTGCTAGAATAGCATACGTTTAAATGTCTCTGGTAGAATTAAATCTATCAGACCCTCAACTTGGAGATATTGTCACGCCAGTATTGGTACTGCTCAGAACGAAAGTCATCCTTGATAAGCGTGTTGGAAGCCTTTCCTTGGTTGACAAGCTGCGCGGTAGAAGTAGTATACTTTGGCCAGTTGATAAGCGGAGAAGAAACGCCCAGAGTATTTGGATCTAGTGTGTTGATGAAGGAAATTGCATAACGCTGCTGGGTCTGCGCAACGACGGTGTTGGCCGAGGACAAGGTCTGCAGGCCGTCAGATCCGTGCATCGATCCGACGAGACCGACGTCATGTGCGCTGGTATGCAGGTAAGACCAGGTCGGGACCTCAGAGGAAATAGCCTGGAGATGATACCGACGCTGGAAGATGAAAGTAATATCGCCCAGAATGGCTGCGAGTCTCTTGTACTGCCCAAATGCATTGTTCTCGAGGCCGGTTCTGAATGGAGATCCACTGATTCCCAGGTCGTCGGGATACTTGGCCACAAACTGGTTGGAGTACTGCGCGTTTCCGGGATAGTAGGTGGCGATGTAGTCAAGCAGGATCTTGTTGTTTGTGACGTTGGACTGCGTCAATGCAAAGAGAGTGCCTTCGTCCTCCGAATTTCCGCTCAGAACCGGTACCTTGGCGTACTTGCCCGCAGCAAGGGCTGTATCAGCGGGAGTGGAAAAGAAAGAATCGGTGTCATCTGGGCGGGGAAAGTAAGGAGTGTTGCCGCCAAGATACTTGAACTCCATGTTCAGCGAATAGCCAACTGCCTGCAGCTTCTTTGCGTCCAGCTTTCGGAGACAATCGAGGCTATCGGTACTCTGACCACACCCAGCACGCGCAGCGACCGTATCGTAAATTTCCTGGGCCTTTGGGGAGTCGTAGCTGAGCGCAGGGATCATGCTGCCGGAACTCAAGATGATTCCTCTGAAGAGACCGTTGGCGTTGCCGTTGTTGATGATGGTATGGTCAAAGGCGGACATTGCTCCGGCGCTGAAACCCCAAAGAGTTACCTTCTTGGGGTCGCCTCCAAACTCAACAATGTTGTCTAAAAATGTATTAGTATCGACATTGCTTATCGAGTACTCTACTAACCTTGAACCCATTGCAAGGCCATACGCTGGTCACGCAGGCCCAAATTTGTGTTACCTGCGAGCTGCTTTCCAGGGAGGAAGCCAAAAGCACCCAGACGATACTGGATCGAGACAAGGATAAACGGCTTGCCCATCTCGATCGACTTCTTGACCACAGGCGTTCCATCGTTGCCCTGCTCAGCCTCACCACCAGCAAACGCACCGCCGTGGATGAAGACCATGACGGGGAGTTTGTCAGAAGGACGACTGGTTGGACGAACAACGATAAGCTTCAAACAGTCCTCAGAACCAGTGCTGCCGTCCCCCTGGATGCAAGCCAATGGACGCTTGGTGGCATCAAGCTCGCCGAAGTTGGAGTCGTAGGGCTGAGGGTGCCTGAAGCGAAGATCGCCGAGTGGCGCTTTGGCGAACGGAATTCCTTTGAAGAACTCTACATTTCCATTGGTTCCACCGTTGATTGTGCCGTTGGCGATCTTGACAGTGGCAGCCCTCTTGGACAATGGATTAGCGAGGGCTCCCAGACCAAAGACCCAAAGCGAAAGTAGAGACAACATAGTTAAGAGTATGAAGCAGGAAGATGCGGTTAGCTTTGTCTGTGATTTCTATTCTGGTGACTCACCAAGCAGATATATAGATCGAGGCTTTCCCGGCTTCCCGATCCCCGTACAGTCACATACTCAGCCTGTGCCGGTACCCGGTCCGTTAGCTCGTCGTTTGCGATCAACAGTGCTGGAAATGCTCAGTGACATGCTGACCGACTGAGGCTCACTGGGTCGATACCCCGGAAGTTCCCCAGAATCTCATGTAGCCTTGCGAGGCCTACCTATCTGATGGACTCGGAACGTTCCAAACCAAGATTTAGCGTCGAAAGGCAGTAGCTCGACCAGTCGTAATTCTCGGATGTAATGCTAGAATAAGCTATTCAAGCATCTCCAACCTGGTTAGTCCTGCATACACGATTCGACGTGACCTGAAACGGGCTTGTAGTCGCATGCCTGCAACGTGCTTGCATGAACATCAATGCAGTAGCTGCAGGCACAAGCATTAGTTTTTGAGTGCCGTTGTCAGATGCCGACAAAGGATCCGCGGCATTTAGGCCAATGGGAAGATGCACTGGAAGACGATTCTCTGCACATAAGCTGAAACTATGATAGCCCCCAGGATCCCAGCCCTAATCCCTGAGCCTTCTAAGGATCCCAGCCAACTCCAATGTCCGACGGACTTTATCGGAAGAGGGCTAAGCCAAGAAGAAACAACCAAATGTACACACTCCTGCTGGACACCGAAGAAAAGGCTCAAGTCTCAGTCTTGGCCAGCTTGAAGAAAGCAAACTAACGGACCGATGATCGCCAAACCCCGCAACACGGCCCGGCCCGGTCTGGGGAAGCTTTCGTATACTGTAGCAAGGAGGTCTATGGTGCTGGACATGATTATACTGATAAGATCTGAAATATGCCTATGTAATACTCATCTTTTGTGTGTAACCCAAAGTCTACGTATTCGAAATGCAGAAAGCCGTAACCATTCTTTGCGCCTTCGGTGCATTGACTTACGCACAGGACAGCTTGACGGATGCCAGCTTCTACGGCCTCAGTCCACCAGTGTATCCGGCTCGTAAGTACAGGTGAAGTCGAATATTCTGCGAGATCCCACGCTGATGGTACTGAAGCTCAGATCAAGGGTCTGGATGCCTGGGGCCATGCCTATCTCAAAGCCAAGAAGGTCGTAGACGGACTAACACTGGAGGAAAAGGTGCGGATCCGATCATCTATTAACTCATCTTAGGGAACTGACACGCATCCATAGATCAACATCACATACGGCTCTCCTGTTGCGCTCAATGGCTGCGCTGGAACTATCTCCTCGATTAGGCGGGTTGGGTTCCCCGGCTTGTGTCTGATGGACGCTGGGAATGGGGTCCGCTCGACAGATCTAGTCAACGCATATGCTTCCGGTATCAGCGTGGCGGCAAGGTAAGATAAAACTGGAGGCAACTTGTGGGTTAGTGACGTTGACTTTAGTACAACCAGTTGGAATAAGCAGCTAGCCAAAGACCGTGCTCTTTTCATGTTCAAAGAATTTAAAACAAAAGGCGTCAATGTTGCGCTGGCTCCAGGTATCTTTTTACCTTAAGGGTCTCCTGATTATGAGCTTACATGTTTCTATAGCTGTCGGCGCGTTGGGCCGTGTTGCCAAAGGCGGAAGAATCTGGGAAGGCTTCGGCATCGACCCATACCTCTCCGGTGCTCTCGCCTCTGAAACTATTAAAGCTGCAATTCGCGTTGGGGTGCAGACTACCATCAAACACTACATAGCCAATGAGCAAGAGACCAACAGGAGTCCCGAGAATGATGTTGCATCAGTGTCTTCCAACGTCGATGACAAGACACTCCACGAGCTATACCTGTGGCCTTTTCAAGACGCGGTCAAGGCTGGCACTACTGGAGTTATGTGCAGGTAAGTCTCACATATCACTTCGATAAACATTGGTGACTTAGGGGATATGTTCAGCTACAATCGCGTCAACGGCTCGTATGCCTGCGGTAACAGCAAGATACTCAACGGATTACTTAAAACTGAGTTGGGCTTCCAGGGCTATGTGCTGACCGACTGGGACGCGCAGCGTAGGTTGCTTAGATTCTGGCAATTTTGATGTTATACTGATATTGCCCGAAGCCAGTGGTGTTGCCTCTGTCCTGGCTGGTTTAGATATGGTTATGCCCACGACGAAATACCTCGACCTCACCAATTTTACCCAGGCCATCAGGAACGGCTCTGTGCCACTGACTCGATTGAATGACATGGCCACACGGTTAGCTGCCCATTACTCATGAACCACAGAGATTCTAACTTGTTAATTTGCAGAATTCTTGCCAGTTGGTTCTTTACTCGTCAAGACTTGGACTTCCCCCCTCCAGGCATTGGCATGCCCCTCAATACCTCCCAACCCCACCGAAGGATCAACGCAAGAGACTCAGCTGCAAAGAACACCATATTAACTGGCGCTGTTGAGGGCCACGTGCTTGTCAAAAACATCAACAACGCATTACCCCTCAAAAAGCCCCTTGAAGTCGCCGTTTTTGGGTACAGTGCGCACGTTCCACGAATGTACGGACCCTCTGGTATTGGTACCGGATGGCGCTTGGGCTTCAGCTCTGCGAACGTCTCGCAAGTTCTTGAAAAGTTTGCAGGAACGTTTGTACCGCCCTTCCAAGGTACCGCTCGATACGGTACCATCATCGTCGGCGGCGGGTCTGGCGCCAATGCTGCACCGTACATCTCAGGCCCCTTCGACGCCCTTAGCCAGCGAGCCTGGGAGGACGATGGCAGTATATCCTGGGACTTTGAACAGCAGAACCCTACAGTCGCAGCCGAAGCGGATGTATGCCTTGTCTTTATCAATGCCTTTGCATCAGAGGCTTTTGATAGGCCACAACTGTATGACCAAGACTCTGACAAACTTGTTCTGAATGTTGCAGGACAATGCAACAACACCATGGTCGTTATTCACAATGCCGGACCTACACTTGTCGAGGCTTATGCTGACCACCCGAATATCACTGCAATTATCTATGCGCATCTCCCAGGCCAAGACTCTGGGCGAGCTCTTGTCTCGCTGCTGTATGGGGATGAGAACTTCAGTGGCAAGCTACCATATACCGTTGCTAAGAACGAGTCGGACTATGGCCAACTGCTGGACCCAGTCCAACCCACTGGTGCATATGAGCTTTTTCCGCAGAGCAATTTTACTGAGGGTACAAATATCGACTACCGTCATTTCGAAGCAAACAGGATCATACCACGTTACGAGTTTGGGTTTGGATTGTCATATACAAACTTCAGCTATTCCAACCTGGCTATTCATCGAGCTTCATCCACGAGACTCTCACAATATCCGACTGGAGCCATTGAGTCAGGAGGCCAGCGAGATCTTTGGGATACTTTGGCCGAGGTGAGCCTCGACGTACGTAACATTGGACAGCGGAAGGGACAAGAAGTGGTACAACTGTACCTGCAGCGCCCCGATGGTTCTAAATGGCTCAGAGGCTTTGAGAAGATCAAACTGAGCCCGGCTCAGAGTAAGAAGGTCAGTTTTGCCTTGACGAGGAGGGACTTGAGTGAGTGGGACGTCGTTGCGCAGAGGTGGAAGCTCTTACGAGGGGCTAACAAGTTGTATTTTGGTTCGAGTTCAAAGAATGTTTTATTAAGTGGTTCTTTGGAGTTGAATCTGGATTATAGACTATAGATGTATAGCAAATATGCCAGCCAAATCGCGTTGTCGTATTGCATTCACCGAATACTATTAATATATTCCAGATAAAGTATTTTCCGATCATCATCCAAGTCAACCACTAGAGTAGAATCCAGGGGAATTTCACAGTTAGCTCTTTACCTCAGTGTTGTTGCAAACGTTAAAAAACTGCGCCACAAGCCTGGCGGGTAAATGCCAACAAAAGCCAAAAACCTGGACAATATGGCCATTGGGACCAATACCTCCTAAATAAACAACACTTACTCTGGAAACTTATCACAAATCCATTAGCGATAGAAGCACTACTCAAGCTTATCTCTTAGATCAATGTGTACAGTAGCTCAAGTCAGGGATAATAAACCATACCGATAAGTGTCAGAAGACGGAGGAATTACGGCTAGTCAATTAGGAAACACTGGTCAGAAACCCAGCATGTACCCTTATCTCTATAGACCCTTAGGGAGTGAAAACTAGGAAAGTGGCTTCCCGCCATTTGCATATCTCGGGCGCATAGCCCGCCGGAGAATGCAGGCCCCAGCCGCAACAACACGATATAATACCGAGCATAATCTAACAATAAGTACCTGTTATCAATGGACCTATCAAACAGATCCGGGCCGGTAGCGTGCCGTTAGTGTGAGTGTTATTGCCGGTAGCGTAGGCTTTTACCGGCAGCGTAGCCCAATCAACCAGCTTGTCACGCAGGACCATAAAAGTGATCAACCGGGTGACAGTTCCTAATTTGGCCAAGTTAAAAAGGCAAAAGTGTGGTTGCATTCCTACGATCCAAGTTTCGTGTAGACGTTCTTTTGTCAGATTAGACTGAAGTCTGTGCCTTGAGATTGGGTATGCCGTATACTAGAAGCTCTGCCGTAATATAGCATGGTAGCTAAAACAGAGCGGCGGGAGAGTCATTTCATGAAACCAAGTATCGGCTCACCCAGCCGTGTTGTGTAGATAAAACCATTCCTGACAGAGCTGCTGCACTGGATTATGTAAAATAACGGCGTAACCTGGTAGAATTGGATCTCAGCATAAGTATAACACTAAACCTATCCAGATGAAAGCGAAATGAATTGTTTCCCTCAATTGCCCGGTTCATTTGGAGTTTATTGAGCTGTTTTTGTATAATATCCCAGGTGGCGTTTAACAAGGACCTATGCCATATCTTCTCTAATTAGTGCCTTCGCCGTAAGCACGTGAATACGAAGGGTGAGAAACAGAAATATATCCTTTCGGCATCCAGGCCGTTAGGTCTCTTCTGGTACTGCCTTGGACTCCATCCGGAAGAGGAACCAAAAACCGGTAAAGATGACTGGTCTGGACCGCTTCACACACAAACCCGAACTAAACACATTACTTTTCCGAGTGTGCCCATAGGCCTGGGAGTCAGCGCTAATGTTACTTCAAGCCTTTTCACTAGTATAGCATCATCGGATGCAGGTCCTTCAGGGGCATTTACCACCTTCGGTAACTTCAACCGAAGAGTCTCACCTTTCCCCAGATTCATCCCCGCGTGAACCAAGCAACAGGAACGCGGCTGTTTGCGGGGGTGGCGCCAGCATGGGGATGTACAATCTACAACTTTGGAGCTAAAAGCAAGCCGTCTGCCATTAGTAGTTGTCCTGAGTGAGATGAGCTTAGAGTAGGGCTATACCTTGCTTGAATATTTTGTCTCTTTCGGATGTTTATGAATCCCTATCATTTTGAAGCATTTGTTATCTGGATTGTTCCCGCATTCATCTCTGCCACAAGGGTACGGCCTGAACCTGCACCAGGCCTATCATGCTGCGATTTTCGCAAGCTGAATCCAGAGCCAACGTGCTCATGGCAACCTCCGATGGAGTCTATCTCGATGAAACCCGCCAAGTCAACATCATTGTCTGTGATGTGTCAATGTGGGCCTTTGCGTTCATACTAATGGTCCTGCGTCTATATACTCGCGGATTGCTCACAAGGGCGATTGGCAGCGAGGACTGGGTCTTGCTGGCCGCCGTTGTTAGCTCTACCACCCTATGCGGTGTCATCATCTACCGTTAGTGAAATGCCTTGTTAGAGATATCTCTGCTGATCGCGAAATAGAGGTCAACAAAGGGCTTGGCTTGCATTCAGAAAGAGTGCCTATGCCAGATTGGGTTTACCTGCGCTTGGTATGTTAACCATTGGATGCTATCTCTCGACTTCAGCTAAGCCATCGCGCAGGCAGGTTGGTTGGCTATACTTTTCAGCACAATCAGCCTTCATCTGACCAAGGTTTCCATCTTGTTGCTTTATGCTCGGGTCTTCACGAACAGGAGCTACCGTATTGCCATCTACATTATAGGTGCCGTCGTTGGCGCTTCGTTTGTGTATAACTTGACGATTACATTCTTAGCCTGCAGGCCAATCCACGGATTTTGGAAGCCGAGCAGCCAGACTTGTCTTAGTTCCGACTACTGGATTGTCAGTACTGTTTTGCATCTTGGAACAGACCTCATAGCTACAATTCTGCCACTTCCCATTTTGTTAATGCTCAACATCAACCAAAAGGAGAAGATTATTCTAGTCATACTCTTTGCTCTTGGCTTTTTGTGGGCAGCCCAAACCCGCCAACGTCAATTCAAGGCTAACAAGAGTACAGAGTCTCTGTTGTTTCGTTTCTTCGACTGCATTACTCACTTACGAATGCATCGTCTGACGATCCGATCTGGGCCAGTATCACACCGACCTACTGGGCTTGTATCGAGGTCAACATGGCTATTATCTGCGCGTGCCTGATGACTCTTAGGCCTTTGGTTGAGAAATACGCGCCAAAACTTGTCCTCAGCAGATTCTCCTCACGCCATCAGAACCCTAGGTATCCAAGGCGCCAGAGTGTGTCAATTGAGCGGCATGTCACTTTGCCGCAAAGACTGAATAACTCTTCGTGGGAACGAATGACCACGGGTGAGTCTGTGGACGAGCTTATCATTGAGGATGGGAGCCAGAGCGCGATCAAGTTAAGCCCTCTTGCAAAGGTATATAATAGCGATAGAATTAGCTTATCAAGATAGTATCGACTCGTAAGGCTCCTACTATTTGCACATAAATAAAAGCGTAATTTTTGCAACTAGAAGGATGCCTAGGCCCAAATGCTTTTGGATATAAAACACCATTGAATAGTGACGAAGCCGTATCAATCAGACGCAGTCAGAGCTAAATCTTCAGACTTCGGGGAATAATATGTACTGTTTTTTGTCCCGGCAAATAGAGCCGCAATGACCTCTACATTGGCCCATCCATGGCTCTCTGGTTCTGGCCTTGGATTGTGTCACGAGGGCGGACACCACATGCTCGTGGATTGCCGAGCTTACTTCCCTGAGAACTTCCTCGGAACAAACCGCCTCTTCTGACAATGTGACATACAGCCTGGTAAGATCATCGGCGGATTTATTGCCGAATGCTAACACGCCAATGCGAGATTTTGTACCTAACAGCTTACCCCGCAGCCAGAGGGTCCTTGGCTATATGACAAGGGTCTTGCTGCCCCATGGGGACTTGCGGCAGGGATATCGGAATCGGACTTAGAATTCAGGTGGACGGACAAAAGAAACCTGCAGTAAAGCCCCTCCCATTTCGTCAACCAGTGTTGGATCCCACAGGCCAAAAGAGCCAATATCTCACTATCCATTACAGCGCCCGTGTTGCCTCATTTCAGGCCTGCTTCTTATCAGTACAGACCTCCACGCCATGGATTCTGCGACGACTGATCACACTAGGCCAGGCCTACGACCTCTGCGACGGTCGGCTTTGGCTTGTACGCGATGTCGCCAACAAAAAGTTGAATCCGGTGTCTACCCAGTCTGCGAACCATGCTAACTGCTAACTCAATGATTCAGATGAAGTGCTCTGGCGGTAAAGCGCCATGTGATCGTTGCCGGAAGGCCAACAGCTATTGCGTATTTGAACCGCCGCAGGCCGCACCACCAAACGGAAACAGTGTCTCTGTTCAGCCCGAGATCCAACCGTTGATTGTCTGCGCTACCGCACCAATTGAAGGGTCCAGTGGATTACTAGAGACAAGGCCAACTGCCAATTACTCAACTGCTTGCTCACAGCATGCATCGATAGCTGACGCTGATTTTGATTTCCACGTACCTGTATCCTTGCCTTCGTTCCATTACTCTGGCAATGAACTTGCTACATCCCAGCCAAAGGGCGGTGCCGATTTCTCTCGTCGCAAAAGAAGACGGATTTCGGACTGGCTCGATGTGGACAACCTTGACGATACGGACTCTGACACTGTGGCCGGCGACAAAGATCAAGATATCTCGCAAGCATCCTCGCCTTATCAGACAGTCAAGGAGTTTGAAGCTGCCTACTGGCGGGTGAACAGTCTGGAGGGTACCACCCCGCGAACGCCCACAAGCATAGAGCTTAGAAACCCTTTCCCGCCTGAAGCCATGTTTCCCTCTTCGATGACTGACAGAGGGCCCTTGCTTTACTGTCTAGGAGAGGTTGGTATATGCGAGGCCGATGCTAAAGATATGTTGATACGCTTTGGCGAGAGAGTTGCGTCTTTCATGCCCGGATTATATGATACCCAGTTCTTGGATCTTCCGAATGATCCGCTCTACGCCCTAGCAGCCATCAAGGTAATGACACGGTACCTTCCCGGCGTGGACGCATTGAGAGCCAGGGTGGACGTGGTGCTGCAAAACTTACTCCGTAACATCCTCTTTGATGACCTTCAAAGACCATTTGCAGCTGTACTCGAGTCGATGCGTGGTCTTTCCATTCTCTATGGCTACTCTGAGGTTACGGTAGCGCGATCACAGAGCGACACAAGACAGTGCAGGGCAGATGCCCTGTCGATCAAGGGTGTAATTGAGGGCTACGCAATCAGGAGAAACATCGGTAGGCCAATACCATCAAACGCGCTAGGCTGTGTTTTATGGCTCTGGCTTTACACCATGAGCACCCAGTGAGTCGTCTTGTTGGAACAGAAATCTGACATGGGATACTCACAAGTGGATCATAGCTATGTCACGTTGCTGGGCTTACCTTCAACGATTAGTGCCGATAAACAGTTACAAGGGGCTATAAATGTGGTCAAGAAGTCGGTTTCGCATCCACAAATCGATGTGCTCCTTGGCGAAGTAGATCTATGCCGCATCTCCGAGTATCGACGAATGGCCTTCCATACACCAAGATCAGTGGATGTACCCTACGATCATGATGAGTGGCAGCGGACATGGGGAAGGGTAGGATCGCAAGGCAAGTCATTTCTATCGGTGTATAGAGCTTTCGCATGATACTCCAGAGACCTAACAATACATATAGGTCTATCAGTCAGCCGCAGACTTTCCTTCCATTACAAGTTTGCCCTGTTTTACCACCATGGGAGTCATACTGACTCTTCCATGAATGAAACAGAGGCGGTACTTGCGGCACAAGAGTTTATTCGCTGCATCACCAAGCTCTCGCCTGTTTCCAAAGGCAATATCAAGTACATGTGTGATTTTGGATTCGTGATGCTGGTCTATGCCTGCTGCTACGTGCTTCAACGATTCGATTGCGACAAATCATGCGCATTTCAGACACTACATCGAAGCACGTGTTTGGCCGACATAAAGGATGTTGCTGATCTTTTGAAATCGATATCTCCAGCTGCCGGAGCTGCTACTTCAGCCTACGGCAGAGCTTTGGAGGCTGCGTGTAACAGGCTGTCTATGCATGCCTTGGCCCCTGAGCACAGCATCCTTCCGAGGGAATGGGACACCGAACGAGAGTTCGATGCTGACACGGCGGGGCTGATTGACATTTTTGCTGCTGCGGGTGCAGACACGCTGCAAACAACGTCAGCTCGGCAAAGTGACGGTCCCATGTCTGGGTTTCAGGCCCTATCGGATCTTCCTGTTGGCGACCTGCTAGCATCATTCGACATGCCATGGTAGTGATAAATTGAGTTGGTATAGTTATAGAGAGATTTCAAGTATTAATCGATATGTAATAACTTGAGTGGTGCTTTATGTATTGAGGCGAAAGGGCGGGTTCTATGGGACTTGTTGGAAACGAAAGGAGCCCGAGAATGGCGCACAACTTAATCTTGGCTTTCACTTCCCGGTAAAGGGCCGTCAAGGCCGAGGGTGTATTGCTCATATTACACCCGAGGACTATCATTTCTCTCCCCCTGTAGTACTTGGAATAGGTTTTGTCTCGTTCGCAGCTCCCGGACTCATGATATGCAGGGCCCGGCACGTCCACGGGCCGTTTAATAACGCTAACGGCCCGGTAGGACTCACCGTTGATCAAGTGCGGCTTCTCTTATCTGGCCAACGTGCGATATTTCCAGTACTCATTATACTCATGATCCGTTGGGACACCTACCAGTTCCGATCCATGCAAATGGACTGCATGTTTCTTATCGTCAGAATTACAGTCTCATCATGATTCTTTCAAGTCTTGTACTTTGCTGTTGTCTTGTCTTCGTAGAAGCAAGGGGCCTTCATTTCTTGAAACTACCCTATGGAACCTGGCAAGCTGCCAGCTTTGATGAAGTGGCCAAGGTAAACCAAAGTTGTCCGCTTAATTGATGATACGTGACTGATTCCTCCAGGCATATACTTTCAAGAATGTTCGTTACGGTGCGCCACCTGTTCGTAATCGCCGTTTTGCCAAGCCTGAACCTCCAGAGGCTGTGAACGGAATTCAAGATGGTTCCAAGGGTGCCGCTTGTATGCAGCTTCATACCTCTGGGACTGATATCAATACACGTGACGAATCTGTCATACCAGACTATAGCAAGATCATTCAAGCGTCGCTGAGCAAGAAAGTTTATTCTGAAGGTAGGGGATGATAGCCCTTAAGCATTGGACTGTTGCTGAATCCTACTCGTTACAGATTGTCTCTTCCTCGATTTATACGTGCCAGAAGAATCCCTGAAGTCGGACAATAAACTGCCAGTTATGGTCTTTGTCCATGGAGGAGGGTAAGTGACTACCATGAAAATCCCTTGCTTGTCGCTGAGTTATGTAGGTACACCACTGGATCTAAGGACATGCTTGACGTTGTGGGATTATATGACGGTACCGGTCTCGTGAAGCAATCCAAAGGCCGTGCCATTGTTGTCACACTCAACTACAGGGTGAGTTCAAGTACAACCCTTTCCTTTCCATGGCTTCATCTATACCCACATACGCTAACAATAGCAGCTTGGTGTCTTTGGTTGGTTGGGTGGCACGACTGCTGAACTTGCTGGTGCTACCAATCTAGGCCTCATGGACCAGCGCCTAGCTTTTGAATGGGTCCAAAAGTACATCCATTTGGTTGGTGGTGATCGCAATAATGTCACCGCGTTCGGAGAGTCTGCTGGTGGTGGATCCCTCATGCATCATCTTACACTCGGAGGAGGAACGATATCACCACTTTTCAACCGCGTTCAGATCTATAGTGCAGGTCTGGCTTACAACTTTGATCGTAAGGGCAAACTTGAAGATGCCTTCCACAAGTTTTCGGCGATAGCCGGATGCCAAGGGAAAGGCTTCTCCTGTCTACGTGCTGCAAGTCCGCAGAAGCTTCTTCTCGGACAGATCGCGGTAGCCGGATTGTCTTTCAACATTGCAAAGCCACAGTTCGGGCCAGTTCCTGATGGAAATCTGGTCAAGAACGCAGCATCTCTGGACTTAGCTGCAGGTGAGTTCAGTTTCGCCATGCAATGTACCCGCGATGAAGCTTATTGGATGTTCAGGCCGCTATTGGAAACAACTTGATTCTGTTCTCGTTGCGCATGCAATAGACGATGCCGGCCTCTTCGTGGACCAAACTATCAAAACAGATGCCGGATTCCTCAAATTACTTCTCGACGCTTTTGGCTATGTCGACATTGTGGCTTCTATCGCAGCCGAGTATCCTACCCAAGACTACTCTTCGCCGCTGGCTCGACAACAAGAGGTCTTTAAGGACGCCGTCTTTGCTTGCAACTATCGATGGGTAACCAATGCGTTCCCGATGAGTTCGTACAACATGCAATTCTCCGGAGGAAGCAGTGGATCGCATGGCCAAGTGTTGCCCGGAGTCTTCTACAATCCAACATTGACTGTCGAGGCCAATGGCACCAACTTCCCTGTGGCCGATTATTTCGGAAACCAAGACATCTTCAACTCTTTACAGAGCTACATCGTCAGCCATGCCATATCGGGGTCTCCGAATACATATCGAAACGCTCCCAGCACCATCCCATGGCCCAAGGTGTCAGGCGCTACCTCCGAGAACCTAGGCAATGTTCTCAATGTCACGAATAATGGATTTCAGCTGATCGCGGATAGGCAGGGGTCCTCGTCTCGGTGCGACTTCTGGTTAGCTATACACTCTGAATTGGCGAACAAGGCAAACTTGTAACTATCATCATCGGCCGTCACAATTTCCATGCGTAGTTCAGTATGAGGAACAAGGGCAGAACAGTCCATGTTTTTACAACTAGAGGTCCAACTCATTTGTGCTCTTGGTGGAAACCCAATGAAGAATTGGACAGTCGTCGTTATTTATACTTTATTTGAGCACCCTGCGTAGTGGAAAGGGGTATTGGTCACTCTTTACAGCGGTAAATACACACCTTATGTAGCTATTGGAGTCTGACATCAGTATTTCCATGTGTTTTCGACCGATAAAGTAGACGAGGCCGGCAAGACCTTATTTACCGTTTAAGCAAGGAAGGGCCTGGCTCGTATTGTACACTGCTTATTCTTCTAAAAGTCAAAGACCTCAAAGTCGTTCCAAAGAAAAGGCATCTTCGAAAGACTTAAGTGTTCAAGCCTACAGATACATATGCTCAATAGCTAACAGGAGAGTGTAGACAAATCTGACTTGGATAGCTCTAAGGTCTGCCAATAAAAAGTCCTTTAGAAACACGCCTTTGCTTGCCTGTCAACCTCTGTACTAAAAGGTCGCAAGTTTGTCTCACGTAAAAGACCCAAAAGAGCTTTTGCATACAAAGACATCCCTCACAATACCATATCAATTACCGGAGAGCTTAAATAAGCTCCATGACTACCATCAAAGCTCTGAAGCTAGAATGTGTACCTAAATGAACCTCTTTCTCCTTCTGGGACCTATACGTTATTAGTTTAATACCGAAATCGAATGCCATAACGAGGTTGCCTCAACTTACCTCTGAATCAGGCTCATCTTCGAGAACAACACCATCTCGGTCAGCCTTTCTGTTCATAAGATAGAACTGGATACTAATGATGAGAACTATGAGGATCTCGGCGAGTGAGCAGGAAATGCAAGCCCAAAGCCCGGGCCTGAAATAAGGGGCATCGGAAGGTCTTGAAAGAATATTAGCCTCGTTCTTGACTCGGAATAGAGCAGACTGACCTGAAGATCAAGCTACCAGCAATACCACCAACACCGCCAAGTCCCACAAGCACAGCACTACAAGAGGCGCGCTTCCACTGCCCTCTGATGTTATTTGCCTGGTATGTCATAATGATAGGGAGATTGGCGTTGACTCCTGCAGCAGTGAGGAAGATGCCAAAGAAGCGGACACCAACTACACGGTGAAATCCCATCAACGACATGCCGACGATGGCGAGTACAGAGTTGAACACAATCAAAGGACCTCGGACCCTGAATCTATCTCCAATGTAGCCAGTAGCATACATGGCAACTGCAGCCGCAAGCATCGGCGTGATGTTGATAAGCTGAGTAGCAGTACGATTGAACCCCATACCACTGGTGAGGATGGTGGGCGTGAAAAAAGACATTGCATAACCTTGAGTCGAGCAGCAAAAGAAGAGAAGCCCGAAGCCCCAGACTTTGATGTCGAGCATGTGGAAGAGAAACTTGCCGAGGTTGAACTGGGTTGGCCTAGCATCACCGCGGTCTGCATTAACACGAGCCACAACCCAGGCGCGTTCATGTTCTGAGAGAAATTTCCAGTTGCTCCGGCCAGAGTCTGGAAAGTCGACGAGGAGCCAGTAGCCAATTAAGGCGATGGCACAGGTAAGTATACCTTCGATGATGAAGAGCCAGCGCCAGCCACCCATATCATCGATGCCATGCATGTGAACAAGCTGTTTTATTTAACCTTATCAGCATGAGTGTTGCCACTGCGAGCCAGATAGACTTACACCATAAGCCATGATTCCAGCAAAGGCCCCAGTAACAGCACCGAAAGCGTAGAAAAGACCGTATCTCTTGCCCATCTCGTCTAATTGTATGATCAGATAATCGGTCCACATGCGAATGCACCACTATAGGATGAACTTACATCTGTTATACCACGTGCTCAGCAGGTAGATGCAGCTAGGAAAGAAGCCGGCCTCGAGGAGACCAAGGATAACACGCAGGGCAGCAAGTTGCTCCCATTTGGTAGTGAAGCCCATACCAATCATGACAGCTCCCCAAAGCAGTGTAATGCCAGCTAGATGGATACGAGGGCCAAGCTGCCGAACGATGATGGTGGAAGGCGGTTGGAAGATGATGTAGGTGGTAAAGAAGACAAGAGTGATGATAGACTAAGGCAAAAGAATCAGTAATGATGCCTTTGCAGATACTCTGTAAAAGCAGATGTAGCTCACGTATCTGTTGTCAATGAGCTGAAGGTCTTCCATCATGCCTGCAATGCTCGCCGCCGCTACATTGGTACGGTCAATGAGTGAAACGCAGTACATGAGACCCACGATGGGAATAAGTCTGAGGTCAATTCGGCGTATGAGTCTCCTCTCTTCATCTTGAGTGAAGTTGAAGCTGTCTAATTGGCTCTTCTCGGTGTCCTCAAAGTGAACGGCAGTGGTAGCTTCACCCGGTGACTTGGAAATAGTCTCGTGCTGCGACTCAAGCTGAGGGGAAGCCATTGCGATTTTCTGAAATAGTTTGGGCTGACTGTGAGCCTGAGGTAGTTTGTAATGATCTGGAAACTGCTCTGGAGACTTAAGTAGTTGATAGAGCTGAGGGTGCTGAGAATCGAGAGCAAGCCACTAGCGGTGCCGGGACTGAGAGCCAACACTGCCGCAGTGGCAATCGGTCCTGGAGATTCTTCCCCAGATTTACCCCGCAGTTGGGATCCTCTGAATCACGATAAAGGCTGACTGGCGTTGCGTTTGCAACAACTGCTTCGGAGCATGAACACTGCGTTGACCGAAGGAAGAGTCCAGAAACAGGTCTAGATGTTTGTTGGTCCGTTGGACTCGGACGTTAGTTATCCGAGAGTCGGCTCACGCAGGGATCTAACGGACCCTTTAGGGATTGGTTCGTGGTTTCCCTGCACCCGGCTTCCCATGGGGTCATTAGTCGTGCCGTTGAAAGCATTCAATGTTCCCAAGCCGGGGCTTGGGAACACCAATCAAACGTAACCGGCCCGTTAGCGCGCTGCAACGCAACATACTTGAGCAAATCAGTTACAAACTCAACATCGACAGAGAAAAATGAGAATTTTTATGAATGCTTGTTAGTGAATTTTATGTCTCCCTTCGGAGCATTCCACTGGGCGCCAACGCGAGCAGTTTTAACAGGAGCGAGCGATAGACGATTGACTAGCAAGGTAAACCTTTACATAATTGGATAGATCATGACAGCTACTTCAGAGGACTAACAAGTTGAGAAAGTCGTCAAAAGCGTATTGATTACTTAAAGGCATGTCAATTAAATTCTAATCCTTTGTGACTAGTTCTGGGTCATCATCTTCTGTAGTAAATGGCAGGGGAGGAGGAAGTGACACTTTCTCCGGCTCAACATACGCAGCTCGGAATGTGTGAAAGCCCGAGCCAACCACTTCGCATTCTTTCGTTCCTAGCTGCACTTCAGCCGTCGTGTTAGGCGGGACCGTGACCTCAACAACAAGATTTCCTTCATCAAGCTTCCAATCAACCACTATTTCACCGTATGGGCACTCGAAGCTAGCAGATGCCCATGTAATACCACCCCCTGGCTTCGGAGCAATACGAAACTTCTTCCATCCTGGAAGCAGAGGTCTTAATCCGCCAACGTAGGCATGAAGCCAATCTGCCACAGCCCCAAGGGCGTAATGGTTCATCGAGGTCATCTCGCTAGGGTGAATAGTACCGTCCGGAAGAACACTGTCCCAACGCTCCCAGATAGTCGTAGCTCCCATTGTTACAGGATATAACCATGAGGGTGGCTTAGTGTTTGTGAGCATCATATAGAATAGTTGATCTTTTCCTGCTTTTGAGAGTGCATGTCCTATAGCAGGCGTGCCAGCAAATCCAGTAGCAATCTTGCAGCGAGATCGATGAAGGATGAGATGCTGCAATCGTTCCACGGCGTGGCTTCTCTGAGCAGGTGTAGGGAAAAGATCGAATTGGATAGCAAGAGCATATGCCGTTTGGGAGTCAGATACGAGACGGCCAGTCTGTGTGATGTACTCCGAGGCGAAAGCAGCACGAAGCTCAACACTGTGTTTCGAGTATGCAGTTGCTTTGGATGCATGGCCGAGTATAGTACATACCTCGCTCATCACATCAGTAATTCGTATCAGATAGGCATTAGCCACCAATTGAGAATCTGTGATACCGAGATGAGGCCGATCAGGAGGGGCCATTGGGTCAAGCCAATCTCCCAGTTGGACACGCACTTGCTCCCAGAGGCCATTGGCACCGCGTGGAATCCCTTGGTCTATCCAGTCAATCATAGCCTCATACTGCGTGGATAGTATCTCAACGTCGCCATATGACCAGTAGAGATCCCACGGTACTAGGATTGTCGCGTCGCCCCAGATAGCCAGTGGAAAGTTAGGAATGGGCATTGCCTTTGGTGAGAAGATAGGCGGACAACTGTTTGCACCCTTTTTCTGTTCAGCTGCAAGGTTCCGAAGCCAGCTCCTGAGTATGCTGTAGCAATCATAGAGGAAACAGGCAGTCGGCGAAAATATCTGTATGTCTCCAGTATATCCTAACCGTTCGTCTCTCTGCGGACAGTCTGTGGGGATACCGACAAAGTTTCCTCGCATAGACCACACGACGTTCTCGTGAAGGCGACGAATCAGCGGATTGGAACAAGTGAGGTATCCTGTTCTTTGCATATCACTATGGATAACCACGGCTGAGAAGTCTTCCAGCTGCAGCTTAGCCTCTGGCCAGTCGATGATTTCGACATAGCGAAACCCATGAAAGGTAAACCTGGGGTTCCAGTAGACTGCTTCCGGGCTTGAAGTATGCCCCAGTACCACAACGTCCGTGGCCTTGGCGTGGCGGAGCGTTCTGGTAACGCACTCGCCGTTCTCTAGTGTCTCTGCGTGCACAAGTGTGATCTTATGCCCAGCAGGACCTTTAGGGACTCTGAACCGCACCCAGCCAACCAGATTCTGAGCAAAATCGAGTATAGCATTGCCATTGCTGCTGTAAGTGATTTGAGTTGCAGGCAGAGATTGGGTAGGACGGATCGGAGGTCCATCCGAACATGTCAGGCGTTCTGGGTCATATCCGCATACTTTGACTGCGCTCCAGCCCTCGTCGTTGAATCCGCCCGAAGACCATCCTACTTGCTCTTTCGCCATGTCATAAGTCTCTCCATCGTAGAGACTAGCAGTCTCTATCGGGCTGCGATAGCATTTCCAGTCCGAGTCTGACCCGATGGTCTGGGTTATCCCCTCTTCAAAGGTCAACACAAGCTGAACAATGACGCCAAGTCTTGAGCCCCAGATGTTGTGCCGTCCTCCACCGAAGCCAAGTCTTCCGCAATACCACCCCTCGGCCACGTGAATCCCAATCACATTTTCGGTCCCGTGACGGAGAAGATGTCCAACGTTATGTACCTGATACTGTAGCTCATGATCATATGATGTCCATCCTGGTGCCAACACACGATCGGAAACTTTGATGCCGTTGATCTCAGTTTCGTGGATGCCGTGAGATGTGATATATAAGCGTACTTTGCAAGGCACTTGGTCAAGTACAAAGGACCGTCGGAAAAGCGTTGGAGGATGAGTCTCGGTGGTTTCGACCAGAAATGGCGTCTCGATCAAGTCGCATTTCCAGTCTGTTGCTTTCAAAAGGCCTGCTTCTACTCGAAATGGTTCTGACCAGGTAGTCTCGATACCTTGTCCTCGGCTGCGCACACGAACAGTAGCTTGCTCGCCACTGGAGAGCCCCCTTGCCGGCCAAGGTACGTTGACCGAAGCTGTAGTATCGAGAGTGAATTTTCGAATATCATCCGCGGCCGGATATGATGCCTGCCGTCCCAGGCAAACCTCAATGTCGCATGATTCTTGCGTCCAGCCAACTGTTGTCCCTCCAAATCTCCACGATATTGACGGCCTGGACGTTGCTACCCCAATCCCGGAATGGTGATGGTCGAAAGACACGTGCACGATAGTAATGGTGGTTTCTGATGCCATGTTCAGCGCTGACCAATACAGTGGTGGGAGATGCGATGCAAGACTGGTATTGGTTTCATGACGAGGTCCATTTCGTTCGGTAGTGAGCAAAGGTCCGGCACAGTGAGCTGGTATTTCTTACGTCTTGCTAGGCCTTGCTAACTCGGGTCTCGCCACCAAATTGACATGCTGGAGCCGAGGTGGTTGTCAGGATAGTGTTCGGTTAGAGCAGCCGGACCGGTAGTGTATATGCAACCACATGAGCACGATTGGAAGCCGGAGACGAATCACTAACCCCGCTCGTGTAATATCTCATGGTGGAGCTTCGGTTGTCAACAGAGAGATTACTGAGTACGGCCGAACTCATGATCATCACATTTCGCTTGAAGATATGCCGAGCATGCCACGTATCACAGCGGGGGAAATTCTAATGCTGGAAGTGATCTTGGAAAGTCGGTCTCGCCAGGGCCGATGAGACTTGATATTTGTATATCTTATAAATCGCCTTGCGTTGCACTAAACTATATTTGAAACACTCCATGAGTGAGCTGATTGGACTGTCGCTTTTGGTCAGGAAACTGTTTTACCATGGCTAAAACAACACTCTTGTCCCTTGTCGCAGCATGCCTCCTAATCGTCCCCTCTTCCGCGAGGCCTGAGACACCTAATATCACCAACCACTACATTTCTTTCGAGAACCCACCCGTCACCTCGCGTCCTCTGTTTCGATATTGGCTGCCGGATGCCAGTGTTGATGCCTCAAAATTAATTGAAGATATTGCTAGTGCCGGTAGAATCGGAGCTGGAGGTGTCGAGCTCGTTCCTTTCTACCAATATGGAGGTCATGGAGGTCGGTATCCGCCGGGAGCTGACTGGGCCACCTATGGCTTCGGATCACCTGCGTTTGTTGATGTCCTCGAACAAGCAGCCAAAGCTCATGTATCTCATGGCTTGAAGATGGACTTCGCACTCGGTCCTAATCAGGGCCAGGGAGTCCCTGCAGATCCTGATGAAGAAGGATTGCAGTGGGATCTGGTAAGTCTTCCGTGTTCTCAAAAATCTCCTATATGCTTTTTCTTCAGCTTCTGACTTCTCACTCAAACAAGGTTCCATTTGCCATTCAGATACCTGCCAATGGGTCGCTCGACAATCCTCTCCCCGGCTGGGGCACTGGCAAGCTAGTTTCCCTAGTGACAGCGACTGTTGAGTCTCGCAAGACTCAGAAGACCAGCGCCAGTCCTTTCCCAGGTGCCAGTGATACCCACACATCCTTTGTCCTTGCCAATGGTAGTCTTGTGCAACATACAGATAAAGTCTCATCAAGGGGTTTTGTCGAGTATAAGTTCCCCAAGACACCTGACGGGATTGAGCAATGGGCCTTTGCTTTCTACAGCAAAAGGTCGCTCATCAAGAATCTCAAGTTTACTAGTAACGAGGCTCAGCATATTTACGCCAATGGTTCTTACACGGTGGATCACTTCAGCGCTAAGGGAGCAAAGGTCACCATCCGATTTTGGCAGAACTACATTCTCAAGAATAGCAATGTGCGATCATTAGTCAGGCAGTGTGCAGAAGCTGGTAAGAAAACATCGTTTCGTCGGATGTTGTGCTTACGATCGTACTAACATCCTACTACAGGTTGGGAAGATAGTCCAGAGATGCTCAGCACCATAACATGGACACCCGATATTCCTAAGCTCTTCAAAAGGCGCCATGGCTACGACCTCCTCACATACCTGCCGCTTATTATGTATAAGAGCAACAATCTTGCCATACAGGCTGGAGTACTGGGACCCTTTGAAGCCGTGCTGAACACGCCGGACAAAGGCCAAGGTGTTGTGAATGACTTCGTCGAGATCCTGGAACTGTGCTATCGTGAATACATCACGACTCTCCGGGATTGGCTAAAGACGAACCTCGGACTGAACTTCAGAACTCAAGTTTCATACAACTTACCCATGGATATGGGCGCTAATGTCCCGTTTGTTGATATTCCCGAAGCTGAAAGTCTGGGATTCCACGATAACCCTGATGCTTACAAACAATACATTGGACCAGCAGTCTTGGCAGGCAAGAAGGTTGTTTCGAATGAACTTGGTGCCATGCCTGGGAGACCTTATTCTCAGCTTCTAACTGAGCTGCTCTTCTCTGCTGACGTGGCCTTCACTGCTAACACAAACAAGTTTGTTCTGCACGGGCAGCCATACAGTGGCAATTATTACAACACTACATGGCCAGGATACACCCCCTTCCAGTACGGCTTTTCTGAGCTGTATTCTCCTCGACAACCCGCATGGGAGCATGGTCTTGATGAAGTAATGGGCTATCTTGGGAGAGCACAGCATTCAATGCAAATGGGCGTAGCAAATCTAGACGTTGCTATATATAACAAGGTGGCCAAAACGGACCCTCTCTGGACTAACAATGTTTATGCTGAGAACGATCTTGAGAGAGCTAGTGAGTTGATGCTTAATCTTTATCTCTATCCAAGGCTGACCCTACTCAAAAGGCTACACCTATGCCTACGTCACTCCAGCAAACTTCAAGCTTCCGCAAGCTTATGTCGACAATAAAGTCCTTGCGCCAAAGACGGGTGCCTTTAAAGCACTGGTCCTTCCAGACCACAGCAATATCACCCTACAAGCTATAGAAGACATCTCAAGGTTCGCCAAAGCTGGATTGCCGGTCATTGTGGTTGGTTCCCATGTGTTCCTACCGACGAACCGACGTGGTGAAGAGGTTAAGACCTGGGATGCATATAAGAGCTTGCTCAAACTACCATCTGTCCACCAGAGCAAGAAGAGTGAAATTGCTGCTACTCTCCAGTCCCTGGGGATAAGGCCAAAGGTCACAGCTATCTCCGACAAGCTATGGAAGCACGCACGTAGATGGGATCCGGTAAATGACATGGACTTTATATTCATACTCGGTGCATCACGACCTTCAACCGGGATCGTCAAGATTGCCTCCAAAGGTGTGCCCTACTGGTTCAATGCCTGGACAGGCACCCAAGAACCAGTTCTTTTCTACAGCGCTGATAGACTTTCTGGAACTATCGACATCGACTTGTCACTAGCAGCCAACCAGACAGCCATCATAGCCATAAGCAACAAGCCGCTCAAGTACGTTGACACACCAGTCGTCCACATTTCCAAGAAACCTGCTGGTATTTTGGGGGGCAAGGCTACAAACAGGCACGAGATAGAGCTTCATGCTACTTCAAGAAGCTCCGGTGGCATGGTAACACTGAGCAACGGAACTTCACATTTTATCGAGCATTTTGACTCGCCCGAGGAAATAGAGCTCGAGAAATGGACCTTGACTGCGGAGCATTGGGAAGCGCCGTCAAACTTTTCAGATGCATCTGCGATTGCTTCGAAGCGTAACTCGACACACACGTTGACGGCTCCTCTCAAGTCTTGGACAGAACTGGGCCCAGAGCTCACCAACTCTTCTGGTCTTGGTTACTACAGCACGTTGTTCACGTGGCCACCCTCAGAAAACTCTACCGAGAACCCCGATGGTGCGTACGTCAAGTTCGAGCCAGTCATGCATGCCATAAAGCTGTGGGTGAACGGAAAGCGTCTACCTCCTGTCGACCCCAGGAATCCCGTTGTAGATCTTGGTCCTTTTACGAAGCGTGGAGAGAATGAGATCTTGGCTGTTGTCCCAACGACAATGTGGAACTATGTGAGAAGTCTTCTTCCCAGCATTAGGAACGCAGGTGATATTCCACTTGAGATTTCAACTGAGGATATCCAGCTGAAATGGCCAACGCCGGCTAAGACGGACAATGGGTTGGTGGGGAGGGTGTATCTTATACCTTACCACAAGGTGGCTTTGAGGCTCTGAGACTTTGGTTGGGGGCTTGGGTATAGGGACAAGTCAAGCTTTAAGTTAAGCCAGATAGATGTGTATGTGTTTACTCAGCGTGCGCTCGTGAATAAGCATCGCCCACCCAGTATTTGTGTGCCTCTTATCTGTATTGGCAGCCAAAAGTTCAACCTTACAGGCAGCAATCAGCTACATAGTTGCATCGCGCACTGAATTCTTGGGTTATCAGAAGAGGAACAGCAGAGATTTATGCAATAAAGTCCGTGAAGAGCTTTTTCGTGTAGCCGTAATATAAATCTCATCTACTGTAATAACAATTGTCAACTGTGAGGGCATGTGCTAACATACTCAAAGTGTGGCCGAAGGATACGAAGGAAACGGCCAGTAGTTGGACTTAAGGCAGTATCGTGTGTATAAGTAGCAACACCAACGATAGTTTGCGAGTTTCCCCGCTGCATTGAGATGACTTTCGTCTGCCAAGCAAGCTATAGTGAATGGTAACGAACGATCTAGTTTATTCTAATCAATCTTGAGTACCTTCCCTCACTAGAAACTTAATCTTATAAACGAATTTCGGCACCTCTAAGGTGAAAACGATAACTCAAGCTCTTCTGATCTCCAGCATATTGGCCGACTTGGAACAGGATCGAGCGAGCCGTGAGCCTAAGTTCGCCTTCTTCCCAACGGCGAAAAGGAGCGAGAGATGTCTTTACTTGCACCCACTTTGCCTCCTGTCCCGATAGCTCAACTACCTGAAATCCAGCAAGTAGGCGGTTTGGAAAGTCGTGTTGGCCTGGTCCTAGGTCCGGGCAGCCATAAATCTGCACTACGCAGCGGCCTGGCCTATACCCAGCATTTCTCACCCTAGCTCGCACTTGTAAACTTAAACTTTTGTCCAGTGGAGAATGATCCAAGTCAATGGCCTCAACTTCAAAAGTCGTGTAAGATAAACCGAAGCCTAGTGGATACGTTGCCTCGACGCCCATCTTATCAAGCATCCTCTGACCAAACCACTTATCGTAAGTGACTTGGTTGGTATCTGGGTGAAAAGGAGGTAGGTGGGCTTCGGTTCGCGCCATGCTCCAGGGAAGGCGGCCACTTGGATTGGATCTGCCAGTCAGGACGTCGGCAAAAGCCCTTCCATTTTCACAGCCATTGTACCAACTTATCAGTATCGAAGGAGCAATATTGTACCACTCATCGATAATGACAGCTCCAGCGGTGATGATAGAGACGATACTCCTTGGGTTGGCCTTAACAACAGCCCGAATGAGCTCCACGTCTTCTGGGGCGAGTCGAACACTTCTGCGATCGCCGCCAACGGGACGACTTGCGAGATCATGCTCCGACCGAGCACCAGTTCCAGCCTCAGGGCGGTTCGAGTCATCAGCCGCCTCTGCTCTACCTTCAGCGACCCGCTGTGCCTCTGGAGATCCATCGGGGTCGGGAAGCAAAGCCAGAGCCTCTCTGTCATTCTCCCACGAGGGCTTGAGGAATTCTCCCTCATCATCGCCGTCGTAGCCAACCATGACTATAGCCACTTCAGACTCTCTGGCCGCTTTTACTGCAGCTCCGATGTCTCTCGACGCTGAAAGTCTGATTGATGTATGTGGGAGCTGCTCTTTCAGGCCTTGATAGGGGGAGATGACTTGAGGGCAGTGGACCCATGACGAGGCGCGATCTCCAGTCAGTGCAGAATCGACGTGTCTTCCGACTATGGCGCAAGTCTTGATAGATTGCGACAGTGGAAGAAGGGGCTCTTCATTGACAAGCTCATTCTTGAGCAGAACGATGGCTCTTGAGGCAACAGTTCTCGCCAACTCACGATGTTCTCTACCAAACACAACCTCACTTTCTGGTTCAATCGGTTGACGGTTGGCATAGAACATAAGCTGTGTCCGTATGATACGACTAGCGATTCTGTCAATGTCAGACCAGCTGATCTCTCCCGACTCGAGGGCAGGCCGCAGAGATATCGCCCTCCGATTCTGGAACGGGCATTCGATGTCGAGATCCGCTTTAACAGACTTGACTCCGTCTCGCAGCCCAAACAGCCAGTCTGTAATAGCGATGCCCGAAAACTCCCATCTGTCGCGCAAGATATGACGAATGAGTGCCACTGATTCGCCTGCCCATTCTCCATTAACAGAATTGTAGGCTGTCATGATAGAGAGCGCACCAGCGTCGATGCACTGCTTGAAATGTGGCAGATAGACCTCGTGAAGTGCAGAATCATTGACCGACACATTGGCGCGAAATCGAGCCGTCTCCATGGAGTTGAGAGCAAAATGCTTGACGCATGCCATCACATTCTCCTGCAGACCGCTAACATGTGCAGCTCCAAATTCGCCAAGCAGAAGAGGATCCTCGCCATAAGTCTCTTGAACACGACCCCAGGCCGGATGTCGTGGCAAGTTGACGCAGACACTTCCTACGCAGTTGGCTCCGTAGACCCGAGCCTCGCGACCGATGGCTCGCGCAACGCTTTCCTCTAGTTCGGTATCCCAGGTTGCACCTCGTGCTGTGCTGCATGGGAAGACGGTGGCTTGGTTGATATTGACTCCTCGAGGACCATCGCAGTATTGTATGCCTGGAATGCCCAGTCGGTCTAGTTTGCCGTGGCTGTAGGGCCGCTTTGTATATTCACCGCCAAAAAGATCGGCGAAACCTTTCCAGAAGGGCGGGTCGCCGTGTAGCAAGCCGAGCTTCTCATCGTGGGTGAGCTGCTGAAGCAAGGCTTGCCCCAGTACTGAGGCGTCCTCTCCTCCCTGAAGCTTTTTGACTGCTTGATAGAAAACAAAGCTTTCCTCCATAGTGGCTGGCGAGTGGACAAACGGAACTTGAAAGTAGCTAGGTGATAAACAAATGGCAGAGGCAAAAGACGGTCTGGGCAATCTTCTGGATGGACGTTCGTCAGTGCTGAATCACTGCATTTCCTTGCTAATCAAACTGAAGTAGTTATTTATTATAGGTATGTATAATCTGCGCCGACCCGCTCCCTCTGTGGATTCCAGTGCTTGAACATCAAGAGAATCATCGCTCGATGGGGCTGCACCAGTACGTACGTACTTCGGCTTTCGGCCCCCCGTGAATACCGGATCATGCGGTTCCGCCTTACCCCACTACCGAGCCGGGAGGCCAAAGACAACTGTGCCAAGGGCTCGAGTGTAGACCAATCACAAGTGTGCGGGCCGGTAGTCAGGATTGTCAGCCTCTTCTCCGGGAGATACATCACATAGTCCAGATGCACGTCACTGTCTCCTAGCCAGCTCGATGGAAAGGTCCTGTGTGGATGCCCGTGATCTTGGGAATATGTGTTCGCTTGCACTGAACACAGATGGCTCAGGGGATCAGGTCTTGAACACGACGAACGATGAAATCACAAATAACAGAGTTTCTCGAGGAGCAATGCCCAAACACACCTTTCACAAGAACCATGGGCGCTTAGGAGGCGCCTATAAGTGATGCAGAGATCAAAGAGCTGTGGGGTTTCGAGGCAGATCATAACTGGAGAGATTTATAAAATGGACAGGACAAATAAAGTATTAGCAGGTCTGACAGAGAAGCTAAAATCGCAAGCTACGAATTGCTCACTTATTCGGCTGTTGTTGATCATCTCGAAACATAGATACCTCTTCTGGTCACATAAATTTGTAGAGAGATGATGTCGTCTGTCTACACCTAAGTAATAAGATCGCGGGCCAAGTCAGCCCTCAAAAGCCATGATGATCTGAGTCGAAATGGGGCTTCCAATAACAAATATCTATCTATCGATTTGCACACTAACATCCTCACTTTCGTTAATGTCAACCCTATCACAGTAAGGGATTCTTAAACAACTAACTATTAATATAACAAATTAATGCCTTAATTAATTTAAGCTATTATATAGAAGGTAAGAACATCTATAAAATAATATAGAGAATCTAGCTATCTAAATTAAGTTATTTATATATTAATTTATTCTTATTCTTCTAATATAAATGTGTTCTGATACTGGGTATGGTGTCAAGTTGTTAAATTCTTGGTGTTTGGGAATTTCCCCTTTTTTTTCAGCAGCTGCATAGCTCTCTCACTTACTATTTTTCTAATATAACTTATTACCCTAATTCAAGGATAGGACTTCTTTTACCTTCCTTTTACTAGCCCCTCCTACCTAAAAGTTTAGCGAGCTCGAACAGCACTAGTGAGTATTTATGATGAGAGAGCTTACTTAAGTGCATGTTATCGCGACTCAACTTCTTCCACAACTCACGCTAGGATACGATGAACCAGCCCAAGTCACTGTCCTCGCACGGCCGACACTGCCAAATGAGATTAGAGGTGTGTAAGTCCAGCAGACTATCACTGCCATTGTTTGAACGAATTGCAGGTGCTCTGCAGCCGTTAGGGCCAGTGGCAAAAGACGACATAGGCCGGATCTCTAACACGGTAAATTCTTACACTAGTACTGGAATTATTCTAGCAGCTCGCTAAAGACAAGACAGAGGGGAGTAAATAGGAGGTAATATTAAACAACAAGTGGATTTGGAAGAAAATAATCATTCAGATCTCATTGAGGCATCTAGGGGTATATACTTCGCTTAATCTTGAGAGAGGTCCTCGTACAGCCAAGGATCTCCGAGCAATTGTTTCGCGGTGCTTCTTTCCTCTGGTTTCCATCTAATCATTCTCTTCACAAATCTTACAAAGCTGGCCTTCTCTTCACCCTTGATCTGGTTGATACTACCCGCAAAGCAGACATTACGAGAAAGTGGCTGAGGGTCTCTCGGAGTCTCCGGGTCTATACTTGTCACTAAGGCGTTCTAAGTGATGGCGCAAATGGAACTTACTATTGCCGTCGTAGAACATAGAACTCCTTCGCCCACCGGAAACAAGACTACCAGGTGGGTAATCAAATAAGCTTGTTATTTGGGCAAGGTGTACTGCTTCATCGTATTCGTCCGGCTTTTCAGGTGTGTGTGGGTCGAAGAGACGTTTTCTCTCTAATAAGTCCCAGAGCTTATGGACTATGGTGTTAGTTTGTTTTCGGCAAGACTTCCTGGTAGCGAGGGGTTATACACACCAGGACGCCCAAACTCCATATATCAGCGGAAAAGGTATATCCAGCATCAAGGATGACTTCGGGTGCTCGGTAAATCTCAGCTTGGATAGGCCCATAGTGTAGCCGTCCCGGCTTTGTCAATACCGAAAGATCAAAGTCCATAAGCTGGATTATCCCCGGTGGCCTTCTTAGAGGCCCATAGTTGTTGCGTGAAAGGTAAATGACCCTACCACCAAGATGCTTCTATGGTAGTGGGTGATGGAACTCATCCAGCGCTTGTTCTTCGAAAATAGATGGATCCTCGATTCTGATCATGATATTATCAGGCTTTAAATTTAGGAGTACTGGAGGTCAGATGCATATTCCCATCTAGTTTCATGGATGTAATATACCTGTATGAATAACATGGCACTCAGAATGGAGATAATCGAGTGCTTGCAGAGTCACCTGAAGGAGGATTTTAAGTATATTCACCGGGATGAAACCACCAATATACCTTTCTTGATAAACCCAGAGTGGTTCACGAAGAGCTTCTAGAACAAGGCAATGATGTTTCCCGCCAGATACACCCTCAAGTTGAAACGAGTCGCTGAGCTTTCTGATAAAGTGCCAGCCCTCATGGTCGGGATTTAGTTCTGAAGCATGACGTAATATGCGCTCCTCGTTGTCTGTTGGTAATCGCCTCGATGGACTTGCAGCTGCGTTGAGTTATACGGCGATATATTTTTCTTTGGACCAGCGCCAGCTGCATAATGGTCAGTTAGGAGGTGCTTTCGTTGGAGTGGGAAAAAACTGACCGGTGCAGATCGCGAGCCAGCCAAACCGTCGAGTTGGCGCCAAAGCCTAATTTCGTGACAAGTTGGTATCTTTGATTTAAAATCTGGCCAAGACGGGCAGGATAAAATCGATCGGGGTGATAGTCTGGGGTCTTCTCCTCCTCAAGAAGTTGAGTGGTGTCGAGTCGAGGCGCAATAGCCGAAGACAATGGCCATTATTTATGGTACAGAGACAGAGAAATTGTGGGCCTGATTCTGGTCATTTTTTCACCAGTGCGGAGTATGTAGTCGAACAAAAAGTGACATTGGGAAGATTTCGCATGAAGGATGGCGACTGAAAGGTGACAGTTACGGCTGGATGAACTTGTGAGTCGCGACGAATTAACAAGCCGCTTGTGTGGGTCGATGTACACGTTATCATTGGCTAATATTAACTTCCTAGTTACTGGGTCATTGTCAGATTGGGAAAATTAGATAAATTCCACTCAGAGTTGAACCAACATTCATTTCACCCTTCTTACATTTTTCTTTAAAACCACTCTTCTTAAAAGATGTGTCATTCCATGACTTTACAGCTGTTACGAGAGGTTTATTGAGTAGCCAAAATCACGAACTGATCAAATTAGACTACCGTCAAACTCAGTGACTCCAACTTAACTTTTCGCTTGACATTGATTCGTCGCCAATACATGCGTCGTCCCTACACGGCGCCAATATGCAAAGAGTCTTTATTCCTCGGGTCTTCCCATCCCGCTTCTTTTCTAATGCTACACTTTCTATTCAACTTCGCGTCCGACACCGGCCATATTGTCACACTCAATCAAGACTATTCACGCAGATGTCTACCCCAACTTCATCCTCCCTCGTTGAGGAGGAGACTGTCCCAACCTACGAGCCGCAGAGATTTTACCCGGCGAAGCTAGGAGACGTATTGGGCTCGCGATATACCGTTGCCTCCAAGCTCGGATTTGGCACGAATTCAACCATCTGGCTTTGCCGAGACAGCAAGTACGTTTGTGGTGCTCCCGTACACTTGCCAGCTTTTCACTAACATATGGCAGGAGACAAGAACACGTGGCTGTCAAAGTCTGCGCGCTTGGGCAGAAATTCCGGGATAGCGTCGCTCGCACCCAAGCAGAGTCCGAGCAGGCTGTTACAGCCTTCTTTGGCTCGATTCAGATTGAACATCCGGGTATCAACAGCTTGCGTCTTCTTCGGGGCCACTTCGATGTTCAGGGCCCTCGTGGAACTCATCCATGCTTAGTTCACACGCCTCTTGGTATGAACTTGCTCCAATTGCGTAATATCATGCCAAATCAAATGCTGCCCACTCCGCTTCTACAGCACACCTTATTGCGAGTATCATTCGGCTTGGATCTTCTTCACCAGGCTGGTGTCATTCATACAGGTATGCCTTCTTTTCTCTGTGTAGACGGGATGAATCGTACTGGCCAATGGAAGATCTATCTCCTAACAACATTTTGATCAGCGTCCCAGACACAACTATCTTTTCTCAGATAGACAAAGCTGAGTCCGAGCACCCATCTATCCTCAAATCCACTGGAGACAGAACCATATATGGCTCTCGGCCACTGCCCGTCACTCAAGGCATCCCTGTTATATGTGACTTTGGCGAATCTCGCATGGGACAGCCTGGGCAAAAGTATCGAGGGGATGTGATGCCTGACTTCTACCGCGCGCCAGAAGTGATTCTGGGAATGGAATGGGACGAAAAAATTGACATCTGGTGTGTTGGGCTAATGGTGAGTCTTCAAAATCATGCTACTAGGACTTAAATCTCACACATAAAAGATCTAGGATCTATTCCAGGGTACTCGCCTATTTTACGCCCTCAAGGATAGAATCCTTAATGACGAGCAACATCTTGCCGAGATGGCTTCGCTCATGGGTCCCCCTCCGAAAGCGTTCCTAGAGCGAAGCCCCAAGTGCCGTGAGTACTGGGATGCTGATGGTAAGATACATGCGCAGCCTAAAGGAGGCATTTTGCAATACTAACAGTCTCCCCAGGTAACTGGATAGCATCAACACCCATTCCAGAGCAAAGCTTTGACATGAGAGAGGCCCAGCTGAAAGGCGAAGACCACCAACTGCTATTAGCGCTCGTCAAAAAGGTTTTTCGCTGGCTTCCCGAAGAACGAGCAACGGCGCAGGAATTAACAGAGGATCCTTTTCTTACCCAGTTTCTCAAGAAGAACTAACTTACGACCTCGCTCGCCATCTGCTAGGGTGAAGAAATACAAATTCACAAAGAATATAGCTGTACTTGCGTATCTATCCCTCTGTAGGAGGACATCCCATGCCTTGGCCTGGAGGTCAAACCTTTGGTCAGTTTTTACATCCTTCTTGTAGAATCTGCATTTAATAGTAGAACCTTCATTATTCGTTTATTTTCCAATAGTATATACCTACATGTAGATTTCCAGCCAATTAGACCCCTGTAAGATATAAAGTGCAGCGAACGCTACTGCAAAGAGATAAACAGGCCCTTCAAGTACCAACACCTCCGCCTACTTGGTGTCCGCCTTTTTCCCCTCCACATCCTCCTCGCATCCTTGATCCCATGAATAATTCCCAAATACCAGGATCCGTAATTTATGCGGTATCACGATCCCGTGGGAAGCAACCAGAAGAGTCCGCGTTTACCGCGAGGCTGAGGAAAATGAGAAAAGCAAAAGGACAGGCAAGATCCTCTGACGAATCCGAGTCAGAGGATGAAAATGAGCCAGGTCGGTTTGTATGCGGTCCATTCGCATGGCGCGGTCATTAACTTCACGGTGGAGTAGGCGTAAAGATTTTGCACAAGATGTTTCATCGCAAAGTCGTTCTACATCCTGACGACACTGTGGTCAAATTTGGGAAGCGCATCGCCATTGGGGAGGCAGAGGCGCTCAAGGTCGCCGCGCTTGCCGGAATCCCCACCCCTCTGTTTCTTGAGGTAAACACAACTCCCGAAGGCCAAAGCATTCGTATGAGCTACGTCCATGGGGAATCTCTTGATACTCTGTGGCCCAGCATGACGGTTGACCAGAAGAAGGACATAGCGAGGCAGCTTCGGGTAATCGTCGAACAGATGCGCTCTGTGGCTCCGCCAGCCACTCTCATCGGCGCTTGTGATGGTACTGAGATTCGCGACACGAGGGTACATTTCACGTATCACTCGCCGCCGTGTCAAGATGAAAAGGCCTTCAATGACTATCTCTCAGCAGCTCTCAGCGAGCATACGCCTCCGCTTGTACGGGAGGCATTTACTCGCCGATTGCGAACCTACCATCGCGTTGTCCTTACTCACTGCGACTTGGCACCTAGGAATATCATGGTACAAAATTGGAAAATCCAGGGACTTGTGGACTGGGAGGATAGCGGGTGGTATCCGGAATATTGGGAGTATGTCAAATTCTTCCAACGCCCCGCAGACAAAGACTGGAAGCTGTACGCGCAGGAGATTTTCCCCGAGTTGTACCATGAGGAACTGGTCACGTTCATCGCAATGTCAAGATTTCAGAATACGTAGTCAGCCATTTCGCATACTGCGAAGGGCCTAAGAGGAGCCGGGCCTCTACATCCTCATAATAGATCCTTAGGAACTCCCCGGATATCCCTCGCCAGGTCGAGATCAGGCGACAAGTAGGATTACAGACAAGACATAGTGACCGAGTCCGGATGTTATTGATGATAAGGATTAGAGCTTCAGAAATGGCCTCATACTTTACAAACAACTGCGTGAGGCTGGCTCCAAGCTTCTATGTCACCGCAAGGCTAGCCAGCCACCGCTAGTTGTAAGTTGATAGTTGAGCAAGATGTATTCCCCATAGCATCACAATAGAGCCTACAGCGCTTACATCATGAGCCGGCCTCTTTCTTATACCTTTCTAGAAGCCAGCTTCATTCAGCCTATCTTTCCGCCTAGGAGCCATAAGCTTTACATCAGCCATAAACATTATAGCCAATTAACTATCAATTTGTTTATACTAGTATAGTAACATTTAGTTAAAGATACCTTGCTTACTTTCTACTAGGGTATCAAGGTATAAAAGGGCGTTCTACAATTGGCGGAAGCGCATGGGGTTTAGTGGCCCAAACATCAATCTTCACCGCCTTGCGACTCGAAACAGCACGATAACAACATACACATAAACTTTCTAACTACAATTCGTCCTCACTACAACCAAGAAAGATAAAATCATCCTGATTCTGTCCCTAGCTCAATCAGTCAATATCTTCTGAGCATTAATGACTCACAGACGCAGGAAACTCACACATCTTGGAAGAGGTAATCAACGCTTCCGGGGACTGAACTTTCTTCCGCAGACTTAAGCTAGAAATGGGGCGCTCCCGTTCTGCGAAGAGGAGTAGGACTTCAGGCCCTTATTCCTCTACGCATTTAACCGGACGTAGCTTGTCGATCGACAGCCGGCAAGCCAAGCGCACATCAACCCAACAAGAGTACCAACGCAATGTCGAGTCGCAGCCACTCGAGGACATGCGCACTTTTCTAGCAACGATTTCGATTCTTGAGCGAGACGAAGAGTATTCGTCATGGATGAGAAGCATAACAGACTATCTTATGATTGAAGGCTACGGGCCGTTGCTCAGAAAACGAAAACCCCGACCATCAGACGAGGACAAAGAGGCGCTAGAGGACTACCTGGATAAGCACGAAAGAGCTATATCAGCGGTCTTATCAAGAATCAGCCTAGAAAGGCGTCTGAAGCTTGAGGTATATGACCAAGTTGACCTCCTATTGGAAGCTATCGAGAGCAAATTTAAACCTACTGGGAGTTTTTTTCTCATGAAACGCTCTGAAGAACTCTTCAAACTTACTCGAGACCAATGCAAAAGTGTGTCAGACTACTCGAGCCGGCTCTTAATGGCGAGAGATGATTGCCAGATGTGCATAAGAGACACCTTTGTATCAGATACTACGCTTGTGGTTATATTCCTCCTTGGACTTGGGCCCTCTTATGCCAACTTCAAAACGAATTTCTTAAACAAATTTAATCTCACTGCTGTCGATGGGGACGGCGCCCCAACAGTCAAACTTTGGCATGCGACGCAAGCCGCAGAGCAGTACGAGAGGTTAATGAAGATGTATGGCCCTAAAACGGCTACCTCGAAGTGATAGAAGTTCCACGCCAAGGCCAGCACAGCCATCAGGATGGTGTCTTCAATCTGGCGGTTACCAAGCCGGCATCTCTAGTGATTTATTGTGGCAAAAACCAATTCAATATATATCCGAAGGCACATCAACGGCAAAAAAACAGCCCACAAGGTTTCAATCTAAAGGAATATCAAGGGCCTTCCCAAAAACCCCCAGAGTAATATTAGCCTGACCACCAAGACGCTAAATAACTCTCAATGCCTCGAGCCCCTCGCTCACCACATATCAGTTCAAAACATTGTGCAGAAAAATTAACAAAGAGCGAGGGTAGTTTGACTGTATGTGGATGTTTAAGATGCTTGAAACTATTATTAAATATCGATAAAATCCTTGTTTATAATGCTCTAGTCAAATGTCTCCAAGCGTACGGAGATGTTCTTGTGATCTGGAATAGCCTAAAATAGCATGCGACATAAGATAATACTGGTTGTTCAATGCGAGTACCTGCTTTTATATGTTTCTGGTCTTAATTTACCCTTTGTTTAACGCCATAGAAATAGGGCATATAGTCCCAATGTTACCCTCGTCTGTCACATACGACCATACCCATTCGAGAACACGCGATCCCGTCAAGAACTTGTTAAGAATATACAGGTCCCTTAGACCGTTTAAAACGGTTCTCTTTTAACACAACCCCCTCCTTTGGTTAGAGCCTTCTGTGCAGTGTAGAGCCTTTATGTTCGATCTCAGCATCCAGTAAATAGAGGGTTGAAAATGCGAGACCCATTTCCCTATCCCAGCATCAAGTCAACATCCTCCCTACTTTGCATCTCCCATATCTTCGAGCACACGCGACCAATTCCCCTGCGATAGGCTATCCCTCGCTCCCACTCTATCCACATGACCCAGTAGAAGTGATACCAGCCGTCATCGGCTGCACCAGGACTCTCAGGGTGACCAAGCTCCTCTACTCCAGTCTTGGTCGCGGTTGTGTTCGGACAGCACCCTCTGGCTACTTCAACGACCTCGAGCGCTTCGTCCTCCATCATCTCCATCCGATCAACGGACGCACTCATCCTCACCAAAGGCTCCAGGGCACCGGCCCACCGCCCGCTCTCGTCCCGCAATGAGAATATCGGAGCCTTTCCATAGAATTTATGAATTCTCTCCCCAGGGAACAAGTAAACCCGGCGTGTGCTGCACGATATGAACGGTGGATTGATAACCGACGACTTAGACCCGGGCTCCGGGATGGGAATGGGATACCGAAACTCATACTCGGGGTGCTTGGCGTTCTTAAAAAAGGAGACGGGTGTGTAGTTAAGATTCTCGAGATCACACTCCAGCTCGGGACTCTCCGAAATCTCATGCACGGTCCATTCAGAGCCAAGATTTAACTCGTTATTAAGCCACGACTCCCGATGTCTCAGTATACCAGGCTCAATCGGGATTCCGGGCATGTCTGGTCTTTCATGGTACTTCCAAGTCACAAGCGGGGTCAGGATGACCGAGTTTGCGACTCGATAGATTTTCGAGGGGCCCTTCTTGAGAAAGTGCGAGGCCGAGCCCGTGTTGATCGAAACAGCCCCGGACCAGCCTACCCAGCTCCAGCTAGGCAGAGAGCGAGCCTTGTCGGGATCTCTGGGAAATCTGCGGAATACTCTCGTCTGTGGACTCCACAGCAGGCATACATCAAAGCACGCGGAAGGGAGGCCCGTTATCAACTCGCCACCAACCGCGGCAGAGATACCATGAGATATTCCGATGAAAGCGCCGGCAGCGTCTTCCGGATAGCTGAATTCTCGACTGTTATACTCTTTCAAAACCACTTGAAATTCTGAAAACTCCAGCATCGACGCCCGGAGCATGGAACGGCAGGCGACGACACCGCCAAAAACATTGTGCAGCTGAATAGTCCCGTCGATATGCTCACGCCACACGTCCTCCATGCACTCCCACCGGAGTGAGTCGCCGTCAAATATGAGCTTCCTCCTCGAGAATATGTTCTCCTGATATGTCCATGCCCTGGTCGACCATACGGGGTCGAGACACTCTACGTCGTGAAACCGACCGTCGGCGGGGACCTGGAGAATCTTGGTCCCATCTGCCAGATAGTGTACGACCTGTAGTAGACTTCTGGGCTCCGATACGCCGTTAAATCCTCGTAAGCCACTATCAGCATGATCGCCCTGGATTGCCAAGATGGTGACTGAGGAGTTGGCGTAGATGCCGCCCATCTTGGACAACTCTTCTTGCTTCTGCGATTCTCCATCCTGTACGATGCAAAGGGTGTCGACCCAGAGGTATCTCTCGCCCAAGAGTTTCACGATACCCAGCGCGTCGCGTATAGTTTTGGGTAGCGAATCCCCCGAAGTGGGTTCAGCCAGAGAGTTCGGTCGATGGAGGATAGCGATATTGGCCTTCGTGGCCAGTAGGCCCTGCTGACCACCCCAAACATAGCTGAGTGCCACATAGGAGTAATCGCCGGAGTTCTCAACAATGCACTGCTCGTAAACATCTACCACTAGCGCTGGCTTCATGGAAGACAGCGAGGGTATCGAAAAGCTGCTACATGGCTCTCCGTGTAGACGGGCACAAGACTCCTTCCACAAAGAAGGGAGACCGCTGTCAATCCACTCTGGATCGATAATGCGACCGCCTACAAGGTCCTCCGGGTCATCTGGGGCTTTGGAGAGATAGAATGCTGCTCGTATTGGCTGTCTGTCCGGGGACCATAGATCTGTCACGAGAACAGCGGCTCCATTGTGAGGGATTTTAAGAATTCTGATGTCCCGGATGTCTTCTATAAGCTCGAGCCGGCTAACCGAGTCGGGAAGAGAGTCCAGGCTTAGGGCTGAAGTGATCAGCTTCTGGTGGATGGTACAGTCCGTCAAAGGATCCAGGACCGTCTTGCCGCTTCCGAGCGATACTCGGGTGAGCTGGACGGTGGGAGATCGCACCACCCTGGCAATTTCATCACATATAGAACAGTTACTCTAGATGAGAAGAGGCGGGTCAGTATCAGAGCACGGGCACCATAGCCAATACCTCAATTGTCACCTTTGTCATGATGCCATGCAAAGTTACTCTTCGCTTCTTGTTTGATTTAGTAAAAAGAAGTCGATTCAAGTCAAAAATAGCGACAACTCAATTTTATGGGCAATAGGCGAATGCGGTATCGTAATGTTTCAGTTAGAGTGTAGAATATAAGAGGATATGTGAGAACGGAGCGGGGTAACAATGATAATCGGCTGCCCGATGAGCCTGGAAGGCCAGCTACAACTCTGCATAACCATGAGATCATTACGCGATACCTACCCAGGACTCGGGCTCCGTAAGATAAGTACTTGAATCAGACTCATTCTCTTTTCACGAGGCAAGCGCCTTGCTTCCCTACCAACTAGTCAAATTGTCGGCTACCGACCGAGGTTGAAGGACTTAGGTAAGCGTGTAAACATTAGGTCACCTAAGGCAACATTATGAACGCTTTTAGAGAGATATCCCACCAGTGTTACTTTTGAGATATTGTGATTGATGGCTCGTGGCATCCAGTAATATGAGAAATGATACTTTTTGACGAGAGTGGCCCGCAAAATCGTCTATCTTCTCATTTGGAGATCAACGGCGGAGTATACTGATGATGGTTACACTAAAAGGAAGCATGTTTGTAAACGGCAGTGTTGGGTTAATCGCTCCTTAGGTAGCTGATGACGATACTGACTCCTTCCTCATGCCTAAGCCTATCTATAGAGACAAGGATTAGCTCACCCACGATGTACAACAGCATATCATGTAAAATTTGACTAAATTTCATAAATACTCTTTGAGCTCTTGACCTTCTCTGTAAGCTCAGGCACCTTTTCAAATAGTAAAATGGCCTTTTTGATGTAGTCATGGCCATAAATACTGGGTGCCAAAGACTGCGATAATAGCACGAGAAGAGTTTTCTTCTTTGACACCTTGTTGATGTTTCGAATGTCGGTGTCGGTAATGGTGGCAGTGGCAACCCCGCCGCCAGACTTGGAAGACAGAAGGACAACAGTCTGACAGGTCTATAGGGTAGGGGTAGGCTATCCGGCTTACGAAGCACTGAAGACCCACTAGGTGGCTCGTGGTGTGGCTGGTGGCAAACCAATCTTTATTTGGTTATCCTCCGCTATTGGATGGCCCGGCAACCAATCGCCATCGAGGAAGATGTCAACGCTTCGCCTGCGATTGCCTAAGGAGTCTCCTCGATCACGTTGCTGACTTAGGGTGGCTGGAATTGAAAGGGTGAGCGGTTAACATGGCGACTCAGTGCAGGGTATGGATTACTACCAGCCTAAAATGAAATGAACCCAAGTCTTGGTCCATAACTAAACTGCTTATTTGGTCCTCAAATTAGGAATTACCGCTTTGCTCGATGGCATTATCTACGTGCGCTTTGAGGGCACGTGGGGTCATAGTTCTGAAGTGCCCGACGGTGACAGGGTCCCTAATGTTCACGATGATTTCACGTTGTGGTTGTACTGTCAGTGTTTTGCGGCTTTGAGGGTTATGTATGCTGGTTGCTAGGCCGCCTCTCGCTGCAACGCTAGCATATGTTTGGACCATTTTGGTTTCATACTGTTGGGTTGCAAGTGTCAGTTCCCTTACCATATTCAGCGTTGTCTTGCCGATCTCCATGGCTTCCTGTTGTGTTAGGTGGACCCATATACTATTCTTGACCGCCTTCCCGATCAGGAAAAGATGGAGCTCACCGCCCAAACTTTTCGGGCAAGAAAAAAATATTCTGCCCCTCCAAGTTGCGACAGGGAAAAGTAGCGAGCCAGCAACCTCTTCCATTTTTCTCAAGTGGGCAATCAATTCGTCTATCGTCGCATCTAGTAGCACGCACACTGCGACAATGAAGAAAGGCTCCAAGAAACATGGGGAGGGCTCATCGAGCCGGATCTCCGATCCGCGTTTCGCCAATTTCCAGACGGACCCTCGCTTCCGACTGCCCTCGAAGAAGAAGACGAAGACCACACTCGACAAACGTTTTGCCGGTATGCTCAAGGATGAAGAGTTCACAGCCACCGCTCGAGTAGATCGCTACGGCCGAAAACTCAAGTCCGACTCGAAAAAGAAGGCTCTAGAGAGGCTGTACCAACCCGAGGAGGATGAGGATAAGGATGACGAGGATGGCGATGGCGACAAGGCCGGGTCTGACGATGATCTGGAGGTTGATGACGACGAAGTTGTACAGAGAGAATTGAGGAAAGCGCACGAAAAATTTGACCCAGCTCGAGGCGGCGGATTCTCTTCCTCCGAGTCAGACTCGGATTCGGACGACGACGACGACGACGAGGACGAAGATGATGAGGCTGGGGGCGCTACGGTGTCAAATAGCGGCGACATGCAGCGATTCCAGGACCAGCGGGCTGAGGTAGAATCTGGAGAAGTCACCAAGCGCATTGCCATTGTCAACCTGGACTGGGACCACATCAAATCCACAGACTTGATGGCTCTCTTCTCGAGCTTTTTACCCGGCGAGAGCGGCAAGATCGAGAAGATTTCCATCTATCCTAGCGAGTTTGGCAAGGAGCGCATGCAGCAAGAAGAAGTCGAGGGACCTCCGAAGGCACTCTTCAAGGATAGCGACAAGCGGGATTCCGAGTCGGACGAAAGCGAGGATGATGACGACAGCGATCTCAGCGAAGATGAGAAGATCAAGAAGGAGCTGATGCAGGAGGGAGACGATGAGGATTTCGACAGCGATGCTCTACGGTCCTACCAACTGGACAGACTACGCTATTACTATGCTGTGATGGTCTGCTCCAGCCTCCAGGCAGCCAAGAAGATCTACGAATCCACAGACGGTACCGAGTTCCAGTCATCGTCCAACTTCCTTGACCTTCGATTTGTGCCGGATGATGTCACATTCGATGACGAGCCCCGAGACGAGTGCGACAAGGTGCCAGAAAGCTACAAGCCTGTGGAGTTCGTGACCAACGCGCTACAGAGCTCCAAGGTGAAACTGACATGGGACATGCACCCGGAGGAGACATCCAGGAAAGACGCTCTTGACAGGGCTTTCACCGGAAGCCGATCCGATCTACAGGAGAACGACCTTCGCGCGTACTTAGCGAGCGATAGCGAGGGCGAGGATGAGGAAGAGGAGGATGCCGACGCTGGAGAAGAAGAGAAGGACGCCCCCAAGCTTTCCAAGAAAGAGCTGGCTCGCAAGAAGATGCGAGAAGCTCTGGGGCTAGGCGAGGAGCCCGCCGCAAAGGAGTCCAAGCACGGCCCCGTGGGAGACATGCAGATTACTTTCACGCCTGCCCTGACAGAGACCAAGAAGAAGCAAAAGAAGGCCGGCGAGGAGGAGACAACCCTCGAGAAGTACGTCCGAAAGGAGCGCGAGCGAAAGGAGCAGAAGCGTCAAAAGGCCAAGGCCAAACGTGATGGCCAGGATTCTGACGCCGAGTCAGAGGATGAGGCTGCTCCGGTCCAGGCCGACGAGGAGGAGGAGGAGGATCTCGGATTTGACGACCCCTTCTTCACGACCGACGAGCCTGCCGTTGCCCCCTCCAAGACATCCATCCGCAAGGAGGAGCGCCGCAAGAAGCGTGAGGCCCGCGAAGCCGCCGATGCCGAGTCGGCAGCCCAGAAGGCACACCTCACCAAGGTCATGGCGGAGGACGCCGACGAGAACCAGGCCAGCCACCTGGACCACTTCGACATGAACGATATCCTGCGCGCCGAGAAGCAGAAGAAGAAGAAGGGAAAGAAGGGCAAGAAGGACCTGGCCACAGGTAGCCTGCAGGAGGACTTCAGCATGGACGTGGGCGACGATCGTTTCAAGGCCGTGTTCGAGGACCACGAGTTCGCGATTGACCCTTCCAACCCGCGGTTCAAGGGTACTGAGGGTATGAATCAGCTGTTAGAGGAGGGCAGGAAGAAGAGAAGAGGGGACAATGACGATGAGCCGAGACGGAGCAAGAAGGCTAAGAAGGGGAGGAGGTGAAAAATAATTGATACCATGTAGCAAAATAGACGGGAAAGGAATATCGTTCATTGCGCTCAATACCAAGTGTTAAATATACCTTTTTTGAATCATATCACAAGAGACCACTAATCTCGTCCATTTTAAAAGGTGATAGGACAAAATGGCCAGCAGCATGTAGGGTGTGGACAATACATTCTTCGTTGGCCTTGCCGATCCGATCGTTACAGCACCATTTGGATTCCACCTTGGAGAAAGAATCTGTTAAATTCATGAAACCACCATCTCTGATCTACTACCACCTAATAAATTGCAGAAGACATTATTCAATGTGAGCACATATCCGACACTCCCATAATCTAAGACGACTCCTCAGCCAATTGTTTGATAACATCAGCCCATCCATCGCTGCCGCTAAATACCGGGATGTCAACAGGACAAACAGTGCCAGTGGCAGGAAGAGTGCCATTGATAAAGTACGACCTAACCGCCTTGGCCGTGCAGAGGGAAGCCTGCGTCAAAGAGCCGTGCTACATGTTCCTGTTAGCCACTTCACCATTGAAACACCGAAGGGCTATAAAACTTACGCCGTAGCTGTCCTGCTGGAGAACAACACTGCCCTCGAACCCAGCACTTACGTTGCGCGCAGAGACGAGAGGAGTGACGGGGTCGTAGGTGTTGCCGATGATGAGGACGGGTTTCCTGGGCTTGACCTTGAAGTCACCCGAGTATCGCTCCTTGGCTCGCATGGGCCACTGGGCGCATCGGGCAGGCATCTCGGCAGCGATGCCGCCGAAGATGCTCTTCGAGTAGCGAGCTGTCTGGACGGCGGCTGTCTCCTCGTAGGTGCTATCTACCAAAATATCGCTACACTTGATACCGTAGAGGGCCTCGTCAAAGCTGGGAGGGTTCCAATCTGAGGTGGCGTTGGAAGAGGTGGTGGAATCGGAGGTAGTCGTGTTGAGGGTAAGGGCAGCGAGGCTAGCGAGATCACCTGTGGCAAGGTCGTGGAGCAAGATGGCTAAGGAGGGCCAGACGAAGGGGAAGTACAACTGGCGGTGAATGTAACTGACGACGGTCGAGTAATCAAGCACGAAGCCTCCACCTGGGATTAGAGGCGTAACGAAGGGGATAGGATGGTACTTCAGGTTGCTGAGAAGCGCGCGGAGGCTCGCCTCGAGCTCTGCTGCGGTGTGGTTTTGGGCAAGGGGGCAGTTGTCGGGGTTCTGAACGCACGATTGGCAAAAGCCTGTGAACACATCATCGGAGTTTGTGAATAGCTCAACTTCTCTGTATTACATCAGGGTTAGCTATGAAAGCTCGGAAAGCCGGCAAGGAACGAGGGGGGCAGTCATACTTGTTGTTGTAATACTCATGGGCATTAACAACACCATCAATGATAACCTTGTCCACTCTGTCGGGGAACATGGAAACTGCCGTGGCACCTAGAATGGTGCCATAAGATACTCCTACAATAAGACGGTTGGTATCTCAAGCCCTTATTATTCAGGAGTTACAGGCCCCAGATATCATGCTCATGCAGATGCAAAGACTCACCCCAGTAACGCAACAACCCATCCTCGTTCAAGGCGTCGACAACCTGGAAAAGATCACGCACAACAAAAGCAGTTCCAATCAAGGAGCCAGTCTTGCTCTGATGAGAGGCGCAGTTTTGGTCGTAGATTGTGGAGCGGGCCCACGCATTGCCGAGAGCTGTATCAGAAGAGTCGCCGTTAATAGGTTGGGTAAAGGCAGACCTTGTAGCTGCATCGTCATAGCATGAGAAGGGGAGCGTATAGCCTGTTCCTCGAGGAACGACGTTGATGAGATCGTAATACCCTCCAGTAGACCTAATTAAGAAATGTAAGTTGGCCAAGCTCATGGTTTAATTCAAGAAGATTGTTGGCATACGCTAGGAGAGGCTCGGAGAAGTAGCCAAGGTCAAGGACACCGTCCGCGCCTGGACCGCCAAAGTTGAACAGAATGCTGCCCTTCTTTTCAGGTTGCACGGCTGGGATGCGAACAAGATCGAGCCTCAGGGTCTCGCTGGAGTTCTTTTCGGTGTAGTCCAGGGGTACATTCAGGCTGCCGCACTCAACGGGAACCGAGGTCGCGATGGGAATGGTACAAGACTTCCACTGAATGGAGCTGGCATCGGTCGAACGCGAGTTATGAGTAAATGGGGCGTTGATTGGTGTTGCAGACACCACCAAGGGCAAGTTGAAGAGAACAGATCTGGCACGCATCTTGAGCTGAAGAGGTTGGGGTGGGTTTAGTGAGAATATCGAATGCAATACATTACATTTCTCCAGAATGAGCGGGCTCAAGGGAATGTTATATAGTAATATCCAGAGCATGGCAGCCTGGGTCTCATCTACGTCTTACCCACCTAGCCGAGAGGATTCTGATGACATCCACTAGGCGGGGCTTCAAATCAGTGGCTTAGCTGACATGGAGGATGACATGGTCAGTCGTCATTTCCCTTGGCTGCTGGGATTATCAGTCCCGCATGAAAGCTTGGGTAAGAGATCTAACTTAGCCTGGAATTGCGTTTCTTCGATTGATCGTTTCGTTTGGCGGTTCATACCCGTGCTCCATCATCACCGCCCTGCAACTGCAGCGAGCAAGGTAAAAACGGGGAAGTTCCCCTTCTGAGAGTTACATATCGTAGAAAAAGGTAAAGACTAGCGTGCGTTAAGAACTGAAATGTTTCCCAGAGGTCTGTCTGTTCGCTATTGAGATAGAAGAACAGTAGTGGAATATATTAGTGACAGTGGGAAAGTTGAAGTACCGAGACTCGACGCTCGTCAGAACTGCCCTGTAATTTGCCCAATCGCTCCCCAAGCGTCAATCCACAGTGGCTCGGCGGCTTCGAATCGGCAATTTTAGCGTGTTCCCACTAAATTAGGGCGCTCGATCCGCTGCCATCCAGGTACTTCATCGGAGAAGGTGCTGAGCTCTGATTGGTCTGGTCGTTCCTGTCAGGCAGCCCTACGCCTGCTCCAGGCACAAGCCTCCACTATCAAAAGTTCAATGATGGTACTTTGGTTGGTGCAGTTCTGGCGCAGTTGTCCGAAGGCTTGCCTCATTCGGACACAAATCACCCATGCCAGATTCTTGGAAACAAAGGCCACGCAAGGCAAATCCTGATCTTTGCGATCCCGGATACCGTAGCCTACCTTCATGGGCAAGCAATTAGCGACAATGCTTTGGCTGAACTTGTGCGGATGTTAGTGCACAGCTATTGCCACCAATTTCTGTTTCCCAATACCTTGATCACATAGGTGCTGAACACCTAACAACCAACTTGACTCTACCTCTCGTGCCTATATATCAACTTTATTGCGTCAATTATTCTCAGACTTCCGGCCTAGTCCTCATCGTAGGTTCGCTTGCCAAAGGAGACGAACAGAAGACTATGACCAAAACAATCCATCAAGTGATACATGGACAAACACATTCTCATCAATCACGTCCCAATCTTAGTACAGATCCCAGTTCATGTTAAGCATCGCATAGGATATACTCCACTGAGTTCGATTACTATTAGAGAATTGTAGCAATGCTCCGCCCTGGACCATAACTCCCCCCTTCTTCGAGCATTGTCCATAATCCCATTCTGTTTGCCTAAAAGTGAGTCTTAAAGAGCCGGAAAGTAAGTTTGAAGATATATCCGACAAAAGTTTCCTTGTAGTCAATGAGATTTCCCCGCAATAATCGTAGACGGGTGTCAATTGGTCGTCAGCATGATCTTCCCAACTCGTCCAACTTCTGTCGGCCTGCTCACTTCCGGTTCATAGTAAATTCGTCTCTAATAGTTGTTCTAGGGTCTCCAATCGATAATGAATCCTAACCTTTCTCCAAAGTATTCCAAATTGCTGTTTCTTGTCAGTGGTATGTTTCTTCAAGATGCCTTGCCAAGTGTCAGTAAGCTTGCCCCAGGGCTCTACGAGGGAAGTGAGGTCGACGTCTCTGAAACTACCGAATTGGAGGAACATTGTGGCCCATTTCGCAGCCTTTGGCATCTGTAGAAAAAAGTTGTCCTAGAGTTTGGCGGTTCAATGCCAACGTTTAGCGTTGCTGGGCGGCAAATCGATATCCTCTGTGGCATATTCCACCCAACCGACCAACAGGATAAGATTTTGTAGCCCACTAGAGAATACGTAGGATCAAAGTCCCGGGCTTTGATACATGGAAAATGGAATTACCGCTTTTAATACACATGTAGCATACCATTTAACGAGAATTGAAACCCACTCATCGCAGTCATGGTACAGAGGGATGGCCCAGCGACAACACAGAACTCTCTTGTTTTCAAACTCTCGGTTTGTTCACTAGATACAAGCTGGTCTCATTTGCCATTACTAAAAACTCCAGCTCTTCCCGGAATCTGCGGTGGGAGACATGCCTAAGCCATGAACCCCGTGAGATGACGTGGGAGGGGGGGGAAATTCCAGTCCCAAGACTTGAAGCCGCAAACAACGCTTTTGCCCCAGGCAACGGCCAGCTTTTAAACCATCCACATTCTTGACAAGCATGGCTATTAACAGAGTGCTTTAATCTCTTCGTAGTGGTTTCCAGTAAGCTCTTGACAATCGAAATAAATGACTACTTGCTAACCTAGAGCCTGCTTTGGGCATTCAATGAACTTGTCGCCATGGTCTAGCGAGTTCTCCTCTATTTCAACAAAACTTGGCGAATACAGGTTTCGCTTACGAGGAAGGCTCAGCGTAAGTCTTCCATTCATTTTACATAGACCTCACTACGGTAATACTCCCAGAAAGGGCAAACTTCCCACAGCATTTTTCGATTGTCGTCGATGCTGACCGGTTTGTTCTTCTAAGAAAGCCGAAGAAGCAACCATGCCATGAGACATCGCGCGCCCGGTTATGACGAGATCAATGACGTCTCTGGCATACCTCTACGACGCCCTTCAGCGTGGCCTCACAATAAGCCGTGCTAGAAGGACATGTCGCTTCTCATTGATACGCTTAGAGAGGATAGGTTCTTACCTTATGGCATAACCAATAGCATCCCGATTAATCTGCTAGGCTACTGTACCTTATACCCCAGGGTCTCACATCCGAAGCTAGCTGCATTGCAGAAAGTTGGAAACGAGGCCGAGCGACATTCACGAATACAGGCTAGCCACTAGTCACGACTCGGGCTTTCACGCAGGCCCCGTCCCCTAGACTCAGAGCGTCTCTGTTTGGGCTCAAAGCCTCTACCGCCTAGAAGACCAAGGTTCCCAACACCTACGCTGAAACTCCGTGGTTCTGGGCTTCCTCGGATGAAGGTTCAAAGCGCGCTGACTTGGTGGACAGTTGGCCAGGGGGGAGATCACGGGTGAGTAAGCAATCAAATATGAGCTGTAAGCAGGTAGCAGAGACTCCAGCGGGTGCCTGTACTACATTCCTACAGGCCCTGGGGACATGAAAATGCCTCCCTCTGGCTTTGAACTCAGGAGGGTCACGAGCTGAATAAGTACACACCAGTTATCCCGTCAACCACACACATGATCCAACCTGGATGATTGCCCTACTATTAGCCTAATCGGTCCAGATCCGGCACCATAAGCACCAGCCAACTCATCGATGCCCTCAATTGAACTCAACTTAACCTTCTTAACCATCACCTCCCGTCGCCTCTAGCAGACGATCACCTCCACATTCGGCGATGACATTCTCCCTAAATAATACCCCGGGCCTCAAACCCAAGGCCTGTCCCATATGCTCCTCGGAGACGGGTCTCATCCGTTGCGTGAGCTGCGAAGTGCTTGACTACTGTGGAAGCCGCCACGAACTCTCGCACAAGCAGCATCACTACCCAACCTGCATCTTGATCAAGTACACACGCATCGCCTTGGACAATGAGGAGCGCAAGATTCGCACCCAGTTCGAAGACGACGACGTAAACCCTTTGGACACCTCGGCGGAGTACTTTCCGTCCCTTCGTAACGCCCACCCGTACTTGGCCACTCGCCTTAGACTGGTAAATCTTCTCCTGGATCACTTCGGGGCTGCTGGGGGCTACGACCATGTCGTTCGGGTTGCTCTCGATCACACTTTGGCCATGATTCGGCTTGATCCCAGCGACAAGCTATACATCTCAAACATAATTCCAGCTCTGTACATACGTCTGGGGATGGACCAGGAGGCCTATAACTTCCTGGACTGGTGGTTTGCTACCTCCAATGGTCCCTTTTCGCAATGGACCAGCATGGACTTGCCCTTCCTCGATCCAGACTATCGGAGGAAAGACATCTTGGCGCCTCTTGAGGACAGTTGGGACGCCGTGGGTTCCTTCAGCCTGAACCAATGGGTGGCGGTCCTGCTCATCAAGATGAAAGTTCTCCTGGATCTGCGAGCCATGCAAAACGCACGCAGGGCTCTCCACGGTGTCATACCCACGGAACTCATCGACATTATCCGGATGAAGCTTTCCATCAGCTCCGCCGCATCGCTGAACAGAGTGGCTCAGGCTGACTTCGAAGAGACTGCAAACATGATCGCAACAATCAAAAAAGAAGTTTGGGAGCTTTACCACGCCATAACGGATTACAACCCCCATATCTGGTCGATGATGAGCGAGGTCAAGATCATGTCAATGACAAACCGGCATTTCGACAATATCCGGGCGACGTTTCAGCCTGGTTCACATCTTGAGAGTTGTGTTGCGCTTCGGTACAATTTCCCAGCATGGGCAGAGACACCCGGGGCGGTGCAGGCGATCGAATATCTAAACATGGCTCAGTCCACGTCTTGAGATGAAGGCGATTGGGAATCTATGACAGATATTGTATCCCCAATCTATGGCTTTTGAGTTTATTTGTTCCTAACAATTGTCTGAATACACGAGTGGGATGTGAAATGTCAGCCGATGAAACCACAGTAGTCGGTTCTTCATGTATCTTGATCTAGGGGTTTCATGGTTTCAGCAAATTTCTATAATGCTCAACTTTGAAAGTATTCCTGGAGGCAATATCGCCGCTTCTCGAATCCGCTGACTAAATTGTTAAAATTGAACGGATCAGAGTTCGATTACAGACTAGAAAAAAACAGCAATGGAGGATGCCAGACCCGACATCATTCTCAACACAATGAATACAAAAGGCAAAAATACGCTCTGCTAGCTCAAGGCTACAGCCATTCAAGGGGAATACTCTATAATTAGAGCATTCATACCGTTGACTCACTTGCCGTCGGGACGAGCCGCTCGTCAGATCACTATTTCTTCTACCTTCTTTCACCTAACTGCCACACACACAGATTGTTGAATTGAACTACGAATTAGAAAGCCATGTTAAGCATAAATTAGAACACCAAGTGCAAAATATTAACTGACTTATTTTCAGTTCTCAATCGTGGCAGCTATAGAAAATAGGACAAACTTACTGTGAGGCATGTGCTGAAGTGCGCTCAAGTCAAATCGGTTTCTTCAACATTCCAGCAGACTTAAATTTTTTAGAGCATAGAGCTGATCCAAATTCAAAAATGTCTGCGAGCGCCACTGTTATTTTTATGTGAGAAGGGGCTAAATTGAGCTTTGAAGTGCCGAGTTTCAAAAGGACTGCTGGTAGTTAATCCTACCGAGTAATCGAATACATGTTGATGATATCCTTACCTTCACGTATCGAACTTGTTTCTGAGTCAAAGAGGACGACGGTTCCGCTGAGTGTAGCAGCTGAACACTATCCTACAAACCAAGCATGTCAGATACAACTTCCCTTCTTGGGACTAATTGTTAATCATGGATTGGGCTGGAACCGAGCTGTGGCGGTGATCCTATACATATAACAGCATGCCCGATCTCTCCCAAGAAACTGCCCTGTCCGCGTTTTTATAAGGCTAATCGCAGAATTCAAGGTTGTAGATGCAAATTATAAGATCGAAGTCTAAATACTTCAAGGCTAGGAGCACGTATCAAGAACGTTATTGCCGCGCCATGAACTCTACATGACGCAAGAGGGAACTAGCACTGCAACGTGCGATGGTCGCAACTTACATACATCAGAACATTGGAAGTAGCTGAATCACGTGTATTACGACACCAAGCCCTAGTTGTGAACCTTAAGCCCCTCTTGATGCACGCTGAAATATCAAATGGCTGCAACCACTTCGCATCGTGGTGGTAAAAGCACTGTCACTGACATATCAAACAACTTCGCATCGCATCATCAAAATGGGCGCACTGTATATAACGGTCCACGCAATCATGTGGCTTGTCTGGTTAAGAACTCTGCATCTAATCCTCACGCCCCTGCCTGACCCTCCCTCACCGCTGCTGGACCTTCCTCCCGAGCGTCTTCAATTTCTCATGGACGAGCTCTCGTCATCCGCTGACCAAGGTAGCCGAAGCGCGAGCCTTCTGAGTATTCTGAGGCAACAGATGGAGGATCTCGATGGACATCTGGACACTCAGCGAAAGTTAACTCAGAATATTGTAGACGAGAGTCAAAATATCCTAGTCGAGGGTCAACAAATTATAGTCGAGAGCCAGAGGATCAAGAGGGCTGTGGAACGACTCGTAGCGAGGTTGAAATCCCGGCCTCCTAGAGTCGGCAAGGCGACCGCAGACGTGAAGCTTCGCCTTGATAGGCCCGGTCCAGTCGTTGAAGGCGATTTTACAGCTTCGCGTCGTCCCAGAAGAAATTCCTTCTGATGTAACCTTTGGCTAGAGGAAACCTGCGAGGCGCTCCATGATCTGACCACCAGAGATCGTGAGACGTTGTTCACTGTCTCTCAACGAGCTTGCACCCCATCGCGGTTCTGGGGTCCAGTCGCCTCCGAAGGCGAGCCGAAGACGATCTGCATTACTATTCATAGTATGTATGCTTTACCATTCTTTTCCTCAGCTTACATCTCACTTGGGCCCTCCGAAATAATCATCACACTCTATTGACACTCACCTAACAGGGCACCACCTGTGTGTGTGTGTGACTTTCTCTCGGTCTGTCAATATGCAGGACTGGCAAGATGATAAGTGGCTACAACAATGGGCAAATCAAAAAGTCTACTAGCCGTTGGTTGACTGCATTACGGCAAGGAGAGAAGTATCTCATATCAAATATCATTGTTTAGCAAGTGCGGAGGGAATCAAGACTAATACGAACTCAATTTCTTCTCCTTTCCTGTATTTGGTTGCTACTTGATTACACCTTTGCACAAAATACCCTAGTAGAGTAAGGATCTTGCATCCTGAGCAACGTCTCCATATTAGTATTGCTAACACATGCGAGCGTTCTCTTCCAAACCGCGAGGCAGGTGTGAGCATAACATGAGCGGCTAGAGGACGATTGATCAATCCAACCAACCAGCAAATATTTTTCCCCCTTATGTGTCTTTTTTATGTAATCAAGCACATGTTGATAAACATATGAGAAGCGTATCCAGGACAGTCAAAAGTATCTGCAAGTCGCCTGATTATATTATGAACAGGTTATCGCTCGTAACCTTCAAATTGATAATATTCGTAGCTTTTCAGTTCAGAAATTCCACAAAATACTATTCAATGCCTACTTATCTAAATATTCATAAACATTTATAAATAATAATTCTGGTCTCTGTTCATAATTTCCACCAAAAAAAGTTCCCTACCCTAGAGCTCGGGTTGTTTCAACGAGAGCTCATTTTCCTAAGCAACACTCTATACCCGCTGTCTAAAAGAAGTGGTCTTGGAATGTTCAAGATACTCTTTAAATAAATTTAAATCAAAGTGAATTCCTATTCTTTTCTTTTCGAGGGAGCAGATAAGCAAGATTGGTTCAAGTGGGAAAGGTGTGCTGCAGCAAATTGAAGTCTTCGTTTCAATGCCATACCTACCTAGGCATGATGCAGTCTCAAACATGATACTCGCGTAATATCTTCCAGGTTGACTTCGTGAATTGCAGGTAGTACACATGGCCTCACCCCTGGTAATTTCATTGAAATGCATCGTAATCATACCCAAGGTATATATCTTACATCATCAACATTAGACACTGCCATGTGTTCATGTTTCCCGATGCCGATATCAGTCCACGCTTTGACAACTGTTGCGACCGACGAAAGCAGAATAACAGAGGACATGCCCAATGACATGAACCGATGCCCAGTCACAGCCACTGTGGGGGCTACTACATACATTCTCACGTCACTCGCTGAGACATGAACCAGCCCCATTCAGCCGTCGGCCCTGAAGAAGGCATAGCCTCTCGGCCAGCCAAGGGAGATAAAAGCAGACGAAAGTGCATACAAGAGTGGAAAGCACTTTGAGCATACAATGTTGGCACTGGTCACCAACACCAAAGGGCTCCTAATTCTGTGACGAGCTAATGTCGGTGGCTGGGTCGGGACAGTGAGGCGACCGGTCAGGCTCTTGGTGTTGTTGGTAAGCTGGTTTTCAGCTCCTCATGCACCGCTAATGCATGAGCTAGTTCCGGATTCCTCGTCACATGCCCTTTATTGGTTATGCACAAATACTCTTTGATTGTGATCATCACCCTGTGGCAAACTATTGGCATCGACCAACCTCCCCCCCCGCCCCTGTTGGCTGACTCTCGGCGTAAGGTATCTTGCTTCGGCGGACCTCGCCACGGTGCCACGTAGTTTGAGAACGAAGGCCACACGCAAGCCGAAGTGAAGTTCGTATAACATTAGCTCTCCACAGCCTACTAGCTGAGACGGCGCGGGAGTAATCTCCTCTGATCCTTGCTAACTACTAACAGAGCTCTACCTCACTTGGAGCCCCCCATGTCGACGTTGGCGAGCATGGTGGTGTATGCCAAGACAAATAGAAACAAGCTAGAAGAGGTGACCCCCCATGCAATCAGGAAAATCAAGAGCAAGATGACCCATCCCACCACAATGATGATGTTCCCCCATCGCGGGAAGACTTCTGAGGCAAGAAAAACAAATGGCGTACCAAACAAGATGCTGGCGCCCAGCCCACCAGTGATGGCAAGAAAGCTAATCAACTTCCTCGCGTCTACCAGACGCTTCTGCCTCCCGTTGATGTCGATCATTTGATTGCTTGCCATCAGTGCCTGGGAATCAAATTAGCCTACATCAAGCAAACCGTGCCCAAGTCCAGCCCGCCGTCAAACGTACCAGCCATTTACATATCTTGGAGTCCTTGGCCATGACAATAGACCGCGCCCAGTCATCAAATCCCTCCAGCTCCGTTAGGCCTCTCCACTGGCTTGTGTCCCGCGGGTACTGCTGATTGTTGGTCCCGTCCAGTGTCAAATACTGGAGGAAGACCCTGAGATCACGGGGCTTCTGTCGCCCTAGCCCAGCTAAGAACTTGCGTTTTTTGGCCATGTCCACTGCAGATTGTGAGCCGAAGGCCAAACAGTGACGATTTCTGGCACTTACCGCACGAAGATGCCTTGTCCTTGAACTCGTGGACCAGTCCCGGCACACTGGCATCATCCCCAGCAAGAATGGCACGGCGTATCTTCTCCCAGCACTCCTCTACGTCTCTCTCCAAATAACCCTGGAGAAATGAATATGGGAGCGTGAAGGCCCTGACGGACAAGTAGGCGCTATCCCGCTCTTGCAGGGCGCTTGCAGCGAGCAGTCCCGCATACTCTTGCATGGCATTAGCTGTCAACGTACATGTACTTTGCCATGATGATCTACTCACTGGATCTAGTCCCCATGAATTCAGCACAGCCAGCTAAGGTAAACGATTAGCACGCACGCCTTCTGGGGGTATATGGGCCTACCTCATACTGTCGTTTGGGCCCTGCGCCTGGGCCCCAGCTTGTCCCTCCTCCACAGAAG